TCTCATCTCTGAAATGGCATCACTTCAGAGTTATTGTGAGGACCAAATGACTCATTACCTGCTAGGATGGCCTGCTTGGTGCCAGACACTCATTCTGGGCTTGCTAAAGGGAGCAGGGACTCCTCCACTCTGGAATCCACCTCAGATCCATGCACTATCTCTGTCCTGCTGGGCGCCTTGAGGGCTGGGGAGATATGGAGGCCCAGGCCCCAGGCACTGGGATCCTCACTAATGTGTCACAGGTCAGCACTGCAGGGCAGAGGACTATTGTGTGCAAAGGTCTTGGAGGAGGGAACACTGACCTCCCACGGGGTCTCTGGGGCATGAGCAGCTTAGGGCTCTGGGTGAAGGAGGCTGCGGTGGCTGGTCCTGAAGACTGCTCTTCAGAAGGACTTGGTCTCTCCTCATGGACAGTCCCTTTCTCTCCCCTTCCTCAGCTTCCCCACAGGACGGGACCCTCCCGGTGTGCAGAGGGAGGCGTGGCCCCAGGGGCTTGGCTTGCAGAGGTGAGGCAGCCCGGGGAAGGATGAGAGGCTGTCTTGGCAGGGAGCAGGCAAGGCCTGGCAGCGCCAGCCCTGGGTTGCAAGCTCTAGCTTGAATTTTATTACCCTTTACAGAAAAATTCCTGAAACCTGAGGTCATTGTGCTGCCCCATGGCCCTGGAGCAGCTTTCCCGGTGAGGGGCAGAGGCTGGGCATCAGCACCCGCTGTGGAAAGGGGCAGAGGAAGGAGAAGGGCTCACATTTGCAAGCCGTGTTCCCGAGATACTGGGGCTGGCCAGGTGAGGGTGTGGCTCTGGTCTTACCTGGTCTGACCCGGCATCTCCGGGGAGGTGGAGGGGATGTGGTGTTTCCAGGTTCAGTTTAGTCTGACATTGCTGCAAAGTGGGATTAGGGGAGTCTGTGAGCCCCTGCCCCTCCCCCAGGGAGGAAACACCTGCCCAACCCCCACCCCGGCCTCTGACATTTGTGGGAGCCTGTCATGCTGCCCCTACTCCCAGCCTCCTTTTGTGTTGCCTCCTGGCTCCCATTCCTGCACATACACATGCAGGGGTGCACGCATGCACACACACGTACATACCCACACACGCACCCCCCCACACACAGAGACACACACATACACACACGCATGCTGTGCCTGCACACCTCTTGCATTGTGCAGGTGTCGCCCTCTCCCAGCCACATCCTCCCTTCCCACGCCATCTGCTGGGGCTCCTGGTGGATGGGGTGCAGCCTCAGATTGGAGGGCAGCTGAGGCTGGTCGGTGCGGCTGGAAGCAGAGCTGGGGCCCCTTCGGTGGCTTCCCCCACGTTGTGAGGGCTCTGGGCAGGCAGCCTAGGCAGGCAGGACCAGGCTCAGGCTGTAGGAGACTCCAGGGCTCCCTTCTTCCCTGCTGGGCTCCCATCACCCCACCGCCCTGCTTCTCTCTAGCTGTCCTGTAGGAGCCCCTCTGGCACCCACATCTGGCTAAATGCTGGGGAGACCTGTCATAGGTAGGGAATAGGCACCTTCCCAGCTCCTCATCCCGGACCTCTGGGCCTGTCCTCAGCTGCAGAATGTCCTGGAGCAAGTCCTGTCCACTCTCTGACTTTACAGCAGGGCTCCTGCTGTTTCTCCTGGCAGTAAGCATGGTCCCCAAGCCCACACTGGGTCAATCCGTGGGACACTTGCTAAAGCCAGGCTCCTGAGACCTGGCGTTGGAGGCCTGCAAATAGGCATCTTTGCCCCCTGGGCCATGAGGGCAGCCCTGGGGGCACAGCAGCAGCAGTGGGGTCAGTTCTGATGTGGAATGGCAGTGGGGTGGCGCTTCATGGAGTCTGTGTCTCATCTCAAAGCTGAGCTGGAATGTCTCCGGGAGAGAAGGCATTCCCGGCAAGGCAGCGGCAGGAATAAGGGTCTAGGGGTGACCCGCAGCCATTCAGGGCCACAGTGCGAGCGGAAGGAAGGCGTGCAGAGGCGCCGGCCTTGGGAAGGGTTAACTCAGCGTACAAGTCCCGTCAGTCCAGTCAGTCCAACTTCCACCTCCATCCTCCGAGGAAATGGGTTTTCCAGGAGCTCGGGCTGAGCCAGTGGTGACTGGTGGCTCCACACAGGATGGCAGAGGAAGTGACTCAGGCCCCCGGGAAGAAAGTGAGCCCCGAGTCCCCTGCCCACCATGCAGGGGCAGGGCTGAGGTAGAGCCCCTTCTCTTGGGCAGCTGGCCTCGGGGGGCCATGGGGTATCTTGGCTTGGGAGGGTCCTGGCCACTCTCCACCCTGCTGGACCCCTGGGAACCTGGGATGACGGCCCCCATTGTGTCAGTCTGGTTCAGCTCATTCTGTTCCCTGTGTGTTTACGGAAGGTCTGAGGTCAATGGCCGATGCTCGGAAAGGAGAACCCGAGGTGGGGGGAGCGGGCTCAGGCTCACAGCCTCCGTCCAGGCCGGAACTGGCTGTGCTGCCTGTGGTCTTCACTGTCCCTCACGTTTCTCTGCTCTTCTGTGGGTAGACCCCAGAGCTCAGAGCAGAGTGGGTGTATCTCTAAGACCTTCACCAACACCACCAGTGCAGCAGCAGAAAGGGCTCAGTCCTAGCCCTAGAGGATCTGGGAGCAGAGAGCCCCTCGATGGCCTCAGTTTAGGGATCTGTGAAATGGTGAATTTGTAGGATCTGCCTGGTGGGGCAACCTTGAAGATTTAATACGAGGCTGTAGGTGTCATTGCTGCTGAGGGTTGCCGCTGCTGACCCCACCCCTCTGAGACTCCCCAGGCTCCAGTCAGTGCCATGGGAGGTGGACCAGGGCCTTGCTGTCACCTGGCACTTGAGCCTAAGATTCCTGGTGGCTAAGGCCAGCCAGTGCTGCCTTTCCCCACAGAAGCCGGAAACATCCCTGGGCCTGGTGGGTGCTGAGCTTCAGTCTCTAGACCGTGGGCCTCTCCTTGGGTCCCCTCCTTGCTGGCTAGGCTAGGAGATAGGCACAGGCAGGACAGTGCCCTCCTCTGGCAGGTCTAGGTCCGCTGTCCTCTCCTGGTCCCCAGCCCAGTTCTCTTGTCCCCATGAGAAGCCCATGGGGTTCCGCAGTCATTCAAGCTGGCTACAGGAAGGAAAATTTCTAGGTGAGGTTCCAGCCCCGCGTTGTGCACCGGAAAGGAGGTTTCATGCTCCAGGAATTTCCCCCGAGGCCTTGGAGGCCCCAACCTGGGAAGGATGGGGCCATGGAAAGGAGTGTGACTGAGTGATGGTCCCGGTGGCTGGGCAGGGGCAGCATGGCTGGTCAGGAAGGACACAGGGTTATTAGCTGCCCCCCTGGATATCAATTAATGTAATTCCCACTGTTTAATTTCCTCTGTATAGTTGAAAAGAGCAAATAGAGTGAATAACCACCCCACGCATACAGTTAATAAATGTGGGAGCTGGGATTTGAAGCCAAACAACCTGGACCCAGGGTCCACGCCATTAGAGCAATCCAGGCAGCCCTTCCTCACTGACCCCCAGGAATGCTGATGGGGGGAGCACTGTCCTCTTTGGCATGGCCGCTCCAATAGCCCAGGTGGAATAGAGTGAGCCAGGAAGTATCCAGGCAGCAAGCCACTGTTTGGTCCGAATCCCTTCCCTGGCATCTTACTTACACCCCTCCAGTGATGGGGAACTCACTCCTGCGCCTGCACCTTTTGCCCTCAGAGGCTAGTCTCAGGGGTCTGTTGCAAGGTGGGCAGTTCTATCTTGTCCTGGAGCCTTATCGACCATCATGGTGGCTTGCTTTGAAGGTCCGTGGCCAGAGGGACACATGATCTCCAGCCAGCCCCGCTGGTACTTGCTGTGTGACCCCAGAAAGCCACTGGTCCTTTCTGGCCCTTAGATAAATGGAGAGTATGAGCCAAATCCTCAATGTGACTTGTGTGCTTCTGGTTCACAAGTGAAAAGCAGTGCTCGTAGTTCCACGAGGGGCCTGCCTAGAGGAGGCGACATTTGGCCTGGCGGGGGGGGGGGGGGGGAGGCAGGTGAGCAATGGGAGCCAGAAGGAAGAAGAAAGAAAGGGCCCTTGGGAGGGACACCCCGTCCTCGGAAGTGCTTAGAGAGAACTCAGAGCGAAACCTGAGCATCACAACCCCAGGAAAGCAGACCTTCCTTGCAAGGCTTTCAGTCCTCAAGAGCCCCACGATGCTCCAGCAATCCAGGTGAGACCACAGGACCTGAGAAATTGGTGTTCCATACTTCCACTGGGACCTAGGGGACTGGCATTTGTTCAAAGGGGCTATGTTGGCTTGAGGGATACCCAGATCAGGAAAGAGATAACAAGATCCTGCTTGGGCCATCCCTGCCTTTAACAAAGCTCTCAAATACTCAGTCCTCCTGTATTCCTCGTCCTGGAAGTCCTCCTTTATTTCTCCCACTCAGACTGCTTGTTTGTGCCCAAGTTGCCAGGTGTCCTTTCTTTTGGTTGGTGGCAGGTGACTGCATCTGCCACTGTAATCAGATGCAGCTCCCCACAGGGCAAGGATGACTGGCTGGTCACCAGGCCAGCTGGTGGAAGAGGGGAACAACCACCTGGCATCTCTGTGGTCACCAAGCACTGCGGTCCTGCCCGGGCGGGGAAAGTCTCCAGCTTGTGTGGCAATCCCGGGCAAGTCATTTAACCCCTGGGTTCCCTGTCTGTGCAGTGGATATACCATAATGCCCACCTCCAGGGCTGGAGTACAAGTATATACAGGTGGGGGGTCAGCATAGAGGCTGCCGGCTAGTAGGTGCTCAGGTAACAGTCGTCATGGGCGGTCAGGCTGGGAGTGAGGGTAACTAGGGCTCCTTCCCTGCTTTGGGCCACAGCAAGTTACTTTCTAAGAGAATTCTCACCGCTGTTCTGCCCCAGGCGCGGCCGCTGGCTCCCCCTGGTGGTCAGGATACGAAGCGCCCTTCCACTCCGGCCCCTGTAGAGGGCGCCGTAGCCGCGCTGAGTCCACATTTCTGCCCTGCTGCGCTGCCCGGTGGCCCAGGCTCCCAGCTAACGCCCTGGTCTCTCTTCCAGGTGGTGACTTCTAGGGCTGGCTTCTGGGAGGAACGATGGCTGTCCAAGTGCCCCTGCACACGGCGCTGTCCCTGCTGAGTCTGCTCTTCCTGGCTCAAGGTAGGCGTCCAGGGGCCCTTAAACGGCTGTTGGGACTCATGGTTGCCGGCCTGTGTCTAGGGCAGTTGCCTGCTTGCACACAAACCCCTTGGGCAGCACAGGTGTGCATCGCAGCTTAGCTGCTGAGTGGAACCTTGGAGGGAAAAAAATCTCTTCCTCTGGCAGAAGCTGCCCCTCAGCACGGCTCGGCATGGGAAATGGGCTGGATTTGGCCCTGCTCATCTTTGCAGCAAGCATTTTTGAGCAGTACACAACATGCAGCAGTCTGTGGTGCTGATTAAACACTTTATTGCTATTAAATTCTTTCAGCCTTTAAGTCATTTATTTTTCGTACTGTCTTTCGTACTTTGAAGCCACAAAGTTTTGAGCAAGGCAGACTCACATTTTTGTAGACCCTTTGAAGTACAGACCTTTAGAACGCATGCATGAACATCCTCTGCACAGGTCTCGACCCCTCCCTCCCAAACTCCTGGCTAGACCCAGCCGCAAGGTCTCATCTGCAGCCTCTGCCTCCCCAGGTGCCCATGGCGGTGGCCCCCGGGAAGACTTCCGCTTCTGCGGCCAGCGGAACCAGACACAGAAGAGCAGCCTCCTTTATGAGAGGACGCAGGAGCGGCACATTGCCATCAAGAACTCAGAGGAAGTCCTCACCATCCACGCCCCCTTCCCTGCAGCCCAGGAAGCATCCTGGCTCTTCCCGGACCCCAGGGGCCTCTACCACTTCTGCCTCTACTGGGACCGCCACTCGGGGAAGTTTCATCTCCGCTATGGCAGGCACGACTACCTGCTGAGCAACCAGGCCTCTGGCTTGCTCTGCTTCCGGCACCAGGAGGAGAGCCGCGCCCAGGGACCCCCACTGCTTGCCACCTCCGTCAGGTCCTGGTGGAGCCCGAAGAACAGCAGCCTGCCCGGGGCCTCCGGCTTCACCTTCTACTTCCATGGTAGGGCAGCTGCGGGGGGAAGGTGAGAGCAAGGCAGGCTGGGATGTGGCGTCTGGACTGCAGGCCACAGGCCTGGCTTCGTTCACAGGCAGAGGGAGCCGGGGGGACTGTGTCTGAGGAGAGGGGGATGGGGGCCAAAGTAAAGGAAGCTGCCTGGGATACCCGGGAGAGGGTGTGGAGTGAAAACCTACAGAGGCTGCAGGGCAGGTGGAGGAAGAAGAGAAGTGAGCAGGCGGAGGCGGCTGGGGAGAACAGAAAAATGCACTGGAGAGATTCTCTAGTAGCACCTACGTGCAGTGCTTATCCGAGTTATAGGTTAGCACATGTGGGACGGACAGCGCCCCTCCAGTGATCAGGAGAAGGAAGGGATGGAAATGAAGACAGGAGTGTCCGAAGGTGTGTGCCACACACCCTCCACACACGTGCACACGTACGCTCACATGCATGTTAGGAAGCCCTTGGGGAGAGAGGACCCTGGGCTGATGCTCTTACTGGAGCCCAGGGCATGAACCAGATGGAAGCACCCGTGGGATGCTTTGTCTGGTGGGTTGAAAGCCGCAGGCATGTGTTCCAGGAAAGTGGGGTGCTGAGAGTTGGTGGCTGCAGCTGGGGCCAGAAGGACCCCCCCCACAAGTAGGCTGTCTCTAGTGTCCATGGAAGATGAGGTATTGAGGTCCTGCGGAGGTGCAGAGCTAGCCTGACCTTGGGTGTGGGAAACTCCAGTTGATCCAAAATGGGCACGGAGGCAGCAGAATCATAGATACTCACTGCAACCTGCATATCACCCAGGAGGAGACTGAGGCACAGGGAGGCTGCCCACAGGGGCTCAGCGGGCAGGTGGCGAGTCCAGATTTGAATACAGTGGCTGATGGGGGTGGGGAAGCAAGCAGCCCCAGGGCCTGGAAGGCTGCAGGCCAATGCTGAACTCCGGTGACTGCACCTGCTGCCTGGTGGGACGGGTGTGGTGTGGTCTCTCCTGTGTGGGAGAGGAGGCAGAGGCTGTATGAGCTTCCCTGTGATTGTCCCTGCTTGGACTGCACTGATCCAGAGTCCCTGCATGTGTATCTACTTACCCACTTCTATTTTATTTTGAGACGTGGTCTCACTAAGTTTCCCAGGCTGGCGTCTATGAGACCAAGTCCCTGTTTGGCTGGCCTCACCTCTGAGTGGCCTGAGGGAGTCCCCACCAAGTCTTAGCGGCTCAGTTTCTTGTAAAGTGAGGTAGAGGCACAGAATGTCTCATGACTCACACTCCTCCATCACAGCCTCCATCCCTCCACAGACCCCCCTCAGAGGGCCTCCACCAACGCCTCGGTGGACATGTGCGAGCTGAAGCAGGACCTGCAGCGGCTCAGCCAGCTCCTGAAGCTGCCACAGAAGGCTTCACGCAGGCCAGCAGCCACCCTTGCCAGCCAGTGAGTGTGATCTAGGAGATAGGGGACCCGTGTGGGGCGGCAGAAGAGTCTCCAGACCTCTTGTTTTTCTGTCTCCTGGAGGGGGTGATACACAGTCACCAGGCTGAGCCCTGAGCCCTTCTAGATAAGCAAAGACCAACATCCACTGGCTGGGCAGCTATCCAGGCCTCTTCCCGCCAGCAAACAGAAGCGATTGGTCCATTCTGCAGCTGGGCAGAGGGGGCGCTCAGAGACGCTGGGGCAGCTCCGTGGCCACAGAGGGTCAGGGTGGGCAGACTAGGCCAGATCTTGGTGCTGAGTCCCAGGACAGTGCCACCTCATCCTGTCCCTCCCCTGTCCTGTTTTTTTTTTTTTTTTTTTTCTGAAGCCTGGCTCTAGATCTCTCTCCTACCTGCTCCTGTGTGTGGCTGGCTGTGTGTCCCTTTTGTCCCCTCCCCTCTTTTCCAGACCCTTGTCCTTCTCTTGGTCTCTTCCTCTTTCCTGTGTACCTGGCTGGCCCCTTCTCTCTGCCTTGGGTTCTGACATCACCCACCGCTCTGTCCTCCCTGCCAGGCAACTGCAGAGCCTGGAGTCGAAGCTGTCCTCAGTGAGGTTCCCGGGGGACACGCTGTCCTTTGAGGAGGAACGGGTCAATGCCACAGTGTGGAAGCTGCGGCCCACAGCTGGCCTCCAGGACCTGTACATTCACTCCAGGGAGGAGGTTGGCTGGGCTGGGGTGGGTGGAATTAGGGACTGGGAATGCAGCACCCCACAGTGCAGTGATACTCTAGTCTGTCCCCAGAGCCCCAGGAAGGTGGGTCCTAGGCACAATGTGGCAGGGGACAAAGGTGTCAGCTCCCTACCAGGGCCCCTGGGCTCTCTGGTGTAGATGGAAGACCAGTCCCCATTCCTGCCCCTGCACCCTGCCCTCAGGATTGCCCTCTGTGGGGACCCAGCTAGATGGAGGCCATGTGGATCCTTTGTTGACCCCAGGAGTCTCACCACTGGCCCTGGCCAGTGTGGAGGGAGGAGGAGCCAGGGCATCATGCTGTTGGAAATGTCTAGAATGGGCTGTGTGTTTCCGGGAGGACCTGGGGCTCTGTGGTCAGCTGAACCCTAAGGGGCCCTGGTCTGCAGGAGGAGCAGAGTGAGGTGCTAGAATACTCGGTGCTGCTGCCCCGTGCGCTCTTCCAGCGGACAAAGGGCCGGCGCGGGGAGGCTGAGAAGAGACTGCTCCTGGTGGACTTCAGCAGCCAAGCCCTGTTCCAGGTGGGGGCTCCCCGTCGTGTCCATGCCTTCCTGCCCTCCCCTGGGAGGGCTCCTCCTCCGGGAGCCATAGTTGGTCCTTGTCAAGTCAGAAATCAGACTGCAGACCTTCCTGGGAGAGGTTTTATCACTGTTGTCCTCACTACAGTGTGACTTCACACACACACATGCTCACACACACGGCCACGGCCACTCATGCACACGGACATGTGTGCACACACACAAGCTGATTCTAAGGAGGATGAAGAGGAGGTGTAGGGGCAGGTGATGGGGCATGGATATAATAGAAATACATTATACACACCGGACTCACCCCTCAAACATGGGAAACTCTGGGGGAAGGGAGGTGTGGGGAGCAGCTGAAGTATGCTTTGTGCACAGACAGGTCTGCCTGAGTGAAACTCAGAATCTGTGTAATCAGTATGCACTAATTTAAAATGTGGGAGGTTAGAATTGGCTCCGAGGGAGACTCAGCTCCCAGAGCAGTGCGTTGGGAGAGGTTTCCCAGCCCTGAACCCCACCCCACCCCACCCCACGCTCCCCCCAAACCCATATGTCCAGGACAAGAATTCCAGCCAAGTCTTGGGCGAGAAGGTCCTGGGGATCGTCGTGCAGAACACCAAAGTGACTGCTCTCCCGGAGCCCGTGGTGCTCACCTTCCAGCATCAGCCACAGCCGGTAAGTGCGCCTGGGTCCCCACTGGGCCTGGGTCCCCACCCCGTGTAACAGATCCATCGGATCCACTGCCAGTGAAGGGCGCCAGTCAGGCAGGGACTGTAGCCTGTCCCTGACCTGTGTGTCCTCTGCCGCCTGGGACAGGGTGAGCAGACCATGGGGCCCACATACCCCCTCTCTTGTTCCTACAGAAGAACGTGACTCTGCAGTGCGTGTTCTGGGTGGAAGGCCCCACTTGTAAGTGCGGAGGGGCCCGTGAGGTAGAAAGTATCTGGGGGAGACGTGGGGTCCCAGGGTAGGGGAGATGGGGTGTACCAGGGAGAAGCCTGGGATCCACTGGGCAGGGCAAAGACTGGGGAAAGCAGCACAACCTGCACTGGGGACAGGTGCAGTGGGGTCCTAGGGCCCAGCACTGACCGGAGCCCTGTGCTAACCCCCTCAGTGAGCAGCCCGGGCAGTTGGAGCAGCGCTGGGTGTAAGACCCACCGGAAAGAGACCCAGACATCCTGCCTGTGTGACCATCTAACCTACTTCGCAGTGCTGATGGTAGGTGACCCTGCCTGTAGCCACACTGCAGGCCGAACTCATGTCCTGTGCTGGTCCAAGAGCGCACATGCCCCATTGTATAGATGAGGAAACAGTGAAGCTCAGAGAGGCTAAGAAACTTATCCAAGGTTGCACAGCTTATTAACAAAAGAAATTCTATGTGAAGCCCTTGCTCCATACCCAGATTTTGGCATGAGATAAAAATGCAAATTTCTGCTCCTAGCCCACAGGGCAGGAGTTACCATGGTGTTTCTTGTTAATGTTCAAATTCCTATTGTAGCTCAGAGAGCATCTCTTGGCAGGTAGAGATGAGGGATTCAGACACCTACGCCCTCATACATTCTTTATCTTCTCAGGGTCTCAGAATCTTTGCCTAATATTTCAGGAAAAGGCACAGCTGTCCCTTCACTGTGCTGGCTTTGATACAATCAACATATGTGGCTCCTCCATTGGCAATAGTTAATCTCATGACCCTAGATAGATGCCTAGGGATAGTTCCCCCAAAAGAAGTCTGTACTGACCAGAGCTGAGGGCTGGCTTGGACGTCAAAAGGTGGGCTCTCAGTCTCTTACGGGGCTTCGTGTCCCAAGCTCCTGTTCCCAGAGTCCCTTGGGCTTGGGATGTGCACTCCCTCTGGAAAATGCCTCCTGAACATTGAAGAAACATTCAGATGCCGCTCAATTTACAGTGTTGTCACATCCACCCCCAGTGCACCACGGAAAGACGAAAATGCACCGGGTCCTCCTGAACTGCTGACCAGCACATGGGGAATGGTTCCAGGACTCCTCCTGGGGGTATTCAGCCTGCAGCTCACTGCTGCTGCCCGACTTCAGGGGCCCGGGAGAAGACGAGCTTCTCCTGACTGTACCTTTGTATGGCTGAAAAAGTCCTAAGTGAGCCATCGTTAGTCAGGGGCCATCTGTCATTCATGCTGGGCCAGAACTGGGGTTCTCTGGATATGGGGAAGGCATCAACCCGTATCAGTGCCCCTGGCTGCTCAGCTGGGGGATTTCCTGTTCCAGCCCTCCCAGAGTGGCCCTCAGTGTGGAGCTGGCCCTGAGACACCCTCCTGTCCCTCAGGTCTCCTCTGTGGAGGTGGACACCGTGCACAAGCACTACCTCACCCTGCTGTCGTACGTGGGCTGTGTCATCTCTGCGCTGGCCTGTGTCTTTACCATCGCAGCCCACCTGTGCTCTAGGTAGGGCGGGTGGGGCGGGGCGGGGCCCCACCACCGTGGAGAGCTTCCTGGGTTTGTTGCTCATCTTAGACCCCAAGATGAGGCGGCACTTGGGGCAGCTGTTGACCTCAGGGGGACACGTTTGACCCTTGTGTCTATGGCTTTTGGATACGATCTCGGTCACACTTCTTAGTTCATGACGGGCATTTTGATTTGGTGAGCTCACATAAGAAACCGCACTCCCACCTTTGGGTGATGAGCTGTGACTGCTGTGTGCACACGATAGTGTAGTGGAAGTGATGACAGTAAACATTTGCACAAGTGTCAGCTTGGTCCAGCCCTGCAACTAGCGTAGGCAGGAGAGGGCAGAGAGAGTACCTGGCCTGCCCGAGGTCACACAGCAAGAAGTGGCAAAGCCTGTCAGATTGTTGGTGCTTTGCTTAGCTTGGATTGGAGTCTGTTTGCAGTCAGGCCCTGGGCATGTTTGGGTAGTAGAGAGACTTGGTTCTGGGGGACACCCAGGATGTCCTCACTGTCCTCAGTCAGGAGGAGGGGAGCAGAACAATGTGCAGCTGTATACAGGTACATGTGTGCATGCATGGCCTTGTCATTTTGGATCAACAACATGCCACAGGCACAGGAACCATTAGAAACTGAAATCGCGTCTGTGCCAGACCTTTAGCCTGATTCTATGAGGGACCCTCCTTCCCTTCATGGAGGAGTAGGCAGAAGATCTGAGCCTGAGGGAGCAGTCTACCGTGGTGTCACGAGTTAGGAGCAGGAGGAGGCATCCAGGACGGCTAGGCTGGGGCCACCTAGAATCCATGAGGGCACCAAGCACACAGTCCCTGCAAGCCCAGGGGACAGATGCACCCACCCTACACTCCCAGACACAGCCAGAGAGGAGGCACAGGTTCCTCCCTCCAGCCAAGACACTGGTCTTCATGCGATGGCTTTGGAAGGCCTGGCCTGTCATGCTGGCGGCCTTGTCTTCCTCCACTGCTGACTGTGCGTAGTTATCCTGTCCCCCGTTATCTCTGCACTCTGGAAGCCCAGAGCACGAGGAGTGGGAGTTCAAGCCCCACTTTAGAAGTCAACAACTTAGCAAGACCTTAAATAAAGAATGTAAAGAGGGTGGGGATGTAACTCAGTGCAAATGCCTTGGGTTTAATTTCCACTACATAGAACATGTGCGTGTGTTCTTAGCCCAGGGGACCAGGCACATTGTAGGTTCCAGGGACAAGTGGGTATGGCCCGGCTGCAGCCGTGGGGAGGAGAGTGCATGCGCGCGTGAGGGTGTGTATGTCCCAGCCCACCTTCCTGCACCCCACCTGCAGGAGGAAGCCCCGGGACTACACCATCAAGGTGCACATGAACTTGCTTCTGGCCGTCTTCCTGCTGGACGTGAGCTTCCTGCTCAGTGAGCCGGTGGCCCTGACAGGCTCCCGGACAGCCTGCTGTGCCAGTGCCATCTTCCTGCACTTCTCCCTGCTCGCCTGCCTCTCCTGGATGGGCCTCGAGGGCTACAACCTCCACCGCCTCGTGGTGGAGGTCTTCGGCACCTATGTTCCCGGCTATGTGCTCAAGCTGAGTGCTGTGGGCTGGGGTGAGTGAGTTGGGTGAGGGGTCCCCTGAACCACCTCTCCCACTTGTTTCTGACTGAGCATAGGCAGCTGGCTCTGCTTCTCCTCCTAGGTTCCAAATTCCCTCATGGCTTCCTTCACCTACCTGTTCTCTGGGGTCTCCCCTGCACTTGGCCAAGGTTCCCTTTAGGAAGATAAAGTAAATAAATTCTGCACACTGTTCACGCTGTTAAAGGGGGATTGTGGGCAGGGCCTCCATGTCTGCATGTGCAGGCTGCGCACTGCTCAAGCCCATGTGGTTGGGGGATGTGTGTGGCTACAATCAGGTCCTGGTTCACTCACCTGACTCATGTGGGCTGGCAATGGCCCTGCCTGGGAATCCCCCTGGACTCTAGGTGCCAGATGCTCTGTGGCTTCATCACTCTGTTCTTGGCCAAGTCACCTGTGACCTAAACCACTTACAGCTCACCCAGATCTCTTGTGCTCGTGCCATGGGCTGTGTTGGACATTCTGCAGACCTCTGACCTCTCCCCTCTGACCTCTCCCTCTCTGACCAACCCCTATGTCTCTCATGGGCCCCTCTTCATTGCTCCCTCCTGTTTCACAAACTTGAGCAGGTTCTGTGTCAGGCCCCAGGTGTGAGGAGCCAGGACCCCAGGGAGCCTTCTGTCCACCTATGGAGAGGTGTGCTCTTGGGCCCGCACTCGTGCTATCCGCTGAGCTACCACTCGCCATGTCCTCTCATCTCTTCCTTCTCTCCTCCCTGTGCATAGGCCTTATCTCCTGGGGCCTCGGAAGGTTAGCGTAGACCCTGCCCAACACCACAGGAAAGCCTGGCTGGACTGGGCAAGGGCAGAGCCCAAGCTTGGGAGACTTCCCAGATGGCTGGAGGCACAGGCTGAGAGAGGGTCTTGAGGGCAGGCAATGACCTCAAAGGGGCAATGGAGATGAGCTCAGGGCGGTACTGTCCCCAGGCTTTCCTGCCCTCCTGGTGATGCTGGTGGCCCTGGTGGATGTGAATAACTATGGGCCCATCATCCTGGCTGTGCACAGGACTCCGGAGAGCGTCATCTACCCGTCCATGTGAGTGGCTGTGCTGGGTTGGGTTGGGGCTTTAACTGCAGAGAACAGAGAGACTCCTTGAGCCCCAATTTGCTATAGGGATTGGCCTAGTGATTGCTGGAACCCTGGGCAGAGGGTCACTTGAGTAACAAAAGGCCTGGATCAGCCAGGTGACCATGCGTGAGTCCTGGCCCTGCTGTGAGCTGAGTTTCATTGGTGGAGGCTGTGTGTGCAGGAGGCCTGTGGCTCCTGCTTGTGCCTAGGCTGCCTGCCTGCCTGTGCAGGTGGAAAGGGCAAGGCTTCAAGGCTGGGGACCCATTCTGGGCCATCCAGGGCTGCTCAAAGCACCCAGCAAGGGGACGAGGGGGATGATATCCAGCCTCCATCTACCCGCTCATTTACCCTGCTGGTGCAGGTCCTGTCTGCAGTCCTGACTGAACCCAGCCTGGCCTGGCAGCCAGCTTCCTGGGCTTCAGCCTGGGAGGAAATTCTTTAAGATTTCCGTCTCTTTAATTCATGAACTTGACACTGCTAGCGTTATTTAGTTAATGTTTTCTTTAGAGAATCTGACTTGTTAATTTACATGAGCTTTTAAAAAATTAAACCAACTCCATATACAGAGTGGCAGCACATGCCTGTAATACTAAGACTCTGGGAGGCTAAGATAGGAGGCTAGTAAGTTTGAGCCCAGATTGGGCAACTTTGAATTTTAGCAAGAACCTGTCTCAAAATAAAACATTTTAAAAAAGTGATGGGATGTATTTCAGTGTGGAGTCTCTGGGTTTAGGCCCAAGTACTGAAGGGGGGGGGGAGGAACAGAGAGAGAGAGAGAGAGTAAAGGAAACAAGAAGTAGCTGGCATGCAGTGGTAACCATGGCAACATGTGTGATGTCCACTGTGGATTTACGGCCCCAGCCTGGCCATGTTTGAACCCTGGCACCCTGGCCTGCAGGTGCTGGATCCGGGACTCCCTGGTCGGCTACGTCACCAACCTTGGCCTCTTCAGCCTGGTGTTCCTGTTTAACCTGGCCATGCTGGGCACCATGGTGGTGCAGATCCTGCGGCTGCGCCCACACAACCAGAAATGGCCTCATGTGCTGACGCTGCTGGGCCTCAGCCTGGTCCTCGGCCTGCCCTGGGCCTTGATCTTCTTCTCCTTTGCCTCTGGCACCTTCCAGCTTGTCATTCTCTACCTCTTCAGCATCATAACTTCGCTCCAAGGTAGGTGGGCAAAAGGCCCCTGGCCTAGCAGCTTGCCTGTGTGGAGCCCAGAGCTGGGAGCAGCAGGCCCAGGCACCTAAAGCTTCGCTGTCGGGGCTTCAGTCATGTGTTATGTGCAGTCATGTGCAGGCCCTGTGCTAAGTCTTGGGCTCCAGCTGGATGAGGATCTGGCTCTCACAGAGGCCAGCCTTCATAGGGAGGCTGAGCCTGAGCCACCAAACGCAGCCGTCACGGGCTCCTCAGAAAGAAGGGCAGTTGGAGTGGGCAGTGCGGTGGGCAGCGCTTGAGCTGGGCTGGGAGAGCTTTAGGGAAGGTGGCCTGGGACCCACTTTGTGTAGGAGACAGTTGAGGACAATAGGCAGAGCCTGCAATGGTGAGATCTAGAGCCGTGTTACCCGAATGGGCTCGCAGACCAGATCAGCATCACTGAGGGCTCATTAGGAGCATGGAGGTGGCCCGCTGTGGGCTGACCAGATTTGCATTTTAGCAAGATGTCCAGGGCATCTGTGTGCACATCACAGCTGAGGAGTCCAAGGGTGGGGAGGGAGCTCCAGGCAGAGAGCAGAGGCACGAGCAAAGGTTCTGAGGTTGCACAAGGCTGTGCATTGGGAGAATGATGAGAAAGAGCATGGCTGAAGGGCAGCCAGTGAGAGAAAGGGGCAGAGGGCAGGCTCATAGGGCTCCCGGCTTGACGCCCTAGAGTCCAGTCTGGGCTCCTCTGCCCCTCGCTTCTTTCATTTTTGAGCCCTCCTTTTCTCCCCTGTGGAAGGAAGGTGCCCCCTGAGAGTTATAGTAAAGTGCACACAGCCACCAAGATGGCACTGCACCACTTCTCCAGTACAGGGTGTCACCTGGAGCTCACGGGGAGCTCGCCCCATGAGCTCCCGAGCTGGGGTGAGCTCCCACTCTGACTCAGCCAAGTCCCCTCCCTGGGTCCCCAAGCCTCAGTGTCCTCATCTCTGAAACAGAATCATAACAAATGGAGCAGGCTTGGAGGAGGTGGTGGAGGAGACAGAAGCGAGGATGGGGACCTAGCACATGCCTGGTGCCTGGAGGCTGCTGGTGTGGGGAGAGGCTGGGAGGGGAAGTGCCTCTGGGAGGGGTGAGGCAGGTGGGGAGGGTCACCTCCACGCCGGCTGAGCCCTGTGCACCCCACCGCTTCCTGCAGGCTTCCTCATCTTCCTGTGGTACTGGTTCATGCGGCTGCAGGCTCGGGGTGGCCCATCCCCTCTGAAGAGCAACTCGGACAGCGCCAGGCTCCCCATCAACTCGGGCAGCACCTCGTCCAGCCGCATCTAGGCCACCAGCTCAGCTGCCCCATGTGAGGATGTGGAGCTGCCCACAACCCCTGGCTCTGGCTTGAGAAGGCCCTGGACCCTAGAGAGATGCGCTCTTGCCGGGTGACTAGACCTGACCGTGGGGATGACTCAACTTCCAAGTTTGGCCCCAAAAGGGCTCAGGCGCACCACCATTCTAGCTGTGGGACTGTCCTGTCCCCACCCTGGTGCTGAAGCCTTGTGTTCCCCAGCCACACCTCCCTTGCTGATGGTTGGGGCCTGCAAGCCTCAGAGTCAGGCCGGGGCATTGGAGGCTTGGCACATTCTTACCTCTGTGACCCCACCCAGGACAAAGATGTAGCTATAGCTGCTCTGTGCCTGGTGGTCACCATGTAGGATCCGTGGCCCCTGTCATTCTAACCCCGGGGCACCCAGGACAGGTCGGTGGAGCAGAGCCCCCAGGAAGAGGGGCTCCGGGAGCACAGCAGCACCCACCTATCTCTGCACCAGGCTCTGTCCGCCAGCTCCCAGGCTTTCCTCTTGCTTCCCTCTCCCCAATCCTTCCCTGTGGTCACCCTAGTCTTACCCCAGTACCTAAGTCCCCAGTTTTGGGCAGCGGTTTCCAAGAGCTGCCTGGTGCCTGCTGTAAATTTTTGTCTACTCACTGCCCAGGCCTCTGCCTGTCTGTCTGTGGCTGGGCTCAGCATTGATGCCCGGGCTGGACAGGTCCCTCCACTGGAGCCTCTCTCTGAGCTGCCTCACCCCCATTCACATCTCAAAGGGACCCTGGCCTCTCCAGAAGCTTTCCCGTGGCCAGAATTGTGGGACCTAGCAGTCTGGCTTTATTTCCCTCCCAACACTCAGAAGGCTGAGGTGTCCTGTGGTGAGGCTGATCTGGACTTGACTCTCCTAAACGGTCATCTCTGAATCCTTGAAAGTGGCCCCGGACATGCTCAGTGCCCATCATGGTGAATTCTACCTGACAGACATACACTGGACAATCATCAGCCTGTACTAGGTGATAGGGACACAGATTATTAGATCTCAACACTCCCCTTGCAAATCTCAGCCTAGTATGTGAGTCCCAGGCATCGGTTGGGGTACCGTCTTTCCTGGCTGGGAACCCAGGGAGACTTCTGGCAGGAGGTGGCACTGGATCTTGACCTCAGCCATAAAAATGAGGAAGATGTGTTTTTTAGTATTTAGTATTCACTTGTCTTTTGATATGAAAAATAAGTATACATCTGTTGTAGAGGATTTGGAAACTGTAGAAGACTGTCAAGAAGAAAAATAAAAGCCAGCTCTTGTTGTCTAAGAAAGCAGTGCCAACATTTTTTCTGAGCTTTTCCTTGAGCTCCCGTTGGAAACCTTGTTGACCCAAACACCTTGGGCCAATCAGGAAACGAGAAAGAGACGCAGGCCTACGTGTGGGAAAAGCAGCCACTGGGAACCTTTCAACCTGTGTCACGGGAGATGAGGGGACCGGGCGAGATGGTGTGGATGTTAGTGATGGGGTGACAAGGAGTGGGGTCTGTGGTGGAGTGAGGATTATAAACCCCACAAGGAGGGTAGCCTGTCACTGCATGGTGAGGGAAAGCCCCACATAGCCTGCTTTTTCTGAGAAACACAGATGATCGTATCAAAATGCACTGATTGGAACGTGTTGCCAAATCCAAAACATTCTGTGGCCAAAGAGGTCACACTTGAGGGCTGAATGCAGCCCTGGCCTGGTCATGTGACACAGGTGACCAGGTTCATGACCAGACTGAAGGAGACGGGCTGCAACAGTGAGCTAGAGTGGGCCCTCTCCCAAGCCTGCCCTCTGCCTTGTCCTGCTAAATCTCTCTTCTGTCCTGTGACACAGTTTAGGCAGGGATCTGGTGACCACCAGGTCACCTCTGATAGAGGCCATGTGTGTTGGGTGTAAAGTGCCACTGTGGTCGAGGTTAGGGCCTTGCAGTCTCTGATCCTCATCAGCCACCAAGGGGAGCTTGGACAGGGGAAAGTGGCCTGGGGCTGGGCTTGGGAGGACAAGTGCCAGGCTGCCTTGGTGGTTGGGGGCAGCTGAGCAATGCTCTTGGTGGGGCCTGAATGTGAGAGCTTGAGGGACCCTCAGGGATTTGGCATAAGTGGCTCCAGAACAGTCCCTGGACCCCTGGAGCCTTTCAGTGCAGGGCTGTAAGCAGGGTGGCCCTCCTGGTTCTCCTTGACCGTCCTGTCAGCTTCCCACCTGCTGGGGTCCTAGCAGGAAGGCTGATTGCTCTGGGTTCCTGGTGTTGGCCTCTTGGGTGGGTTGGATGCTCTGGACATCTGGATTCTAACATTCCTTTTCCACCCTTCCCCAGGCCCAGAGGGCCCAGCAGGGGACCATGTGGGAGGAAGGGGAGATAGAGGCCATCGAGGGCCTGGTGACTCCCCAGCTAGGCCCTGAGGCTCCAGCCTGTAGGTCTGAAGGGGATGTTGATGAGCATGGCCCTGCTCTGTGAGATGCCCATTCACTTCCAACCTCCCAGTGGCATGGGACACAGCAAGGTCCTGGCCACATGCAGGTTTCCATGGGGGCCACAGAACTTGGGCCCAAGTTGGCAGCCACACCCTTTCCTCCCAATGAAGCTCATGTGTGTCTGCTGTCCTCACTTCCTGCCTGGAAGACTGACAGTAACCAACTCAATCATCATCAGACAACAGTGATAACAACCCCTCCCTGCCCCAACAGCTCTCCAGGCATCACTTCTCGGTCCTTCCCATGCTAGGTAAGAGCTTACACAGGATTATTGGCTAGGAAGTGGTCAAAACAGACGTCAGCTAGTCCTGATCATCCGCCAGGGCCCACGCTTCTGGCCCTCCATCCTGCCTCTCTGTGCTTCCTGTTCTCCAGTCTGCAGGGGAAGGTCAGCTCCTGTCTCTGGCCCCAGCAGGTATGGGCTCGAGTCCAGCTGTGTTCCGATCAGCTACTATCAGAATCCTTGACCTCATCCTTGTAGCCAGACTGCTCAGCTTGTCAAAGGTCATCTAATCCCGACACAGCCCTAGGAGGCAGCTGTCACTGTCACTGGTCTGTAGAGAAATGAGAGTCAGAGAGGCCCCCAGCTCCTTAGAGCAGTTGGCTGTGGGAGGGTCGCTGGGAGCTCAGTCTGGCTCCCTCTGCAGATGGTCTCTGCACGGTGAGGCTCAGAGCACCACCCAGTTCCCCACACTTACCTTTCACAATCCAATGGATGGTGCCACTGAGCAGGAAGAAATAAGCCACAGGAAGAGGCGTGGGGAAGCCAGGGGAAAGACAGGCAGCTGGACAGAGTATGAGACTAGAGGACCTGAGAGCCACACAGTTCTGCCTGCCACGGATGGAGATACCCAGGGATCTGCGGGTGCTGCTCCTCCTCCTCCTGGCCTCAAGTAAGTGTTGGCTCCTTGGCCCCTCCTGCCAAGCCTGAGAGACTCTCTGTTACAGAAAATGCCGGGGCAGGGAGGACAGAGACCCAAAGGCGGGCAGGGGCAGGGCGGGAGGATGAGGAGCTGGGGAGTCTGGCGTGTGACTTCTGAGGAACCCATGACCACCTCCACCCTTCCTCCAGTCTTGTCCCTCTGGGCCAGTCCTGTTGTTCCAATGAACCTGGTCAGCATGTGACTCAGGTCCCCTTGTCTCCCCATAGTGCGCTGTGGATGGGAAGGTGGAGGAGGTGCCCTTCATCCAAGCTGTGGCTCCAGGGCCTGAATGGGCCTGGGATGAGCTATTCTACTGGGCTCTGAGCTCCTGGGGCAGGATGTACGCTCTGGAAGCTGAGGTTGGACAGGACTTGCACCCACTCCACCCACACATCCACTCCTCTCCTGGTCTCGCTGCAGCCCTCTGTGCTCGGGGACCCGGTGCCTCCCACTCTCTACCCTCCCGGACACACAGGGTCTCAGAGGCAGCCGAAGGCTTGTCTTGCCCTTGCTGCCCTCTCTCCCAGGACAGCCACCCACCACACCTGGCCCTGTAGCCTTTCTCAGGACTCTGTAGCAGCCCTGTGGGCCCCTCCCTGGTGTTTGTTCACATCTGAGCTCTTTGTGGGCACCTTGGTTACCTAGGTTCAGCAAGTAGTCTGTGTGTCTGTCTCCCTGGGTGTCTGTCTTGCATCTAGCCATGTAACATTGACTACAGGGATCAACCTCCTTGGGCTTCAAAGAATTCTCTTCAAATTCTGGGTGATTTGGTGACATGGTTCAGCCTCTGGCTCAAAACAGTGAAAAACAGACATGCTGTCCAAGTGGAAGGTCCTGGTACAGGCTGTTAGCAGCCCTGGATGCACTGATGAGCTGGTGGTGCCTCAGGGGCCTTGAGGCATTCACAAGAGCTGTTACTCTTGGGCTTCAGAGGTTGTTAGATACGCAAAGCCTGGCAGCTTCATATCTAGAGGTGGTCCAGAGCCCAGTTTACAGGCTTACTGTGTGTCTAAGGTCTTTAGGATTTTTAAAAAATGAGTTTCCTGGAAGGGAAAAATGCTTGAGAGTAACTTTTGTGGGCTGAAACTGAAGGTTTTCTTACAAGCACAGCACAAATTCAAAAGCCTGATTTCCTTTCTACTTGTCTTTTATTTTTTCCATCCTAATTTAGTACCACATGCCCCCTGCCCCAAGACTTACAGTCTATTGGAAGGACAGCTACTTCAGCTGTGGGGAGCGATGGGGATCAGCATTTGGGAACTGGGTTGTTAGGACTGAGCAGGAAGGAGACAGATGTATGCTCTTGCAGGCAATGATGGGCACTCATACACCTGTAATCCCAACACACTGAGAGGCTGAGGCAGGAGGATTACAATTCCAGCCCATTGAGTGTGTTTTAGTTACTTTTATCTCATGCTGAGACAAAATACCTGACACTCAAAGTGAAGCAAGGAAATTTTTATTTATTTTACAGTTTTCTGGAGGTTTCAATCCATACTCAGCTGGTTCCAAGGCAGGGTGGTGTGGCTGAGGGGCATACATTCATGGTGGCTGCAAACAGCAAGAGTGAAAGGGCAAAGAGGGGGGAAAACATGTCTTTTTCCCATCCTTACATTGAATGCTGGCTCTGCCCTTGGGCAGATACTGCTCTTACACCACCAATCCCAGCGCTAGACAACGAACCAATCACAAACACTAGATTCAGGCACTTCCATGATTGCATGATGTTTGGGGAGCCACCTAGACACAAACCATAGGACTGTCCAACTTAGCTTTTGATCTAGGGAGATCCTGTCTCAAAAAATTTAAAAATAGGGGGCTGGGGATTTAGCTCAGCAGTATAAGCTCCTGCCTTGCAAGCAGGCAGTCCTGAGTTCGATCCCCAGTACCAATAAAAAGGAAAAAGACAAAAAAAAAAAAAATTAAAAATAAATAACATGGTCTGGAGATGTAGCTCAGTATGAAACCCTCAGGCTTAATTCTTTCCCATTGCCACCAAAAAACAGTGTGTGAGGGAGAAGGACACTTTACAAAGATGTGGACAGGAAAACAAAAATGAAAAGAAAAAAAGATAGTTTGCCTGCGGGAAGATCTCAGCACTCTGAGGCTGAGGAGCAAGACAGGGAGTCCTGAAAGAAGGAAAAGGTCCCTCTGTGTGAAGACAGCGTGTGAAGCGTCTGAGCTGTGGCCTCCGGCCCTCTGGCTCCACAGCCCTCTGCGGGCCTCACAGTGGGCACTGCAGGCACAGAGCCAGGGTGAGATCGCGGGCGTCTGTAGGGTGAGGCGGCCTCTTCCCACACTCGCGCCTGGCCTGAGGTGTCCTTGATTGCGCTGAATGCAGTCTTATGGGCTTCTCTAAGCTGGGTTCTTGCCTAAAACTTCCTGTCGCTGAGTTGTGAAATGTAGAGCAGAATGAGAGGATTGCAGGACAGGAGGGCACAAGGGAAGCTCTGTGCCCTGCACCGCCTGGACCGTTCCTAACCACTAGGGCAGACACTGGGGTGGGAGGACAGAGATGGCAGCTCGCCTTCAGCTGTCAATTTCCACTCCTCTCTGCTCCTCCCTCCTCTTTCTTTTCCTTTCCTCCTCTGCTTGTCCATCTCTCTCCCTTTACTTAAAGTGCAAACACCCACCCATCATGGACAGCTCCTCCAGCTACCTTTCCCCAGCAAGCAGAGCATCATACAAGCTAGGGGAAGTGTAAAATTCCTTTATCTGCTAATAAAAACAACAGTGTCACACATATATCTGATTAGTATAAAAATGTGCTCTAAATATTTTTTGTCCTTCAAACTGTTATTAAAATGCAATGACGTGGGATAATTCTTAGATCTTTTGGACTGCACACAGTCCTCAAAAGCAGGATCTGCCTCTCCAACATATCGGTTCCAATTCTATCCTCTTCAACCACACACTGTATTTGCAGCTTTTTGATTCCATTTCGGCCTGGAACGTGTTTAGTGGAACCCCACACCAAGACATCTGCTTGAATGCTTCGGACACACTCGTTTATCTTTACCACGACTAGGAAGACGGAAGGCTTGGCCATGAGTGCAGGCTGTTTGGCTTTCTTGCCTCATACTGTGCAAGCCATTTTTCCCCTACATCATCCTCCACATCATCAGAACCCCAAACCCCATGGCTTCAGCTCTCCGCAGGAGCTGGGCAGTGGTGGAGCAAAAAGCACCAAAGACCAGTGCCCAGCACTTAAAATGTTCTTCTTTTTACCCAACGTTTCTTCTAATTTTTTGTTATGCCATCACTTTTAACATGGATTTTATTTTTATCTTAATGATTCAAAATGAAGTAATCTCTCTTAAATGGAAAATACCACTGCGTGTGCTTTTTTTAACCTCAAACACCAGAGAAAGGTGTTAAGAAATGGAAAGTGCCCGTGCCCTGCCCACCTTGCTCCCCGCACTCAGGGGCAGCTCTGCTGGCATCAGTTCCTGCTGGAGTTGCGGGGTGCTCACAGCCGTAACCCCAGCTATTCAGGAGGTTGACGCAGAATGATTGTGAGTACGAGCCCAGCCTGAGCTACGCTGCTCAGGCTGCAGCTCAGTGCAAAGGCCCCAGTCCAGTCCCCAGTGTTGACACAAAGGAACAAAAGGGAAAACCTCATTCCTGGTGGGCCAGTGTGAACAGCGCCAGGCTCAGCGTCCTGACCTCGTTCCTATTACCAGGCAGGTGAAGACCATTCAAAGACAGGTTCTGATCCTTAAAATGAGACTCAACGTGGCCTTGCAGGTTGGCAAAAATGTGAAAGTTTGGAAAAATTTAGTCTTGTGAGCATGTCATTAATAGGCGTTTTTACCCACTTTTGGTGGGCATATCCTTTTTTTTTTTTAGGAGAAATTCACTAATTTTGAATATTTCTTTATATATTTTTGGTGCTGAGTACTGAGCCTCGAGATGTACCCACGCTCTAAACCTAGCTCCTTTTTTCCTTTTCCTTTTTATAGTACACGTGTGCAGGCATAATGTTTACATCCTGTGTGGGGAATCGGTACATGCACAGAACACATCTTAATTCCTTTTTTAGCTCTTTGTCCTCCTCTCTCTCTTGCCTCCTTTTATCTTTTGAACCCTTTCCCTTTTAGATCTACCTCCCTGCTTCCTATCATTATCATTTTATTTTTTCTCACCATATTTTGTACTTTTTCATAAAAGAGAAATGGTGGATATTTAAGCTTGGGTGTTGATTTATTTCACTTAACATTATGGTTTCATGGTACATCCATTTTCTTACAAATGACTCAAGTTTTTCTTTCTTGGTGGCAGATTTATTGTGTATAAATAGCACTTTTTCATTAACCATTCCTCTCTCTCTCTCTCTCTCTCTCTCTCTCTCTCTCTCTCTCTCTCCCTCTCTCTCTCTCCCTCTTTCTCTTTTCTCTTTCTTCAGTGCTAGGTATCAAACCCAGGGATGAGTGCATGCTAGGCAAGTGCTCTATCACTGAGCTACACACCCAGCCCCACATCCCTAGCAAATTTTAAAAGCACATACACTTTGACCTGTACATTCCTCTGGTAGAAATGTTTTCTATAATTCCTCACCATGTGCTGATAAAGACACATACTCCAGAATTCTTACGGCAGCATTCAAAACGGGGGAGGGAGAGAGCCTCAAACCAAAACCCTACATGTTTATCAATAGAGGTGCAGGTGAAAAGTATCCCAACATCCAATAACTTTCTCTCTGGAGTAGTATGAGACTGTCACGGGGCTGGGTCTGAGAGTCTCCCAAACTTAACCCACTCTGCTGTAGCAGGGTTGCTGATGTCCACTGCAGAAAACAGTTTTTTAGGATTTGCCGGAAAAAGGGCCAAACAGGGTTTATTAGGCAGAGATACAGTTACAGGAGGCATTCAAGAGTAGAGTGCAGGTGCTCAAAGAAATGCGATGCGCTGCAGTTTGGGACTGGGTACATTTATACTCTTCTTGAGGGAATGAAAAGCTAGGGATAGACGTTCCCACCCATTCCCCACCTCCTTCTAAAAGTACCGGCCTGTTCACAGGCTTGGGTTTTAACTTTTGCGTTTTTTTGGAGAGGTGACCTCAACTTTTTTTTGGATAGGTGACTTAAACGTTCTCTGGATCTACTCAGTCTGTAATTTATTTTCTTAACTGGGTCAATTTATGGCCTTCTGAGTAAATCTGGCCAAGGTCTGCTGGCATGGGGCTATCTTGAGTGATTCTGGCTGAGTCTTAGAAGTTGCAGTCTTCTTACGAAGTACAATTTTTAGTTGTGATTCCTTTGAGTCTTTTCTACCTTTTATTTTTTTCTATCCTACCTCTCAACTATACAAAAAGATAAGGTAAAAAAATCCCTTCAAGATATATCACTGAGTGGTCTCATTTGTGTGAGTTTTTAAATGACCTAACTACAGTAATCCCAGCACTTAGGAGGCTTAGGCAGGAGGATCAACACGTTTGAGGCCAACCTAAGCTACACAGTGAGTTCAAGCTCAGCCACTGCAAAGTGAGACCCTGTCTCAATAATCCAAGCTACAACGACAGCAACAAAAAGATCTCCCTACTGCGGAGCATGGTGCCACACTCCTGTGATCTCAGTTACTCAGGAGGCGGAGGCAGGAGGCTCACAAGTGCCAGACCAGCCTGGGAAATTCAGCAAGACCATATCTCAAGAAATTTTCTGTTTACATATGCATAGAAAATAAACTTTTAAAAGTGATGAACTAAAAAAAGTGGTGAATGCTGAGGTGTAGGCTGGGGACCTGTAAGAAAAGAGACTTTTACTTTTTCATTTTGTGTCCTTGTGTATGGTTTATCAGTGGCGAAACTATGGCATGTGTGCTAAGGTGGGCTGTTTCTTACCATTCACTGAAAGTTCTACAAGGTTCGTCATCACTGGTTTAGGTTTTAACTCTGCACGTAGCACCTGTGTAGTCATCCACCACAGCCCAAGGGTTAAAACCCTGGCCAACAGGCTCCAGTAAGGCATAACAGTACTGATACAAGATAGCAATACTGATAAAAAAAAAAAAAGAGAGAGAGAGAGAGAGAGAGAAAGAGATCTTTGTGGTAAAAGCTATTCATTCCTCCCAGTGAGTACAGATTCCTTATCTAAAGTTACAGGTCTTCTGTTAACCAAAAGAAATGATCTTGTCAAAATCGTGTTGGTGGGGCTAGGGATACAGCTCAGCAGTACAGCGTTTGTGTGGCAAGCACAGGTCCCGAGTTCCATTCCCAGTACAAAAAAAAAACACTGCATAGGTAAACGTGTAATTTTTTTAAAGAATATAGCTTCTCCCCAGAAGAACTACAAGATGCTAAATGATTTAGGAAGACATTCTCTAAGTAATCACATTTGCTGCCCAATTTTACTGACCCTTGTTCCTCATTCTTAAACGCTTATGAAACCCCAATCTCTCACCCTAAAGGAAACTTGCCCACCATCTGTCTGGCTGCCTTGCATGGCATTACATTTGTTGAGAAAGAGAGCTATAAATATGTAGACACATCCACATATGTGTAAGCAACTTGTTTCGGTGTAAAATTCCCCTCTCTCGGAATAAAAAACAGAGGCTTGGGCTGGGGATTTAGGTCAGTGGCACAAGTGCTTGCCTGGCAAGTTCGAGGTCAAGTTCAACCCCCGGTACAAAAAACAAAAAAACAATGGCTCTTGAATACCAACAATGGGCTGTTTCCTTTATGTATGTTATCACTAATCTTTGCTTTTTTTTTTTATTTAAAAGGAAAAAGAGAAAAAAAGAGAACAAAACAAAACAGTGTAAGGGTACAAGTAATGAATAAGGGAGAGGATGAAATAAAAGAGGGCTTAACACATAACAATACAGGTCAAAGCATGACAGTTTCAGCAACCTAGTGCTTCACCACCAAATAACCCGACTTAATAGTAGTTACCATAGTGTTATCACTAATCTTCCTCTAAAATTTAAAAGAGAGAGATTATTAGCTCACTTCGCTGGTGAGAAGATGTAGCCTTAGTTTGCTGTCTTACTCTACCTGCTGTAGGAGGTAGTGAAAGAAATGATTTATTTAGTTAATTTAAGAAAGTTTTGACTGTCAAGATGAGCCATCTAAGTAACGGTTAGGATAACTAAGTGGGGACCACTTACTGAGGAATTACTGAGCAAAACGCCCTTCTGTGGCCAGAAAGAACAGCTGACTGAACCAGTTTGCTTCAGTCTTTCTCACTGATGGTTGCAGTTTCTCCATTTTTTTCCTCAGATATTTATTGAGCCTCACTCAAAAAATCTCCTTAATATTATGTTGAGCTGGGCGTGGTGGCTCACTCCTGTAATCCCAGCACTCAGGAGGCTGAGGTAGGAGGATCGTTACGAGTTCGAGATCAGCCTGGGCTACAAAGTGAGCTCAAGGCCAGCCTGAACTGCATAGTGAGACTCCGTCTCAAAAAAGACAAAAAAAAAAAAAAAAAAAAAAAAATTACATGTTTTATGTAACTAAATTGGCTATAACTAAAAAGTTAAACATTTATGTTTAAAACAATTTTTTCTTAAAATATTGAGATGCTATTGGTTAAATTTAAAAGGTAAAGGTTCTATAAGTTATTAAGATAGTTTCTTACATTTTCTATTGTTAGGCTTTGATTACTAAAAATTGAGCTTTAAGAGCTAAATATTTTAATGTTGTAATATAAAATGTTTTCGATAATCAGCTTATGTTTGTTAAATAATTGACTATTAATTTATGGTACAACCTATATGTATGGGACTAGAAATCCATCAAAAAATGTAGTAAATATAAGCTTTAAAGTCAAATTTATAATATTAAAAGTATATATGGTTAGTATATTCAAAGTAACTAATAGATGTACTCTTGTAAATAATACATATCTAGACCCTAGGCATATAAAATGACTACATTTGACTTCTTCAATACTTTATTAAAATAAATTTAGAAAAAAGTTTGTCATTTAATATTTTATAATTAGATAAAGATAACTGACTAAAAAGTTATTTTATACTAAAATAGAAATTTAAATGTTTCCAAAATAAAACCTAATTCACATATAAAATAAAACCTTATGCAGCAAAATAAAACCTTATTCACATATAATAATATCATAATGTCATGCTAAAATATGATGTCTCTATCTCAAAACTTCTTTAAAAAACTTTAAAATTGTCTGCTAGCGTTCTACAGAAATTTGACTTCTAAGAAACTGTGATTGGTAAAAAAAAATAACAGTTCTTTGATCATACTTTATGTTTCAAGATGCTTAGTAGCCAGATAAGCTAATTAAACTACTGCTCCTGCTGCATACTGGCATGACTAACCTCCTAGGTGTTCAACAGCTGAGGTTTGGAGACCAAAGATAAAAGGATTACTGGGTAATGAGGACAGCCAATATTTTGGCCCTGGACCTCCAACATCAACAAGGACCCTGGATATAAGGGGAACTTTCTATGAGATCCTACAACTCTAGTCAGTCACCCAATCTCCTGAACAGGGAAATCGTTGGACCCAACAGAATAGATGTCAATCAATGCAAAGGAGGGTCACTAAAGAGAGAAATGTCTCCCATAGGAAGCCATGTGATCAAGCAAGACCATGACTTACCCTGGGAGATGACACAGCCAGAGATGCTCTGTATGTGATTCCAGAAGTAACACCTGAGGAGCCTTAACTGACTTTGATATGTACAGTGAGAGGCTAATTTTGTTTAACACAGGTCTTACTTTAACTTGATCTTAAACAGTCAGCAGAAAAGTACAATCAAAAGATATATAAAACAATAATAATACCGATAAAGAGAAGGGGCTCCAGGATTGGCACTAGTGCCTGCCACAGCCTCCAGCTACAGCTGTAGCTGACCATTGTTATGGTTTCATGAGGCTAGAAATCCACAGTAACATTTGTAAAAGCTCAATGAGTCTTTAAATTCCTTAGCTAAAATTAGAGCTTTCTATCTTCTTACAGAAAAAACTGGGAGGACTTGTACAGTAATAAATAAAACTTATCTTCAGATAAACAATTCACATCAGGTTAAAAATGCTAAAAGAAATATTAGACTTACAGATGACCTCCATAAGCAAGTCTAGGCCCCTGCTGTTTACAATCTCCATTTCGATCCCTAAAAAATAGCATCTAAACTCGGCTCCTTCTTCCAATTTGCTTTTTCATTCCAGTTCTTATTTGGGCCATGATTTTTTTTTCCACAAAAGTTACATTTAATTCACAATGTAATTGGGGGAGTGCAATTTTAATTCTTAATCACTTGATAAGTTGGTTTATTCTCCACTAGAGATTGTCAAACTGTAAATGGTTGTCGATGTCGCTCCCGCCCGGCAGGAAAGACACACGACAAGGTCTGGCGGTGGTCAGGCTTTTCTTTATTCTCTCCTTATACAGTCTGCCCCGAAGCCTCTACCGGTCCGCTCTCCGCGGCTCCTTCCGTGCTTCAGTCTCTCTCTCGGGGGTGGAGGCACTGGCTATATATAGGATTAATAGCTAGGCAGACTACCCTGTGAGGCGGGAACTTAGTGGGGTGATAAGAAACAGGTGCCACACAGGCGGGCTCGATGAGAGGGGTAATCTAGCTCAGGCTTTTGTACTTTCCCACAGGCCTCGCAATCACCGCGTCTGATGACTTGACAGTGCCACGGCTCCCAACAAATGGTCAGGAAGATGGTAATGATGAGGCGTGACACAACTCCTACTTGATCCACTGCATAGGCCTTCAGAAGAGTCTGTAGCTGTTAAAGACCCCAGCATCTATCAAAGCTCCCTTAGACCAACACTCTGGAGGAAGTTCCTGATTGTTGGTTCCCCAACATCGATCCCTTTCAGCACAAAGCAGCTAGATTTGGTCTTTGCCTGTTCTCCCTTAACAACTGTTAAGGATACTTCTTCAGAGAAGGGAAAATGTTAACTTTATTTAGGTAGCTTAGAGTAAGACAGCCAGACAAGGGAGCAGCCGCAATAGAATTGAGTAATCAGCCATACCAATGGGAATTTAAATATAAATAGCAAACTAGAACTTTGGGCCAGAAACAAACATTCCTCAGGCACACAAAATGTGGCCCATCCCTCCTAAAAAGGAGCTAATGGCTGTCCCCTAAGTTCTGGAGTTCTGAGGGAATAATAGTGCAAACCACCCCACTGTCTAAGATCCCAGTTCACTGCAAACACTGGAGAGGAACTGAGGTAGTGAGCCTAAGTTTCAACTGGTCACTTCTTTAATGGCCACCTGTGACAGGTGATCACTAAACTATTAAGCAATTCCCGACTCCTGTCTTATCTATAAGTGGTTCTAGATCAAGTGGCCATGTGGCCACCCCATTCAGGACCTCTCCTAAAAATCCAGGAGCTATTCTATTCTCTGTCTCTTTATTTCCAATCGAAACTCTCCTGACTTCCTCTTTTGGTTCATGACTTCATTCCTCAGGATGTATGGAGCCACGATCTGGGTATTCAGGGTGCCACAAGCTGTGAGGTTATAGCCACAGCTGTAAAGGCCTTGAGCCTCTGATATGAAACAGCTCAGAAAAGCCAGGCTGCTCCCTGCAGGAGACAATAAAGGAGGAATGGCACTAAAAAACCTCCTTGTGGGGCCGGGGATTTAGCTCAGCAGCATAAGCTCCTGCCTTGCAAGCGAGCAGTCGTGAATTCGATCCCCGGTACCAAACAACAAAAACAGAAAAACCTCCTTGTATCTCCAGTACTGTATTATGCTTTCCTCAAAGCACCCCCCAGCCTGTGTGTGTGTGTGTGTGTGTGTGTGTGTGTGTGTGTGTGTGGTGGGGGAACCTTCTTTCACCCTGGGACCTGAAACTTGGGGAAGGGTGGGTGACTGCAGCTGGGGTCCTGACCCGATATACTCTGACCTCTCCTTTAGATGGGGTGAGGTCCACTGGTGCACCAGAAAAGGAAACCCCAAGAGATGCCTGCAAGAGCCTCCCCAACAAGCCACACCCATCTGACCCCTTCTACTTGGATGACACCGCCCAGTGCTTTGCCAAGTGCAGGCAGGGAGGGAGCAGTGACTCCTGTGTTCCCGGAAACCTGGAGAGGTGAGAGGAGTAGGAACCTGGGGCTTCCACGTGGGGAGAGGAGGAGACATGAGGAAGGGACAAGGCCACCTGTCCCTGGGGCACCAGAAAACACCACTCCCATCTTACCCTTCCACCTTGTTGCTTGACACCCATGTTCCTCCACCCCAGCCTCCCTTCTCTGACAACTAGAGATCCCCACTGACACAGGAGAGATGGCAACGGGTCAGCTTTTGTCCTTGTAAGCTGTGGAGGAACAGATACGAACCCAAATAGCAATGATTCCAGAATGTGTTCACACTTAGGTTCACACACTCAGGTGCACCTCTCACTACCAATAAAAAAAAAAAAAGGCCATCTATTTGGTAAAAAAGATTTATTCAAAGCTAGCCCATTTCCTTCACACAGAGGGGCCCATTTATTTCAAATCACCATCTCACTGTGTACAGGTGGGCAAGGGTCTTTTATAGTAAGGGACAGAGGGAGGGGGGATCACAGGCAATGCAGCCCTCACACTTGCTTGTGCTTCTAGCCCCCTTCAGCTCATTGTCCCCTTTTCTGTGGAAAACAAACAGTTCTAGCCTTTTGGGCCAGCATCTGATTAATCCATCACTTCATTTGGGCTGGTGTTAGTTATGTGCTCAGCAGCAGGAAGCTTAGAGGAGTTGTTTATCTCTAAAAGAAAAAATTTAACCTTAAAGTTCCATTTTGAAATACCAATTACATGCACATACAAGGGCAAACAAGGTGTCATGTTAGGCCAGAGGAGGGAAATCTAATAAAGCCTCACAGAGGAAGCAACCATGAAAGGGCTTTGAAGAGTACACAGGAGTCTTTCCATTGGCCTAGGCAGTGGCAGACGATACAGCAGCAGAACTGCAGAGGACTGCAATACTTTGAACCCTGAGAGTGTAGAGTGTAGGGCGCTTGGAAATGGTGACCACAAGGGACAAAGAGGGACAAGTAGGAGACAGGACTAGAAATGCAAGATGGGAGTAAGGAGTAACAGGTTGTATAAGCTAGATCAACCCTGGGCAGCAAGGAAATGTCAGATTTTAGGAAGAGTGCAGTTAACTGCATTTTAGAAAGATTTCCAGAGCTTAGGGAAAGACACAGAGGTAGAGATACAGGAGGGGCCGTGCTAATTGAGGCATGAGTGCAGAATGACGTTGCCACCTGAAGTGTGCCCTGTGCACCTGGACAGGCAAGGCCTGGGAGGTCAGATGACACAGGGTCAACAGGACCAAGAGATGGGCTTCAGTGCGGTGAGGGAGAGGAAGGGCTTCAGGGTACAATATCCCAGGAGTCAGCTCCAAATGTATCTCTTTCCCCTGCCCTGCTCTCACTTCTAGTCAAAGTTGCCATAATTCCTCTGGGTACTCACAAAAGCACCTAGCTTCTGACTGGTGCTCACTGATTATTTGTTGAAGGTATGAATGAAAGCCCTGTGCTCACAGGCTTGATGTTAGGACAGCTATCTAATTGAATCACATTCTTCCAGGGGGCTGAAAGTGTCCCCATGCACACATATAGCTGCTCCAGCAGCTTCTCAACACCCCAAACCTCTTCTGAGGGCCCCTTTCATGCTGCCCATGGTGGGGGGTAGCATCTTGGAAAACACAGAGGGCTGGGATCAGATGATGTGGGGTTTGTTCCCAACTCTATCACTTACAAGCTGTGCCAAGCACCTCGAGTTATCTCCTTTATCATCATAATGAGCTTGTGAGGTAGGTCCTGGTTTCAATCCATTTTTCAAATGAGAGAGCTAAGTCTCTAAGAGTCTCCAGAAACATCTTTTCCCTACCAAGATAGTAAACCAAAAGCAAAAACCATATTCCTGGGGGGAAACTACAGAAATTAACCTCCCCATCAAAAACTTGAAAGAAGCAGGATAGTTATATCACAACACTTAATTCTCCATCCACCAGATAGACTTAGAGAATGATTAGCCTCCAGATGATCCTTTAGATGATGATAAACTTAATCAGGTTGTCATTCTACCTGCAAGCTTCAGGGTGAGCATCTTTACTCAGCAAATCAACACAGCCCCTGGAAATTAGAGTGCAGCTCTCATGTGGATTAATGCTTTTTTTTCTACACTAATTTTCAAGTGAATAGTTTCCTTTTTTTTTTTTTTTTTTTTTTTTTTTTGAGACAAGGTCTCATTATTCAGGTCAGGCTGGCCTTGAATTCACTAAGTAGCCCAGGCTGGCCTTGAACTCATGGCAACCCTTGGACTTCTGAGTGCTGGGATTATTGGTGTGCCCTCCCCTCCCCAGCAACAGTTTACTTTTGTGTGGCAGAGCCAACAGGATACTGCTCCAGTGTTACCTTGGGGCTTTGCCGATTCTGCTTTCCCTCAGTATAGTGCACAGAGATCTTGATAATCTTGACATTCCAAAAAATCTCTTTTGTCTACTATATTCGCATCATTGTGTGGATCAGATCTGGTGAGCAGAAGGCAGCAAGTACTTAATGTGTGTTAGGAAGACACACGCAAAATAAACCCCACAAGAATTCAAGAGGGCATCGCCCCAGTGAATTTTCTGAACATTCAGAGGCCTGGAGAATGTGAAGATATCTTTTCAAAATGAAAGATGAGTCTTTGGAGCTCATACCCCTTACTATGAAAAAAAGGGCACAGTATGGAAAATGCATGCTATCCAAATACTAGCCAAAAGAAATCTGAGCAACTGTACTAAATCAGGTGAGGAAAATGATACATAAGTGTCAACTTATTAATAATTCTACTGTACATCTATGCTTTGAATTTGTTGAACATCAGCTATCTTTCACAGCTGATATAATTTTTAAAGTATCCTGATGTGATTTAGAGCCTTTAAAATAAAGAGTGTGCTTCAAAAATTAAGAAGGATACAAAATGTAGATAAATATTTTATCACTTAGGGGTCCTTTGGGGTATCTGATAGAGCTGGAGGCCACAGACACACACAAGTCAGAGGGTACAGCCAAAGAGAGATATCCATGGGCCAGAGCTTTTCTTGGGGGCTCAGGGACTTATTCAAACGTTTCCCAAGGGAGTTTTAATTGGTGGTGTTGAGGGAGGTAGGCCTGAGTTCCAGTGAGTCACACTGGCTGAGACACAGCCACTGTGTCAGATCTGTATAGGCCATGCAGGGTGTGGGAGTCAGTGACTAGGTTGATCCTAGCTGACCCACAGCAATGGTCAGCAGGCACAAGTGTACAAGACAGCTTTCTGGATTAAACACGTGAAGAAACTTGGACATAGTGCAGACACTGGACACTGTGTCAAAGGTGAGCCTTGATTCTGGTATAGGAAATGTATAGGAAAGTCCAAATCAAAACAAATGCCCAAGCAATAGAAGATCATAAGAATTCACCACACCTAGATATTTTAAAGGTAAAGCTAGGATCAATTGGATTCTACTTCTGGCTGGCTTTCTTGTGTGTTTTCCATCCAAGCATATTTTGCAGATATTTGTCTGGCTTACTGTTCTGATTGTACAATATATCTTCTGTAATCTCTTTAGGGCTTACTTCCCCTCTTGGTAACTGTTACTATTCACAAATGATGACAAAATCAAAAGTTCTCTTTTTTGCCCTCATAGCTAATCTCTTCCCATAGTGGTAGTCTAGCTGTATCTCGTTTTGTTGCCTTTCCTTCTAGTACTACCTGAGCCCTCGCTTTTCAGGTGCTAGGAAAGCTGGACAGCAGTTCAGCCGGGCCCTGGGAAAAGGAATCTGATAGACATTGTGGTTTCAGCACCACGGAGAGCGCACCGAGCTTTCTTCAACTACCAAGGAACCGTTGTTACCTTTTGTGTTGTGTGTTTCGGGTATCAGCTGTACTTCCATGCAGTCAGTTCCTGCACTACTCAAAAGTTAGATTTCTAGTATTTAAATAGATGCACTAATGTGTGTGAAGAGAGTTTTCCCATATAAGAGCAAAGAGGACAAAAAGCACATGAAAAGATGCTCAACCTCACCGGACATTAGTGAAATACAAATCAAAACCACAGTGAGATGCCTCTGCACACCCACGAAGATGGGTACAATTAAAACAAGACAAAAAATGAAAACTGTAAGTGGTTACAAGGATGTGAAAAACTGGGACCTTCGTACTTCACAGGCGTGAGTGTGAAATGATGTAGCTGTTGTGGGAAAGTTTGGAGGCTCCTTAAGATGTTAGAAAAAGAATTATCACACGCAGCAACTCAGTTCCCATGTATATGCCCAAAAAAGTTTAAAATAAGTCTTCAAATAGAAGCTTGTACATGGATTTTCACAGCAGCCCTATTCACAATAGCCAAAAAGTGGGAAAGACCCAAATTGTCCATCAACAGGTGAATGCATAACCAAGATGTGGTGTATCCATGCAGTGAAATTGCATCCATCCAATAAAGAGAAATGAAACAATGCCACAGGCTTCAACATGATTGTACCTCACAAACATTATGCTAAGTACGAAAAAAACAGATATGAAAGGTCAGACATTATGCTTCCATTTATATGAAATATATGGAGTAGGAAAATTCATAGAATTCTAAACCAGATTTAATGTGTGTGCAAAGCTAGGAGAAGAGGGAAGGCTGACTGTATAGAAGTCATGGGGTTTCCTTTTGGAGTAGTGAAAATGTTTTGGAACTAGTTAGTGGTAATGGTTGCACAGCATTGCTTATGTACTTCTGCCACTGAATTGAATATTAAAACAGAAAATTCTACTGTATGTATTCTACCACAAAAAGAAAAAGACAGACACAAAAAATGCTCAGTAGCTAAATCTCTCAGGAACAACTTGGTTTCCAAGCTTCTTCCTCCTCCAGGGAGTTCAAGTTTTTGATGTCCTGGGTCAGGCCTTTCATTGCATCAGTTTGGTGAGTGGGTATCTCAGCCTTCAAGATGCTACCTCCCTGACCCTTACCACCTCCCTTGCAGGCACTGGCTGTACTATGAGTCCTATCTGGTGGAAAACTCAGTGGGGACTGTGGACAGGCCTTTTGTGAAGTCTCTAGTACAGGACATCAGCACTGACACCTCAGAAGACCTGCTCTTTTCTCTGAAGCGCTCTCAGGTGAAGACCTCCTCATGCCCATTGGCTGGCTCAGGTCCTGTGCTCATTTCTGAAAGTTCTATCCAGTACTGGTGCCCATTATGCTTAACCCTCCCAGATTCCATTCAGTAGAGCTTTGCCACCTTGTCAGTGGGTGCTAGTGAGTTAACTGCACATGCAGAACCTGGGCATTGGTGATTGAGGGTATAGACATGTAACCTGGGTGACGCATAAGAGGTAAGTGAGTTGTGATCAGGAGACCTAGGTTCGATCTAGTCTTGCCTTTCCCACACTACTCTAGGTATACTCTGGGAAACCCCTCTCCCTCTTTGTGTCCCAAAGTCCTTCTCTGTAAACTCAGCACACAGGCTCCTCCAAGTCGGAAATACCCAGGAGCTCTTCTGCCCAAGAAACCAAAGAAAAGGCACTAAAGACTAAACTCTGGAACTAAAGGCTAAACAAGAGGACCCTGCATCTACATTGGTCCAGATTCAATTCCCAGGTCTGCCCCTTATCAGCCATTGTGACTGGGGGCAAGTTACCTTTTCTGTGCCCCAGATTCCTCACATGATAAAGATATTGCCCACTTCTGAGATGACTGAGAGGATCAACTGAGTTAGTGCACAGAAATTCCTAGCACCATGAGGGCTCAGCAAGTCGCTAGCCTCCCTGGGAAAATGAACCCAAGGGTGGAAGTCCAGGCAGCCAGGCAAGCTGGTTATCATCAGGGGACTTGTACGCATGTCTGGAGAAGGGGAAATGGAAATGCAGTCCTTTCTCAATCCCTTACTGTATTAACCAGACAGCTGAGCCCACTGCCCGGGTGTGAACGGGCACCAGAAATCATCCACATGTCTTTTGATAAGGGCTGAGCCCAGAAAGAGAAAGCTGAACTATTCAGCTCTAACTCTTAGCTCCCCCCATTTCAGTGTGCACACAGGATGCCTTTGAGGCCAGGAGCAGGCAGGATCAGGATGCAGCTGCAGGAGACCCAAGGAGATGAGCAGCTGAACAAAACATGCTTTGTAATCACTGCTGCAGCTTATTTTAACATTTTGACTTTTCTTAGTTTTTAAAACACTTACTGTTGGATTTCACATTCCATGTGAATGTTCATGTCTATGTCATTTCCCTTGCTTAATTTTTTCTTAGTGACTTTGTTCTTTCCATTATTTTCAAGGCAGAAACCAGACACCACCACCATCAAGCCCCATGCTGACATGGGGGCTATCGGACCTTAACATCCAAAGCACAGCACAGTTGACCCTTCTGCAAACCGAGCTTGCCTGGGTGTCATCCCTCACAGCTAGTTCCAGCCTGGCAGGTGGCCAGCAAAGCACATAATTAGCTCCATTTTCCACATTGGGAAAGTGGAGTCCATATGTGCTGTCACTAGTCCCTGTGTCCACTGCCTGTGAGGAGCAGTCTGGCCTGAGCTCCTGCCTCTCAGAGCTACCAGTGCCCAGGTGCTGCGTGTTCAGCCAGCTGCCTCCTGCCTCCTTCAGCCAGTTTCCTGTCTCAGCTGGGGCAGTGGCAGGACCTGTGTTGAAGCAAAGAATCTTTGGGTAAAAACGGGAGCCCCTGGGTCTGGTTGCAGATCCCAAGGCAGGTGATGAAGGATGAGGAGAAGCCCTCCGACAGACTCTGGTTTCCCAAGAGCTTCTTTGGATCCTTGCCAGGCAACAGGCCAATGGTGCGCTTGGCTATAACTGTTCTAGACATCGGTTCAGGAAACGTCTTCAAGGTGAGGAGAGGCCACTGGGGACTCAGAAGTTGTGAGGTTCAGTGCTAGTTTTTTCAGGGCTCCATAACCAAGGGCCCCTGCCGGGGACCCTGGATCAGTGGGGAGGGAGTAGGTGGTGCTGAACCTCCAAGAGTGTCTCCAAGTGGCCCGATCACTCCAGAGCTGGCTCTGCAGTCTATTTCCTGCAGGCCCAGGATATGCATGTGCCTGTGGACGTGGAGGTTCCCTCTGCTCCATCTCTAAGATGGCCCTATCCCTTGGCCCTGCAATTCAGAGGGCAGAGGAGCACTGGAGATCAGCAATGCAGCACTGTCAGGAACTTGGCTTTGCGACCAGTCTGTAGCACAGGGCCTGGGTCACCCCAAGTGGGAGACTCGAGAGAGTAGCAGGAAGAAGACTGCCCTACATTCCCATGGCCCTTTGATCCCCTAGCCTCCAACTTTGCCTTCAGGCAAGGGTCACAGGTCCTGGAGGTTCCTGGACTGCCGACCAGAGTGGGTTGATTCACCCCTTCCTGCAGCCTGGCCTTTCTATCTCCCCTTACAGGGCCCCAGGCTCCTCCAGGAGGAGGGTAGCAGTGTGCTGAACAACCATGTGGTGGGCTTGAGTGTGGGCCAAATGCCTGTCACTGGGCTGTCGGAACCTCTGGAGATCACCCTCTCCCACCCTCGTCACCCTTCTGTGAGTCACCACTCCAAGGCTTGACAGTCGCTGTAAGGCAGACAGACACGTGAAGTAGACACACGTGGGAACTTGTGCCCTCTTCCTTTCCACATCCACCAGGGGAGGCCACTAGAGCCATCTGCACAGTTGTGCCTGGGGACACAGCCTATCTAGGTCATGTGTGCCTACGCACTCACAAACACTCCTGTGTTCACAGAAGTGTAGATGAGAACTCAAGAAACCCACCTGTGTGCACACAGCGTGCACACCCACCTGGCTAACATGCACTGGCATGCAAACTGGCCTGGAGTCCCTCCAAAGTCCAAAGTCACTGCTCCATGCCATGTTAGCATCCTCGCATACCAGTCCAGGGTACTTTGGTCTGTGTGGCTGGTTTTCCTATGCAGCCCACAGGAGAGTGGTCTAGGGTAGGCCACCCTGTCTCTGCTCGCCTCCACTGAGACTCTCACTTTCTGGTTTCAGAACATGACCCTCACCTGTGTGTTCTGGGATGTGACTAAAGGTAGGGCCTGGAGGACCTCTCTGGGGCAGACAGGAGGGGGGTATGGGCTTCGGGTGACCCCCTCTCTTCCTTCCTCTATGTCCCTCTTCTGTCCAGGGCCCACAGGAGACTGGGCCTCCAGGGGCTGCTCCACCCAGCTGGGAGCTGAGCAGACTGTGTGCCGCTGTGACCACCTGACCTTCTTCGCCCTGCTGCTGGTGACGCCCCCCCCCCCCCCCCGCCGCCTGATCCCAGGAGTCCTGCAGGCTCCCAGTCCCTACCCCGGGTGGGGTTCCCTGTTAAGGCCAGAGCCTTTGGGGTGCTTGGGCCTGTCTCCCAGCTGATGTGGCCCCAACTCGGGGATCATCCACAGAGGCCAATGTTGGACAGGGCCACCGTGGCGATCCTTACACGCATCTCCCAGGCAGGCTGCGGGGCGTCCATGATATTCCTCACTTTCACCATCGTTCTCTACATCACTCTCAGGTGGGTGACTCCAACTCCACTCCACACTCTCCTCTGTACTCCCTCTTGTATACTCTTGTCCCTAACCTAGCCTCATCTGAAAATGAAAAATTCTGTACTCCCTTCTGTACACTCTCTTCACTCCATATCTCCTCTCTGAACAAGCAGGGTTGGAGGTTGAAATGTGTAAGGGATGTTTTGTTGTAAGTGACAGAAATCCAACCCAGTCTGGCTTACCATGGTAGGGCATATGTGTCTCATGCAACTGAAAAAGCCAAGGTGTATGGACTTCAGGCAGGGTTGGATCCAGGGCCTCAGAAGGACCTCGTCTCCACCTTTCATGGCTTTGTCCTCTCCTCTGCCAGTCATGTCAAGCTGCTTCCCACTCAGGCCTTTAGGAAACCCAGCCCTCCCCACACACAGCTCTTTAGATGCTCACGAGGAAATATAACCATAAGATCGAGCTCTCTTTTATTCAAAAATTTATTTTTAAATAATTATATAAGAAGCGATAATTGCAAAACAGCACAGAATCCCTTCTCCTACACACCACCCTCCCCCAGTGGTGACATCTTAACATAACATAGTGCAGTATGAAAACCAGGATGTTGACAGTGACATAGTCTGCTGACTAGAATATAGGTCTCTTAAGGTTTTCATTATTTTAAATATATGTTCCTGTGTGTGTGTCTTTGTGTGTGTCTGACACTAGTAGGGATATAATTTGTAGGGCCCAGCCCAAAATAAAAATACATGACCTCTTGTACAAATATTATGCAGGCCAGGTACAGTGGTACACACCTGTAATCCCAGTACTTGGTAGGCTAAGGCGGGAGGATTGTGAGTTTGAGCTCAAACTGGCTATATAGGAAGTTGAAGGCCAACCTGGATTACATTGTAAGACCCTGTCTCAAAAATCAGCAACAAACTAGATTACACCTGTAATCCCAGATTTCTGGGAGGCTGAGGCTGGAGGACGGCAAGTTTGAGTCACTGGGCAACTTAGTGAGTTAGTGAAACCTCATCTGAAAATGAAAAATAAAAAAGCCTGGGAATGTAGCTCAGTGTGAAGGTCCTGGGTTTAATTCCCAGGACTACAAAACAGTAACAACAGCAAAATTATTGAGAATGTCATGATGGTGGTGGCGAAGTATTACCCAAGACTGAGGCTCTGGTAACCCCTGCAGAGGTCATGCATCCACAATACTGGTCCATTCTGTGCATGCGTGTATGTGTGCACACGTGTGTGTGTGTTTGTGTGTGTGTGCGTGTGTGCGTGTGTGTGTGTGTCCCCGAGCAGCTGATCCATGCACACAGCAGAGTCCAGCTTTATGGCTGTGGTGGAACCAGCCTGTGCCCGCAGCCATGTGGTCAGGGAAGGGAAGGAGTGCACTGCTATTGGCCACACCTGGCCAGGTGCCCGCTCTTGGAGTGGAACTGGTACGGGACAGACCGCCGCCGCCTCCCTGTGTGCCTCATGGCTGCAGGTGGGAAGGGTGTTCTTCAAGGTCACCTGGGGCTGTATCAGAAGTGAGGAGCAGGTAAGGAGAGACAGGAATAGCAGTAAGCACTGTCCCCTTGCTCTCCTGAGCCCCGTCCTTGGCTCAAGAGCCCCAGGATCTGAGAATCCTGTCCCCCACCTAGCCTGCCTTGCCTCTGCTCCTGCAGCCCCAGCTCACCATTCTCAGTGTGGAGCAGCAATCTGGTCCCTGTCTTCCAGTCTGAGGCTCCCCTCTGCCCCCTCTGTGCCTCTGTCATAGTATGGCACTGGGCTGCAGCCCCATGAGCCCACCCACCCCACCACAGGCCAGCACCCTGGAGTGAGTGGTATCGCCCCACCCTCCCCACTCTGAGCCCTGGCCTACGACACTGTCCCCACCCCCAACAAGCTGAGCACCACTTGCCAACTGGCTGCGTTGCTGGACCCTGTGAACTGGGCTTGGAGCACCAGGAGGAAATGTCACCAGCTCCCAAGGGTGGGGGCTGGCATCTCAGGTGAGGGCAACATTGTCCCTTAGGATACTTTAGACTACTTGGGGCTCCCATCACTTAATGAGAGCCCTGTGGGACCTCATTTTCAAGGAATCTAGAGGGAGGGGTCCATGGAGGAGGGGGAGGCAAGACCTGCTAGGAAGTCCTGGGCAGAGAGGTGGCCCGAGGCTCTGTGACTCTTGAAGTTCCTGTCCCTCTCTGACCCTGTCTTCCTACTACATCCAAGGCCTCACCCATCCATCCTGTGCCCACCCATTCATCCAACCAATGAACCCAGGGCTCTCCGGCCCACTATGCTGGGGCCCTGAGTGCTCAGAAAGAATATAGCAAGGGAAGACTGTGGGTCCCACTGCACTGCTGGGAACATACAAGTCTATCTGGGCTCTGGGCCATTTGATAGAGCCTCCTATGAAGAAATCATCCCTGGGGGTTTTGAAGGTGGTGTAGGTGTTGGGCGGGCCAAGAAAGGACAGAGTCAAGAAGAAGCAGGCTAAGGTGTCAGGGCAGAGGGAAGGCTGAGCCATGTCTGGGAGGCATAAGAAAGCCAAAGGCACTGAGGAAATGACAGCCTAATACATGGAGTCAAGCCTTGATCTTGGCAGGACTGGACCCACAAAGGTCAGAGGAAGCTTCTAGACTTGAACCTGAGAGCACACATGTGGGCTTCTGGCAATGGCAGAAGCTGGAAGATCTGGCAGTGGGGCTGCTGGGTGGAACGGAGAGTGGTGTGGGTGGACGGGATGCCCCACTGAGCTGTGGCTCCTGGGGCCCCCACTGGCCCTTCTCGCCCCAGGCTCTCTCTGCAGAGGTTCAAGTCGGAAGACGCTCCCAAGATCCACTTGTCCCTAAGCTGTAGCCTGTTCCTGCTGAACCTCGCCTTCTTGATCAGTGTGGGGAGCGGTTCACAGGGGTCCAGTGCCACCTGCTGGGTCCGGGCTGCTGTGTTCCACTACTTCCTGCTCTGCACCTTCACCTGGATGGGCCTGGAAGCCTTGCATCTCTACCTGCTGTCCATCAGGGTCTTCAACACCTACTTCGGCCACTACTTCCTGAAGCTGAGCCTGGCCGGCTGGGGTGGGTATTATCTAGGCAGCAGAAGGGGGCCTCTCAGATCAGCCCTGTGCTTATCTGAGGAATGGGCAGCTGGAGGAGATTTGGAAGTGGATGTGCCCAGGACTCCCTGGTAATGCCCACTTGTTCTCCTTGTGCCCAGGTCTGCCCACCCTAGTAGTCATTGGTATGGGGAGTGCCGGTAGCTATGGCGTTTATGCTATCCGTGACCAGGAGAACCGCACAGCACTGGAGCTGTGAGTGGTGGCCTTGGGAGCAGGGTGACACCAGGCTCACACCCTGGGGCTGGAGGGAGGTGGGGGAAGAGGGTGTCCTAGGAAGAGAGAACAATCTTCAAATCTGCCTAGCTTTGGGAACAGGAAGTGAAGTGGGAGAGGGCCCAGGAAGGAGGAGGCAAAATAAAAAATGTGACTCCCTCCCCATGCCCAGCACTTAGCCTGGTGAATGAGGATGGGCTGGATTTCAGGTGCTCTTTAGTGGAGCACAATCTGCCCAACAACTCCAGCAGCCCAGTCTCTCCCCTGACTGCTAGTGAGCCTGGCTGCCATCTCCTCATCTATACAATAGGGAGGACTGCGGTGGATTGGAAGTCACATGTCCATCTAAGGGACTGCTGGTCACTGTCAAGAGAAGCAGAGATCTGTGTGTTTATGTCAAGCATTCTGACTTACAATGTAGCTACTAATTTGGGATTTTTACAACATGATGTGGAGCAAATGAAACACCATTCTGGGGTTGATTCAGCCCTTTTCACCTGTTGTCTACAGAGCCACCAGGCTGGTTCCTTGCCCAGGGAAAGAGAAGGGGCAGATGGGTGGAAATGGTGAAAAGGCATCTTCTTGACCACAAAAGATCAGCCAGGGAGACTTCCTGGGGCTTGTTGTTGGGGGGGGTGGTCTTCTCCCAATCCCAGTGGTCATCCACTTCTTCCAGGTGTTGGATCCAGAAAGAACCTGCCCTCTATGTCACTGTCCATGGCTACTTCCTCATCACCTTCCTCTTTGGTGCTGTGGTGCTGGCCCTGGTAGCCTGGAAGATCTTTACTCTGCCCAGTGTAACAGCGAACAAGCAGCAGGGACAGAACTGGAAGGCTGTTATCACCGTGCTGGGCCTCTCAAGTCTGGTGGGCATGACCTGGGGGCTGGCCATCCTCACACCACTAGGCCTGTCCACCATTTATATATTTGCCTTCTTCAACTCCCTACAAGGTGAGGCTCTTGGGTCAGGAGGGCCATGGGCTGCCTGTCTGCACCAGGGGCTGGGAAGTGAGGAAGAGGGTTTTGCAACAAACAGGATTCCACAGAGGGTAGTGCCAATTGGAGGTACTGATTTCCCCAGGTCTCCCTTAGGACCTGGGGCAAGTGTATCAGATTCACAGAAGTTGGTACCAGAATCGGGAAAAACCACCCAAACCAAAACATACTGTTCTCTTCTCTTTTGTTTTGAAGCTGCGTGCTGTTCTCATTGGGTGTCTGTGGAAACGCCTTCATTCTCTTGCTCTTGCCCATTGCTGCCATGGCCCCACGTGGCTGTCCAACATGGCTGCCTCTTTATGATCTGCAAGTCAGCTGACCATTTCTGGTCCAATCAGATGTGATCAGGATGGAAAGTTCATGTGACTTGATGTCCAGATGGCAAGGATGGGGTCTCTAAAGAGATTGTTATATCTATTCCCTAGCCCAGCTCCTCCTTCCTCTGAGAGCCCAGGAAAGTAAGAGTCCAGAGAGTGGTTCACAGTTTCTTTCCAACAACTTGATCCTTGTTCACACACAAACAGCTCAAAAAAGCACACTACCTGACTGTGAGGGTAACAGGTGAGAAGGGGATGACAAGAGTCATCTTGTCTGAGCCATTGGTAGGAACTCAGCCAGCCTAGATGCAAACTCACAAATAACGCCAGGGCTGGCCTCAGAGCCTCCATGACACTGTGTGCTTGGCGGTTGGGGCCAGGTGGATATGGATTAGAGTCCCAGCAGCACCCACCCCTCCAGCAATTATTCAACACCTCCAATCCTCAATTCTCTTTCCTTTTTTTCCCTCTCGTGCTGGGGATCAAACCCAGGCCTGTAAATATTCGAGGTAAGCACTCTCAACTGAGCCACATCCCCAGCTCTTCTTCATCTCTAGTCATCTCAATTCTTACCTCTCCAGATTTCAAAATAAATTAGGGACTGGGGATTTAGCTCAGTGGCATAAGCGCCTGCCTTGCAAGCAGGCAGTTGTGAGTTCAATCCCTGTACCGATAAAAACGAAAAAAGACAAAAATAAAAAATAAATAAATAACTAATTATACATGTGTGGGACCTAGCAGGTCTTTGGTATATGGGAATTATATTAATAGCAATAGAAATGATTATTTTGGGATCATCTGAGGCTGGTTCCACCTCAAGAATCCTGAGTCCATGCCTGGAAAGTTCCATTGGTTAAGGACTGGGGAGAGATATATCTTGAAATTATAGATTATATCATTATTCTTTTTTTTTTTTTTTGTCTTTTTGAGACAGGGTCTCTCTATGCAGTTCAGGCTGGCCTTGAGCTCACTTTGTAGCCCAGGCTGGTCTCGAACTCACAACGATCCTTCTGCCTCAGTCTCCTGGGTGCTGGAATTATAGACATGTACCACCATGTCCTGTTTAGATCATTATTCTTGCAGAAGTCACTTTAATATTTTAGTCTGCATGAGTCACTGTATTTAGTTAAGCTTCAGCTGAGTCTGGATTATTTGCTATTTCTAGCTTCTTCCCAACAGAACCCTGGGTACACTTTAACTGTCCATGGGACACTTCTCAATATTGTTGTTGTATAGCATTTTAGTTATGCATTTCCTTTAAATGCACATGTATTCTTTCTCATTCAATGTCTTTGTTTTCTCTAATTTCTTGCATCCCACACCCTTCCTCTTCTTGCTGAAATGCATCCTGTAGTAATCACTTATAAAGGAACAGTAGAAAAGCCCACTGCAGTAACGGTGATTGTTTTGTATGTCCAAAATTTCCTTTTCTTTTCTGCAATAGGTGTATGAGGTTACATTGACAAAAAGCTGATGTGTGTGTGTGTTTTTTAAACATAAAAAATAGCAACAAAAACACATTGTCATTAATCCACCACAAAATACTTCCCCCTCACTTTGAGCATCCTTATCCCGTCATTCTTGCCACTTTCAGGCTTTACTTGAGCTGCTAGGGCCGCTTGAAGTCCTGAATCAATTCAACATGTTTCCCTTGCATGGCCACTTTGACTAGAGAAAGCCCAGCAGTCACACGGTGCCAGGCCCGCTGAATCAGGTGCACAAGGACTCCCATGCTTTCTGCGAGCCTGCCTTCCCATCGGCTGGCACTCAGCAGCGGCATGCCTTGTATTCTGATCACACTTCAAAAAGACAAGCACAAGAGAACACCCAGAGCTGCTCTGAAGTGGCAGGAATGAAGAGACGTGTATTCAGAGCAGAGGATTATTTAGCTGAGGAATTCATGGCAATGTGTCTTTTACTGCAATATATTTTTAAAAATTTAAATGTTAACCTTATTTTTGATCACTCTTACAGGTATGTATTTTATTTCAAAGTCCTATTTTATTTCAAGGTCTGTGTTTTTCATTTCCAAGATTTCTTTTCCGTTCTTTTATAGGAGTGAGTTTTATTTTTGCCTGAATTTTTTCTAAGTCTTTGAGCACTTACAATGGAGCTTTTCTGCCCTCAGCAGCCGCCACCCAGGCTGCCCAGCACCTTGAGGCCACCAAGTTCCTCTCTCCACTGCAGGTGTCTTCATCTTCTGCTGGTTCACCGTCCTCTACTTCCCGAGGCGGAGCTCCACATCTTCCTTGTCTGGCACCGCCCAACTGGACCAAGCCCAGTCCACACTGAACCAGTAGGAGGAAGCACAGCCCGGCTCTCTCGGCTCTCTCGTCAGTTCTGGCTCTCCGCGTGGCCTCAGGGGCTCTCTGCTCTGTTCCAGGCCTTAGCTGCCTTCTTCATATATTGTGGCTGCAGAGGGAGATGACAGAGATGAGGTTGGACCATGTGGCCTCGCATGTCCCATCCAGACACGTCTGTGGGCTTGAGAGTCACACATTTGGGCTGGCAGGAGGCTGCAGTTCCTGTGGCCCCACCAGCAAAGAACATTGCCATCACCTCCTTCCCTGTGTGCATAGCAAAGCGCTCTGGTTCTTTACCATTCCCACCTGCTGCTCTCAGCAGGAACCTGAACCCAAAGAGCGGAGTGTGGCTTACACAGCCCCTTGAAGGGGCACTCAGCCTCTTCCTCTTTTCTCCCTATCACTAGTCTGCCCTCTGGCTGCCTGTCCCCCAATGAATGTTCAGAAGGTCATTGTCCCTGGGCACCAGGGAGTTATAAGCTAGAAGTTAGTTTTGGGAGTAGGCTGGTCTTAGTCTCTGCCCACCCACCAGTGCCCATTCTCACGGGAGAAATCCTACCATTCAAGCAGCTGTCAGCCTTCAGGGTCCTGGGGTCAATGGTTTTCAGAGTTTGCTTCCTAGTACATGCATTCTCTGAAGTGTATGTGCCACCAACTGCCAACGGGGTGGCTGGACCTCTGATCTGCTGTCATCACATCCAATCAGTGTGTGGGGTTGAGGGGTTAAGCAGGGAGAGGGCTTGCTAGGCAGAGAGTGGACATCTCCTCCTGAGCAGGGACCTGGGCAGCCTCACTCACCACTCCAGCCCAGGGCTGGCCATGTCAAGCCAAATTGTCACAATGTTTGAATAAATACTCATATTTGCTGGCTGAGCAGATAGATGTATTGATGGGGCTCTTAAATCAGGCTGTACCCTGTTAGGGGGCATCACTTGCAGTATCTGGGCCTCCTTTACAAATTGCAGACAGGTTTCCCAGTAGGAAGCAAATAGCAGCAGAAATAGAAAGAGATAGAAGACAGACACACAGAGAGACTGGATGGACATGGATAGGAAACAGGCAGAGAGTGATAGCCACAGGCAGAGAGTGATAGCCACAGCCAGGACAGCATCTGTTTGCTCCCCACAAGCTGTCACCCCCACTCTAGTCTCAGCCCCCCACCCACCTCCCCACCCACCCATCCTCTCTAATGTTGCCATGGACTCTACAGGAGGGGACTCGCTGTCTTTCTCAGAGGCTCCTGTAGCCCCTCACTCTGTGGGCTGCTCTCTGGGAGTGGGGATGCAGAGGTCCTCTGGAGGGGCATCCTTCCTTCCCCCTCCTCCCACCCAGCAAACAGGGCTCTGGAGCATGAGAGACAGGAAGGTGGTGTGCTTGTGCAAGCCGCTATGTTCTTGGAAGGGAAATCCTGGGGTGTGGACACCGTGTCTGTTGGGCCACATGTGTTTTTGCGGGCATGGTGCCTTTGGGGATTTATCTTCACAGACATCTGCTTCTCCTGCTGAAGGTCTCGGCTCCAACTTACCCTAAAGTCTCTGAGTCAGTGACGTGATTAACCGAGCAGCACCTGTTCCCATTGGTATCTGACAGGCCTGGGTTTAGACCCTGACTCTGCTACTCAGGAGCTATATGACTCTGGGCCTGTCCCCTCCTCTCCCAGCCTCGTTTTCTTCCTCCGTTAAAATGGGGATACTAAAGTCCTTGCTTCATCCTAAGAGTAGTACGTCATATGATAGAAACAAAGCCCCCAGCACTTACCCAGCAGGAATTCACTGGCTTCTTGCTCCTTCCTGGCCCCTTAACTCAGAGAAGGCACCATGGAAATGGAGGCCCAGCCCCCTGCCCAGTCAAAGCCCCTCCTGAGGCTGGGCTCAAGCTGGGGCCAGGCTCCTCGGCATGGCTCTCTCTTCTCCAGCAAGACTATCATCTGGGCTCCACCTCGAGCCTCAGGGGTAGCCTGGGCTGCAGCTCGGTCAGACATGCTGGGCAGGTTGTAGGACTGTTCAGAGCACATGCTCCCGTCCGCTGTGGTTCCCAGCTTGACCCGGGAAGTGGCCAACATTTTCCCGGCTGTCTCTCTACCCCAGGGTGAGGCAGGGGCTGAGTGTCCTAGTTCACTGCAAAAGCAGTGACCTCAAAGCCAGGGCTGATGGACGGAGCTCCCATCATCACCAGGCAACACTAGCAACCACGAAGGGGGACACCCTCAGGGCTGGGAGCAGCCTTTCGTCCCCCTGCTTTCCCCACACTCTGCTCAGCAATTACCCAGGGCCAGGCCTCACCTCCTGGCCTGCACAGCTGTGTGCACAGGGGGAAAGTGTATGTGAGACACTGGTTCTAGACTGCCCAGTGCCTGTGCCCTGGCCCACCGTGAATGTGACCATGCCAAGCTTTGCTGGTCTCACCTGGGAGTGACCATCAGTGAGAGACAGAGCAGTCCCTTTTCACCAGGATCTCTGCCTGCTCTCTTTCTGTCAGGTCTTCCTCCCCAGTGTTTTTATTACAACATAACAAACATGCAGGACATAAGAAGACTTACGTGCTCCATGCTCTCAGATGACTTAATATTAAAAGATCTAAAATCCTTCACAAATTAATCTATTTGATGCAACCCTAATAACGATTCCAGTTGATTTTATGTTTTAACCTCTCCAAAAACTTACTCTACAATATATATGGAGGCTAGAAGCTTCTAATTACTGTCAATCTTAATGCAAGCAGGCACAGGAGAAAGACTTGGCCTCCAGATATAGAAAGATATTTTCAGGATCAGAGTGCTAAACCCTACACAGAGACTGAGAGAGGGGAAGAAAATGGAACAGAACAGCACACACAGCCGCAGACTCCATAAAAACGATAACAAAGGTAGCCCTGCCAAGAAAGATAGGTTTTCTGCTGATGGTGCTAGAAGATGACTCAAATGAAACTACCTCAAAATATGAACCACCTCAAGAGTCCAGGCAAGAGGAAAATAGAGTGAAGTAATTAGAAAGTCATGAGTTTTTAGAGTACTTGTTGCTTTTGTTTTTAATATAGTTATTTCTTTGCAAGGTTTTATCACTTAGTTTTTAATAGTAGTATATCTGATAACTGACTCACAAAGATTCCTTAAAGCTTTACTAACAATCACCTCTTGCACACAACCTATCAAGATCAGGGACCTGGCTGATCACAGAGGACTACATTTCCCAGAAGCCCCCTCTCCTGGGACCAGCCCTCAACTGTAACCATGGAGATAGCTAACAGATAGCTGAGGCTGTCCACAGAGGGTAAGGAGAGTGCAGTGTGCTGGGGGTGGCTGGACTGCACCTGGCAGGGAGTGGGGAGGGGGAAGGAGGTAGGTGAGGGGCTTCTTTGACCTCCACCTCCAGGCCTGATCTTTCTGGGAAAGTTTTTATTGTTTTGTGTGTGTGTGTGTGTGTGTGTGTGTGTGTGTGTGCAGGAAGGAGGAGGCAGAAGTTGCTGCTGGAGAATGTGTGCAGGGCCTGTGTTAGCCAGAGTCCAGGGAATTTTGAGGGACCCGCCTCCCACCCCAACAACTTGGCTGTAGCTGAAGAGGAAATAAAGCATCACTAGTCTGGTTCCAAAGCCATCTCTGACAAAGGTGTTCTGTGACCCTGGGCTGAGTGTTTGTACCAGCTGCTCACTGCCACTTTGATCTTCTTTCCATCCTATTTTCCTACCCACCCACCACTCCTCCACCCCCACCTTCCCTTCTAGAACTTTCCCATCTTCCGAGGTCCTGAAACATGGGTTTCAGAGCAGGACCCATGTGGATTCATACCCCAAATCTGCTGCTTAGTGCTGTGACCTTAGGCAGTTCACTTAAACTCTCGAAGCCTCAGTCTTCACATCTGCAAAGTGGATCCCATAAGCCTCCCTGCCTCATGGAGTCAATCAGGGTTAAACAAAGCCCTTAGCATGGAGCCTACCAGGCAGCAGCTGTGCAGTGTACTGAAATGGCACCTGCCACACCAGCTGCCCTCTTTGGGCTCTGATTCTCAGAGCCCGAGATGTAGACAGCTGGACCTGATGACAGGCTGTGTCGTCTGGCTACAGGTTTGTCCTGAGGGAACTGGGGTCCTGACCAGGTCCTGCTGGACATAAGACCTCACCTGTCTGGGACCCAGGCAGGCCAGCCTCCACCAAAGGACATGTCTAGCCCTTCCTGAGTCCCAGCGCACACATTGTGAGCACTGGACCGAAAGTCACTCCTCTTTCTGTTTTTGAACTTCTGGCTGCAGTTTCCTCTTTTTATTTTTAACAATGCGGGAGATGGAACCCAGAATCTGCCACATACTAAGTGCTCCACACTTTAGCCACACCCCTGAAATTCTCCCTGTTTATTGCAGAAAGAGAAACAGAGACCCAGAAGGGGTCAGAGCACAGCAGGAGCAGTTGGTAGAACCAGAATTTCCCCTAGTCATGCTCAGTCTTGACCAGCAGCTGTGACTCAGCACCCCAAGAGGTAGAGGTGGCCTCAGCAGGGGTGCAGAGTGGGGAGCTAAGTGCCTCTTTGCCCTACCCTCTTTGTGTGGTGCTGTGGATTCAATACAGAACCACACTCTCGCTAGGCAAATGTGCTACACTCAGCCACATCCCAGCCAAGCCCCCTCTCAGTCCCGGCTCCTCTCCAAGGGAACAAATCTTGGAGACCCTGCTCTTTTATCTCCATACCCCCATCTCCCCCACCACTGCTGGTGGTTGGGGTGCTGGACCCAAGCTTATTTGCCGTTAGGAAAGCAGATGTAATGGCTGATGGTAGAAAGGCCTCAGCTGGAGGCAGGGACTACTGGGTCCCCTGGGATTGCATTGGGGGCCCTGAAACAGAGATCCAAGGAGAGGCTGAGTTTCCACGTGCACTGCAAGTCTAGAGGTGGCATGTGGGCCTCGGTGGTGTCACGGGGCACCCTGGCTCCCTATCTCTCTGCTCTGTTACTATATCCTTAGCAGGCAGGCTTGGTGCTCACGTATGGACTCCTTACAGTTGTGCCCCAGCTCACTCCTGCTTCGTGTGCATGCTTCAGGCAGGAAAAGGAGAGAGGCCTGGGGTCCTTAACCCATCGCTTAGCAACCTCTGCTCAGATCTCATTGGCCAGAACTGGGCCGCATCTCAGGCCAGGACAGTGCAAGCAGCTGGGCATCTCAAACTGGGCACCCTGTCTCCCCTTACAAAATGGGTTGTGCTGTAGGAAAGTGGGCCTGAAGTCTTGGGTAGGTGACCAGGAGTCCAAGTTAGCCAGGCTTTGCTCTGTGGCCACAGGCCAGGTCTTCCTGGGGGTACCGAGCCCAGATAGCTTCTCTGTGTGGATCAAAGAATGATAATTGTCACCCCAAACCCTTTGTCTAGGTGCCCAAGTGGCAGCCCAGCCCTTGCTCATTCTGTACCTCAGTTTCTAGTTTGGCAAGAGGAGATATCATTCACCTACAACCTTCTTCTGTCTCTCTTTTTTAATGATATTCTTTATCACTTTACTATTTTGAACACTTTTCTTTAAGCCAAGTCACTTATTGGCCTTAATAAATATAGGTTTAAAAAATAAATATATCTTAATTGATAACATAATCATAGACATTATACTGTGTAGTTATTCCTACAGCATCAGTAGCATCACTTGCCAGAAAGAGAAGGTAACTGTCAAAAATAAAGATTACGACAGCAAAGCCACGTTGGGGAGTTTGGGCTAACTGCCTCTGCCCAAGAACTATTCCCAACTTGAGGCCTAAGTGTCATTGTTGATTTACAAGTGTAGAAGTGTTACAGATGTGCTAGAACTCTCCAGAGACTTTCTCCTTGATTGGACAGATGTTTAGCAAGAATCGCTTCCTCCCTAAGTGATGGAAACTGCTAGAAACCATGGCCAGGCATGTGCAGGTGGTGTGTGGTCTGGGTGGCTCCTGCCTGGCCTGATGGGTCACTCTGAGAACATCTATCCTTCCCTCCAGAGACACCTTCTTAGACAGCCGGAGACCGCCAGAATGGAGGTCCTGAAAGAGAAAGTAGAGGAGGAAGAGGCTGCCGAGCGGGAGGAGGCAGCCGAGTGGCCCGAAAGGATGGAGAAAACGCGGCCAGCAGAGGTGCAGAAGGAGGAAACCATCATGAGCCAGGAGATGCTCAGAGACTTGGAGAGGAAGCTGTCAGAGATCAAAGTCCCCATCCCAGCAGAGCCCCCGTGAGTGTGCCGGGGCGAGGACAGATCAGGGCAGGGATAGGAAGAGCCAGGCCAGGAGGAGGACCGAGGACATAGGGGAGTGAGCTAGACTGAGGGCTCTGTTTCCAGAAGGGCTGGTCCGAGTACTCACCTTGCCCTCTCTGGCAGTGTGAACAGATCACTCAACCTCTCTGTGCTTCCCTTTATTGGTTCAAAAGTGCTGGTGCTAGGTGAGGGTAACATCTGTAACCTCTGCTACTCACTTCGGGGTTGGGCTAGGAAGATCACAAGCCTGAGGCCAGCTTGGGAAACTTAAGGAGATCTGGTCTCAAAATAAACAATAAAAACGGTGGGGGATGGAGCTCGGTGCTCCCTGGGTTAATCTGCTGTGCTAGAAAGAAAGGAAAGTGCAGGTGCCAGTAAAGATGCCTGGCTCCCAGGCAGCTGTAAGATTAAATGATTAAGTCACCAGAGGGCTCCCCGAGCACCTGGCATCACCTCACCTGGACTGATGCCATCTGTGCTGTGATGCAGGGCTGTAATTGAGGACACCATTGACATCTCCAACCTGCCCCCTTCCTACAAAACCAACACACCCAAGGAGCAGCACCTGCTGCAGGTGGCCGACAACTTCTCCCGCCAGTACAGCCACCTATGTCCAGACCGTGTGCCGCTCTTCTTGCACCCCCTGAATGAGTGCGAAGTGCCTGTAAGGCTGGGAGCAGAGGGCAGGGCCCCGGGTGGGGAGCACAGGACAGAGGGAGGTGACACTGGTTCTCCGATGATTAGCAGGTCTCCTGCTAGTCTGAGTTTCTAGTCCCCACAGCATAACGGCAAATGCCAGCAGGCCACAGGCTCAGGGTCACTCAGCCTGCAAACCCAGGCCCACCTAAAGAGGCCATGCTGATTGTTGCAGGAGACATTGAAGCCTGGGGTCAGTGGATCAAGGAAAGAAAGGAGTGGAGTTTGAATGGGAATCTGATTTTAAATGTGGCAGTTGGCATAAATGTTAGAAATCTCCATGCAGGCCAAATAAAACAGGGCTGAGGGGCACTGTTGACCTGTGGGCTGCTGTTTTGCAGCCTTTGGATTAATTCCATGCTGTGCCATCTACAGATAGGGAAACTGAAGCCCAGAGAAAAACCAGGGAGCTGCCTAGGGTTACAGTGTTGAAAGGAAGAAGTCAGCGTTTTGCTTTGGTCCTGGTGCAAGTCCTGATCTATTTTGCTTCATTTCTCTGCCCTTTCCTGGTGGTCCTGTCTCTAAGACCGGAGCATGCCCAGGACCTGTCCCCACCCAGATCCTCTGTAGGCCTCAGGAGGGCCTCATGCCTGGTAGGAGACCTCAACTTGCTGTGTCACCTTGGATAGCTCCCTTGGCCTCTCTGGGCCTCAGTCTCCTCCACTGGTAACCTGGGGAATGGAGGAAGGAATTCTCTCAGGCCCCCCAGCCTAGATCCTGAGTAAACTTGTTCTGTTCCAGTGCCAATAACATGATGGGCACCTCCCATCACTGGCCCTGCTCCACTGATAGCTGCTGCATGCCAGATCTGGGCAGCACCCTTCCAGTCAGGGGCTGCTCTGCCACCCAGGGTCCTCAGGCCTGGCATGGACCTTGACACCAAGGTCTCCCATGCATTGGAGGCCTCTGTAGGCATGGGATTGCAGACGTCCCTTCTGTGCATGGGCCCCTGGCACGTTCTCTCCCCTTGCAGAAGTTTGTGAGCACCACCATCCGGCCCACGCTGATGCCCTACCCTGACCTCTATAACTGGGACGGCTGTGCCAACTTTGTCTCCGACTTCCTCACCAGGGTGCCTCTGCCTGATCCTCTCAAGCTGGTAGGCACCATCACAGGCTGCATCTGTAGGACCCGTAGACCCAAGATGAGGAAAAAGCAGGCAGGTGTAGGAGAAGGAGGCACACCCAGGGTCACGGGGACCCCATGGGAAAACGGGGCCAGAAAGAGCTAGCCACTCGCCTGAGGGCACACAGCAAGCCCGGTCTCCATGCTGCTGCCTCTCTGCCTGCCTCAGTCCCCTACATGACTTCAGGAGGTGCAGAAAGGTGGTGATGGGAGGTACCCAGCTGCCCATGGCCCTCAGCGCAGCTCCCAGACAGGTGGGGGACGCTGAGGGGCAGTGGCCCACCATGCTGACCGCCCGGCCCACAGCCTTCGCACCTGTATTCCTCGACCACGGTGCTCAAGCAGCAGAAGGGGAACTGCTTCGACTTCAGCACACTGCTCTGCTCCATGCTGCTCGGCGCTGGCTACGACGCCTACTGCGTCAGCGGTTACGGCTCGCAGGCCCTGTGCAACATGGACCTGACGCGGGAGGTGTGCCCGCTCACCGTGAAGCCCAAGGAGGTACGGCCAGCATGCCCCGGGATGTGCACACCTGTGCTGCGCCAGCTTTAAAGTGTCTCGTTCCTGCCCTGGGCCATGGGGACGCAGCTCTGTCACTAAGCTCCCCTCGGCTGCCCTTGAGTCTACATTCCAAACCACTGGTGACTTCTTAGTCCTATGGGTCACACACAGCCCTCCCCTGTCACGAGACTGAGTTTAAGCTACTGTGCCCCCTGGGTGTCTGGTGAATGCCACATACCCCCGCCAGAGCTGCTCCACATTTACTATTTGCATTTGACAAAAACCCACTTGCCACTCACATCCAGGGGAATAATGAAAGAGAGAACAGAGATTTGATTCTCAATCCTCTCCTTCTACCCAGGGAAAAAAGGTCCTTTTTCAGTACGAAAAAAATATGGCCCTCCAGCCAATGGTGATTGTTTTTTTGATGTGGCCAGAGCTGCTGAACACATGACATGCTCTTAAATGAATTTTAGTGATTAGAATCTCCCAGCCATGGTTTTACATTTGGGAAACAGTCCTGCCAGTGCTTCCTACGAGTTGGATGGACTCCAGGACTCTGTGATGAGGGTCGAGCTGCCCAGGGGAGCCAAAGTGGGGATCTCGGGACCTGAGGCCACTCACCTGTGTCACTGAGGGAGCACCCGAACCCCAGGTGCAAGTGGAAGAAGGGCAAGAAAAAGGGAATCCCCAGGGCAGCCTTGCTCGCTCAGCCCTGCACCCCAAGGGGTGGTGGAGCAAAAGCTCCCGTGTAGCTGTGGCTCTGAGCTCACGCATGGGCTCTTAGCCAAATGTTAATAATCAAAATTATATCAACAAGTAACAGATGCAGAGGACTTCCGGTCTGCAGACCACGTTGCTGTCCGCACACTTGGTTGCTCCTGTCTGTGGTAACCGTGTGTGGAAGAAGTGATGGCTCTTATTTTGCAGATGGGTCTGTTGAGATGAAACAGGAATGTGAAATCACGTGATCACAACAGGCATGGGGAGACCCAGGGACTGCAGTGCTCAGAGCTAAACCCTGGAGATTCCCTGTTTGTCCTCAAACTGTCACTTGCCCACTTCTGCAGCTTCTGTCTCTCTCTTCCCTGGAAACACTTCTCACTGCCTCACAATGTGCACATTCACACTTGAGAGCACACGTGTACATGCACACACCCACATGTGCTATCTGCACATGGGCACATACCCATATGCACATCCACACCCACATGCACGTATACATACCTATACGCACACACATGTGCACACACACACACAGGCTTTTCTTTTCCTTCTTGACCCTGCAAACTCATACTTTGAGTCAACATGTGAAACCCTCTAATAATTTAACTTGAAAAATCTAACCCTCCACAATTTACCCCACCTTCTGGGTTGGATCGAGGTCACACTAGGCTGGTAGGGAATGAAGAGGAGAAACTCCCTCCTCCCCGGCCCCTCCTTGTCTTGATGGACACCTCTCGTGGGCCCTTTCCTATTCTCTGCTGCACTAGCCTGGGGAGAAGTTTCCCAATATTCTCATCCCCTTTACAAAGCAGCCAGAGACCCAAAGGGCCCTAGAGCTACAAGTGCCACTATGTCTGCTGTTGGGGCTACCGGTCCTGCAGGCTCTAGGAGCAGCCACCAGTCCCTGGCCATAGGGCCAGGATATCTCAGCTCTCAGAGCCATGTAAAGGGTTCAGTTCTGGACCAGTCACCCTTCCTCTCTTGCTGGACAGACAGTCAAGAAGAAAGAGAAGGCACAGCCCAAGAAGTACACCATCAAACCACCCCGGGACCTGACCAGCAGATTCGAGCATGAGCAGGAGATCAAGAAACAGGAGGAGGCCAAAGCCCAGGAGGAGAAGCGGCGGTGGGAGGAGGAGGAGCGCCTCCAGGTGGGTCCCCTGTGGCCTCCACCCTGGGGGCACTGCTAAGGACCATGACAGGCACAGTTCTCCTGGAAGGATAAGGAAAGGAAGCCAAACGTTTCCTTTCTTTGGATCCACCAGTAAACTCTATTGAAGGATTCCACCTAGAATCTCAATGCACAGAGCCAACCCCAGTACCTAGAGCTGCCCAGAGTCCAGTTTGTGACCTCAGACCTAGACAAAGACCTCATTTCACTCATTCAAACACTGACCTCAGAGGTGGGTGACAGAGGCAGCCAGGCAATGGTCCCCTCTAAAAAGAACTCAGCTCTGCTGTGGTTCCCAGCCCCGAGGAGAGGTCTGGGCTCCCGACCCCACATGCACACCCAGCCAGCTGGTGGTCACCTCCCTTCCCTGTGCAGGAGGCAGAGAAGGAGAAGCCTGATCCCTTGCATGGCCTTCGGGTGCACTGCTGGGTCCTGGTGCTGTCTGGGAAGCGAGAGGTGCCCGAGAGCTTCTTCATCGACCCGTTCACAGGGCGCAGCTACAGCACCCAGGATGACCACTTCCTGGGCATTGAGAGCCTCTGGAACCACAGGAACTACTGGATCAACATGCAGGACTGCTGGAACTGCTGCAAGGTGCCCTGCAGGGGCCTGGGCGGTTGGCATGAGGGGAGGACAGAGGGAGGAGTGGGGTGGCCCAGGCAAAGCTGCCTCGTGACCATGAGGGCATCGCACTTTCCCATAGCTCCATCCTCACGGCCTGTGCCTTTTCGAGAAGATTAACTTCTCCATTTGGACTTGTGTACCCTTTTAAAGTGTACATTGTGTGAATGAATTTTTTAAAAGCCTTGTATTGAAGTATAAGATACATTCTGTAACATGTGCCCACCCTAAGCATACAGTCTAGTTAATGCCCGTGGACTGAGCCTGCCATTGTTCCCTGCAACCAGATCAAGAAAGAGAGCTAGGCATGGTGGTACATACCTATAATCCCACCACTGAGGGAGACTGAGGCAGGAGCATCTCAAGTTATGTGTGTGTGTATTTTTAACTTACATGACTGGCCACACACACACACACACACACACACACACACACACATCATGAGAGTACAGAGAAGTACACAATCCTTAGTATACATCTTTAAATTTTAATACGCTGAGCCCTCTACAGAAGTAGGACCAGCACCTCAGAAGTGCCCTCCCGCTCCCTCTGCTGGTCACTAACTGCCCCGTCACCGAGCGCTATCCCGAATGTAAGCACACCCATCAGTCTCAGCTTGTTCAGACATCCTATCAGTTGACTCATATGGTGCAGATCTTTATGGCTGCACCCTTCATCCATCACTATGTCTGTGGGACTCATCTATGTTTTGTGTGTAGCTGTGCTTCATCCATTTCCATTGTTTATTAACTTCCCATTATTTAAGTGCAGCAGAATTTATTTTTCTACTCTATAGTTGCACATTTAGATTCCTTTTTCTAGTTTTTCTGTGTTTTCAGATAGGGTCTCACTATGTAATTCAGGCCGGCCTTGGGCTTACTATGTAGCCCAGGCTGGGTTTGAGTTTGTAACAATCCTCCTGTCTCAGCCTCCCGAGTGCCAGGATAACAGGCATGTAGTACCACTCCTGGCAGGGTGACAGTGCCGCATATACATCAGGAAACACTCGTTTCTGCTGAGTAGATTCTTAGGAGAGGCACGTTTTTCATCTTGGAAGAGTCTGCCCATTTTTAGAATCATTGTATCAACTCCTACCAGCAGGTGTGAGAGTTCCAGGAGCTCTACCCATGCCTCCATCCATTAAATCCCAGTTGTTCCAGTGGGTCTGTAAGGGTACTGTGCCAACGTGGGGTGTACAGATGTCATGCGAGGTAAACAAGGCTCCGCCCAAAGTGTGCCTCTGAGTAGTAGAGAAAAGCACTAACAAGCCAACTGGACTTGCTGGCCTGGACTCCAGCTTCCAGGCTCTGAGGCTTGTGTACCTTTCTTGTTTCCAAGGTCTTCTATTCCTGACCAGGCCAGGTTCCCAGAGGTAGACCCTGGACCCTTTGCTTCCTATTCTAATGTGACTTCCTAGGGATTACCCTCACCCACTGTGGGAGACAGGCAGTCAGTCAACCTGCAAGGCAGAGCAAATTGCTCTGCGTCTGGCAGAAGTCCCGAGGCAGAGCTGGATGTGGTGCTGAATGCCTGTAATTCTGGGAGGCTGAGGCAAAAAGATCACAAATTCCCACAGGGCAATTTAGTGAGAACCTGCTTCATAATAAAAAATAAAAAGGGCTGGACATGTAACTTGCACAGCTGAGTACTGCCAAAAATAAAAAAGTTCCAAGATAGCGAAATTTCTCCCTTCAGTATAGTTCAGCCCTGTCTCTCTTAAGGACGTGATTCCGGAACCCCAGTTTTCAATGGCTTCGAGGGGGTAGGAGAGATAACACCCAGGGGTTCAGAACAGGCCCTGGATGTGTAATGAATGTTGGCACTTATTATGCTCATTTCACAGATCAGAAAACTGAGCCTCAGCAAAGTGAAACTCCTCCCACACCACACCAGCGGGCAGAATTAAGCCTGCTCTCCCCAGAGCCAGGCTGGGAACCTCTGTGGTCAGTGTCCCCAGAGAGTAATGTCCCTGCAGACCCTGCTGTATTCCTCCAGCCCCTCTTGCAGCCTGCAGGTCCTCATCCTGTCCTGCAGCACCCACATCCCCAAATGAGCACACCCCGTACCTGTGCCAGGCGAGGGATAGTGAAAGTCAGAGGGACAGAACTGCATCACTAAGTGAGGGGCTAAAGGAAGCAACCCTCAGGGTCACAGCCACTGGAGGACAAGTGCCTGTCCCTCCTGAGAATCTTGAAATGGCATCAGGGGTAGAGGAGGAGGGGGCATGTGGGGCATATTGGAGGCAGGTGTTATCCATTGAGCGGCTCCCAGAGGTGCACAGTGAGCTCACTCCAGACCTGCCCTGGCAGTCAGAAACGTCACCAGTTCTCTCCCAGCGACTAACACAAGATTTCTTTGTAGGGAGATAGGGCAATGGGAAGGGAGTGCTGGCCCCTGTCCTGCGGGGAATCAGTTTCCCTGTGAGGTGAGAGTGTGGGCATGGAGGTGGCATTCTGCACAGACCTCTGCTTGCCTCTGGGGAGCTGTCTCCCATCTCCTGTGGAGCAGGTGAGGTATAGGGAAGGTATAGGGGGTGCACTCAGTTGATCTCTCTCTCTCTCTGGCAGGACTTGGTCTTTGACCTGGGAGACCCTGTGAGGTGGGAGTACATGCTCTTGGGGACGGACAAGCCTCAGCTGTCCTTGGATGAGGAAGAGGACGAAGGGCTGAACGATGATGATGACATAGAAGATCTGGTGAGTCTGGGAGGTGCGTGGAGCCAGGGGAAGCCTTGCATATTGTCTTGCTTCAGGTCAGACACACCCAGTGAGGCTGCCCAGATCAGGGGAGGGCTGGGCTTTGAATCTGGGCCTCCTGGTCATTCCCTCAACAGTCCACCCTGTTCAGGGGCCGTCTTGCTCCTGTAGAAATCTCAGTCTCAGAGTCAAGGCTTGAGAGCCTCTTTGCTACTCCCCAGGGGCTCCGTCCTGAGGGGCCACTGTGATTCCCCACACTCAGCAGACTTTTCTTGTCTGCCCTCAGCTCTACTGTCACTGGTCCAGCTCTGGCCCCAGATCCTAGATCACCAGCCTTACCTAGATCACAGGCAGGTCTGTGTGGGAAACTTGGAGGCCCCGGCCTTCCATGTGGCTGTGTGGCATTGGGCAAATGTCCTGTACGGTATCCTCATCTGTATGTAAAGTGGGATGGGAGAATCCATCTTCACAGTCACAATAATAGGTACATTAGGCTGCTAGGGCTGCCTAGCGAGGGGCTTGAACAACAGAAATGTGTGGTTCCGCAGCTCTGGGGACTGGAGTCCCAGACCCAGGGGCAGCAGGGAAGTCTCTTCTGCGACCTCTCTGCTGGGTTTGCAGGTGGCATCTTCTCCATATCTTCACATGGTGTCCTCCCTGCACAAGTCTGTCCTGCCTTCCTCTCATAAGGACACCAGTCCTATTGGATTAGGGCTACCCTGATGGCCGAATTTAGACTCGGTTACCTCTTTAAGGACTTTATCTCCTACGAATTTGGACACACACAAAGCAACACCTATGTGTCGAGCAGTATACACCCAGCCCCCACTGAGTATCAGGCTCTGCTATCACGCTGAGCCTGAACTTGCCCATTTAAACCTCTAGGCCCATCTGGTGACCTGGGTACCAGTGCCATTATTTAGAGCGTTATCCATTGTCCCTTTTTACAGAGGAGAAGGCTTACACACAGAGATGCTAAGTGACCCAAAGGGACACAGCCAGTGAGTGACAGAACAGGGATCTCAACTTAAACATCCTGGCTCCAAAGTCTGGCTTCTCAACAGCCACTCTCATGGGGTGCTTGAGAAGGAAACTATGCCTGAAGATGCAACCTACTAGGCGCAACAATGTGACTCACCTAGAGAAAAAGCAGAGCACTCTAGGAATCCTCTCTGGAGACCAGGGGACCTTCCCTGAGTGGTACATCTCAGTCACAAGCGCCCCCTGCTGGCCATGAGGTGTAGACCGGTCCTGGAGGCCCCGTCCTTAGGGCTAGGATTTCGAACCCTGGTCCATCCTTGGGCCAAGAAACACTGTTCCACAAAGACTGACATATACCATCTCTAGGAATCAGCCACCTCTAAGATTTCTGCCAGAGCTCACTTCTGACCATTGTTTCTCCTGAAGAAATCACAAGTAGATGGGCAAGTGTAGGAGGTCTGAGTAATCTTTACAGGAGAACAGTTGCACACTGGGAAAAGCTCATCCAAGTGGCTGTGTATATCTAGTTTGAGGGCTGTTTGCCTCGATTAGGTCTTATTTTACAAAGGAGGAAACAAAGACTCCAAAAGAATAACATCAGCTGGCCGGAGACCCCTGAGCCCTTTAGACACTCAGCCCTTATGTCAGTGAGCCCTCTCCTTGTCTTCAGTTAAGGGAACTGAAACCAGAGAGGTCAAGGGACTTGTCTTGGGCTGCTTAGCTGGTGTTGGATGAGGGGGCAGCTGGGTCCACCTGACTTCTTAGGAGTATGGACTACGCTGGACAGCAGGTAGGGCTCCCTGCCGGCACTGACTCCTCCTGACTTCTGTATTTTTGGATCACACTCCTAACCTCCATCTTCCCTTGCCTTGGATGGGGTCCCACCCCCCATTCCCCACAGGACAAGGAGACCGAGGATAAGAGCTTCGACATGCCGTCCTCGTGGGTGGAACAGATCGAGATCTCCCCAGAAGGTCTCTGCTGATGCTATGCACTGCTCTCTCCAGAACCATCCCTGGGCTCCAGGAAGGTGTCCACCGACAGCCAGGCAGGGAAATATGCAGTGGCTGCCCCTCCTCGCCATACTTCTTGCTTCACCCTCACTCCCTCCCATCCTCGTTCCCGCCCTCGACCCACAGCAGCTCTGTGGCCAGGGCCTGACTCTGTCTGGCCCCCAAGAAGGGCTTGGTTGACATCAGAGCCACTGAGGAGTGGGGCACAGCCCTTCCCCTCCCTCTGATGCCTGTCTGGAGTGGCCATGCGCCATGGCAGATGGTGCAGAGTATCAGGATCTGTGGTTGGATAGGTGGTTGGAGAGTAGGTTCCATTTGTCCCGTGCTCATATCTGCTAGCTGCCCAGGTTCCCATCTGGGAGCCCTAGACCACAGGGAGGGCACAGGCCATCTCTATACGAGGTGAGAACTACAGAGGAGGCGGAATACACAGCCCCACTGCAGGGAGGGCAGGCAGAGCAGGGTCACTAGGCTACATTTTGTTTTTGTTTTCTTAGTGTTTTGAGACAAGGTTTTGCTATGCAGTCCAGGCTAACCTTGGACTCACTATGGATCCCAGGCTGGCATCAAACTCACAAGTGTGCCTCCTGCCTCAGCCTCCCAAAGCTGTGATTATAGACATGTACCACCACACTTGACTCCATGGGCTAAATTTTGAAGGATTTGTATTGAGTCCAGCAAGGGCAGGAGGCCACAGTGTTCCCAGCAGAGAGATCTGCACAGGCAAGCACTTGGCAGTGAGAATGGTGCCTCTGGTCTGTGAGAACCCCATTCTTGAGCAGAGCTGTGAACAGCTCAAGCTGGAGCCAGTGTGGTGACCATTCTCTTCCTCCCAGGAAGGGCTCAGGGCCTGAGGTTCTTAGTACATAGTGCCATGGTGTGGATGAGCATGAGCAGCCAGGTGGGATTGGCCCTCCCTGCCCCAGCCCGGAAGGAGAGACCCCAGACCACTGTGCCTACCCACAGCGTTCGAGACCCGCTGCCCGAATGGGAGGAAGGTGCTGCAGTACAAGAGGGCTCGGCTGGAAAAATGGGCCCTATACCTCAAAAGCAATGGCCTGGTGTGCCGCCTCACCACCTATGAGGACCTAGAGTGTAAGGGATAGTGCTGGCTGGGGAGTCGGGACAGGGAGGCTTAGCTGTGGGATGCTAGAGAGCTGGGTCCCCAATATGCCCTGTGACTTTGGGCATGTCACTTCTACTCTCTTAGGCAAGTGTGGGCATCACTGGGCTCTATGCTGGGAACAGTGTGATGCTGCCCTGGTTGCAGTGAGCATCTTGGACCCCACAGGTACCAAGATTTTGGAGATCAAGGAGTGGTACCAGAACCGCGAAGATACACTGGAGCTGAAGCACATAAATAACAGCACGGGCCTGCACACCGACTACTTCAGGCCGGGCCACCCCCAGGCTCTGCGTGGTACATGGAGCTGGGATCCGGGAGGTGGAGTGACACGTGCCTTAGAATGGCCTCCGTGATAGTAGGGTGTCAGGGGAGGAGCCAGCCGCCAGGCATCTGCTCCCTAAGCAAACCAGATGTGCAACAGGGGACATGGAGGATCTGAGGAAGCATGGCCAATGAGGTCAAGGCCAGGGTCACGTTCCTGTCTCCAGTCAAGGCTGGGATTGGGCAGGAATCCAGCCGGGGCACCCAATGCAAGCTGCACTTAGAGCTGGTGAGGATGCTGAGCATAAAGCCAATCCCCTTCCCCTCCAAGGGCAATGCGGAGGGCAGAGTGTGTAGTGTGGGCATGCCTGGGGCCCATGGGGTTGGAGAGGGAGGGGAGAAAATGTCCTAGGCAAGAATCCACATCCCTAACCAGGGTATACCAAAGAAGAGTACAGAGCCAATATGCATTGGAAAATACCATGAACCTCATTCAGCAGTTGAAATTTTAAAAATGAAACTAAACCAATAAGGGGCCATCTGACAGCCCTCCTGATAGCAAAAACAAAAAATGATCCTGCTGGACAGGAACAGGTGTGGGGGTGGCAGACAGATGCTCCCCATTGCTGCTGGTAGGTTACCAATTGGTTCAATATTTCTAGAGAAAAATCAGACAAAATAGATTAATAATAGTCTTGTGCTGGAGTGTAGCTCAGTGGTAGGGGCCGTGTCCAAAGCTGTGGGTTCAACCCTTAGCACCCAAAATAATTATGACCTTAAAATGTGGACACTTTTTGACCCAACAATTCCACTGCTGAGTCTTTGGCATTAGTAAACAGTGAGCAGGAACAGAAAAATGCATGATGCAGGGGGTCATCATGGTGTTGCTTTGAGTAATAAAAAGTTAGACACAACCTAGACGTTCAGCAGTAGGGAATCAGGTCCAGCTAATGTTCATCCACACCATAGAGCCACCTCCTCCCTGGGCCCGGGGTGGGCTCACCACAGCAGCAGGCGTGGTGCCTGGCCTCACCCAGGCATCTCCCTCCATCCCAGTGCACTCCTACAAGTCTATGCAGCCGGAGAATGACCGTGTCATGGAGTTTTATGAAACGGCCCGTGTGGATGGCCTGATAAAGCGGGAGGAGACTCCCAGGACAATGACCGAGTACTATCAAGGACGCCCAGACTTCCTCTCCTACCGCCACATCAACTTCGGGCCCAGGGTCAAGAAGCTCACTTTGACCAGTTCAGAGTCAAATCCCCGGCCCGTGGTGGTAAGAGTTCTCTGGGCTTGGGGACAGGCTTTCCGCCTTTTTGGCACACCTCAGGCACTCCAGGACTAAGAGAGCCCTGGCTCTGGAGTGGCAGCAAGACCTGCGACATTTCCTGGGCACTGAGTAGGAGCCCCGCATTCTAGCAGCTGTTTGACCCTGCATGACTGGAATCAGACTGAGCCTCAACCCACGGGGCTGCTGTCTCCTTCTCCATCTGGACAAACACATTTTATGACCAATTGGGAAAATATAAAGACAAATACAATGGCATCCCAGGCATTACTGGGTTAATAGGTTTGGGCTTGAGAATCTTTCCTAACTTGTCTGTCATCTGTGGATGGTGTGGTAGCTAGCATCCCTCTGTTACTCACTTCACATTAAAATGTGCATTTTTCTCTCCAAATCATTACACATTATTTGACAACTGCTTCCAAAGAAGCTCTAGCAGTGACAGACGTCTAGTGATGGAGTAGGCTGTCTAGAGAGGGGTGAGCTCCCCATCTCTCGAGGTAGCCAAAGCAGTCTTGTTGAAGAAGCTGGGCAAAGGCCCCAGCACCATACAAGGCTGGAGGCGCCTGACTCTGAGAACCCATGGGGACCCCCGAATCCATTGCCAGGCTGTTCTACATGGTCCCCAGACAACCCGAGACTCATGTCCCAAGGGTCTATTGCATCTGCCCTCAGAGAATCCATAGAAATGCCCTTCTCTTCATCTTGTGTGTGTTCTGGCCTCTCAGAAAATCACAGAGCGGTTCTCCCGCAACCCGGAGAAGCCGGCGGATGAGGACGTGGCGGAGCGCGTGTTTCTGATCACCGAGGAGCGCATCCAGCTGCGCTACCACTGTCGCGACGACCACATCACGGCCTCCAAGCGCGAGTTCCTGCAGCGCTCCGAGGTGGACAGCAAGGGTAACAAGATCATCATGACGCCGGACATGTGCATCAGCTTTGAGGTGAGCTGGGCCTACTGGCCAGGGTGGGGGGTGAGGCCAGTGGAGTGGACGAAGAGACTGGGCCCTTGCCCTGCTCCTTACTCTGCAGAACCAAGGAGGGCTCTGAAGCTAGCCCAGAAGTTCACCTCTGCCCCACGGGAAAGTCCACAGCTCCTATCTGGAGACCCTTCCCTTTCCTACCCAAATGAGAACCAGTAGGCTGCGATGGTCCCTGTCCCACCCCTGGTCAGTGCAGACTCCTGATCCCAGTCACACATGTGGGGCAGGGGGGATTCTTTTCCCCACCTCTAAGGTGCTCACCTTCCTTTGTCAGATCCACACTCTGCCAGCACATTTCTCGGTGGCTCTGTGTGTTTTACTACCTGCGTTTTTATAAATGGGCAAAGTGGCCCAGACAGGTTAGGCAACTTGCTTGAGCTCACATGGCAGGAATACATTCAAACTAGATGGTCCCAGGCCCATTATGGCCTCTCTGTCACTGTGGTGGTTCTGGTCGCAGGTGGAGCCCATGGAGCACACCAAGAAGCTTCTCTACCAGTACGAGACCATGATGCACCTCAAGAACGAGGAGAAGCTGTCCAAACATCAGGCCTGGGAGTCCGAGCAGGAGGTGGGGTAGGGCCCACAGGACAGAGGGCGGGGGGAGGGAATGGGGGGTGTCTTAAGGATGCCCTATGTCACTTCTCAATTCAGGTGCTGGAGATCTTAAAGCTTCGAGAGGAAGAGGAGGAGGCACACACGCTGAACATCTCTATCTATGACACCAAGCGCAATGAAAAAAGCAAGGAGTATCGGGAGGCCATGGTGAGCCTTGCTCTTAGCCCTGTCCTGGACTTTCCTGGCCCCTCGGGTCAGGATCCAGGCCGGCCCCTCTCCGAGACCTGTGGCCAAGCCAAGGCCTGTGGTGTTTGGGTGAAGAATGAAAGCCCTGCCGACCTAGCTGCCCCCCACTCCTCAGGAGCGCGTGATGCACGAGGAGCACCTGAGGCAGGTTGAGGCTCAGCTGGACTACCTGGCACCGTTCCTGGCCCAGCTGCCCCCGGGTGAGAAGCTGACACGCATACAGGCCGTGCACCTCAGGGATGAATGCCTCAGTGACTTCAAGCAGCGGCTCATTGACAAGGCCAACCTCATTCAGGCCCGCTTTGAGAAGGTACAGGGGCTGGGGCAGGGAAGGGAAGGAGGCCTTGGTATCCTCATCTGGAAGATGGCCCAGGGCTGTCAGCCCAGCGTCACACAGATCTGTAAGGGACCCATGAGGGGATGAGTTTGTCAGTGTTTGGGGTTTCCAGATGGTTGGGTTGTTCTTCCTTGCTCTTGTGAATAAATGGATGGAAGGATGGATGGATGGATGGATGGATAGATGGATAGATGGATAGATGATGGGTGGATGGGCAGGTAGTCAGGGAGATGGAGGGATAGGCCAAGGAATGGACAAGCAACTGGATGGGTGGGTCTGTCACTGTGGTGGTTCTGGTTCCAGGTAAAGCCCAATCCTTGACCCATTTCTGTGGGTGAGGCACACACCACATAGTTCCCATGCAGTCTTCACATAGCGCTCCACAAGGAGTAGAGGTCAGGGGACAGTAACCTTCATTTTGAAGAAAGGAAACTGGAGGGCCTGAAAATGTCAGTAACTTGTCCAGATCATGTGGCTGACCCTCTGACCTCATGGATGTGGCATCTCTCTAAACATGATCCAACACCTTCTATCCAAGACTTGCAAGGACCTTTGTGTCTGCCTGTCCGGCTTGTCTAGTGGTGCTGTCTGGTGACCAGTGGGATGGCACCTGCAGCCTGCATGAGGTCAGCCCTCATCATCCCCCACCCCACTTGTCTCTCTGTGGCCACAGGAGAATCAGGAGCTGCAGAAGAAGCAGCAGTGGTACCAGGAGAACCAGGTGACCCTGACACCAGAGGAAGAAGACCAGTACCTGAGTTACTGCTCTCAGGCCATGTTCCGCATCCGCATCCTGGAGCAGCGGCTCAATCGGTGAGGGGTCGGAGCCAAGGAGGAGCCCAGAAGCTGCCCCGCCTGGCTTGGTGACCCCTCACTTCCTTCCCTCCCTCCTCTGTCTGCTTCAGACACAAGGAGCTGGCTCCCCTGAAGTATTTGGCACTGGAGGAAAAGCTCTACAAGGATCCACGCCTGGCAGAGTTCCTCAAAGTCCTTCAATAGTCCGCAAAGTCCTTCATAGTCTCACAGACCTACGGTGGAAGCTGCCAGAGACCAGATAGGAGCCCATCCACTCGGGCCTGGTCTCTACCACACTGCCTCCCACCTCCTGTAGTTTTCCTATAATAAATGCACTTTTAATTTGCCATTTGTGCCACAGATGGATCAGCTTCATTCCATCTTTTCTCCTCCCTTGTTTGCCTGTAGCCTGGGACCGCCCCTTCCCGCCCACCTCAACCACCTTCCTCATTTGCTTCCTTGCCTCCCCATGGGAAGGTGAAGTTTCCACAGCACCTCTGCCCATGGTCCCACAGCCACAAGCGGGTTAGACCTCCACATGGTGAGGTGGCCCTGTTCCCAGAGTGGGAATGGCCAGGCCAAGGTGTACATCCCAGAACACAGGTACCTTCCTCTTCTTATGGTTTACCCTTCTGTGAAATGGGGATGACACTGCTGATTAAACAAGGCTTATGAAGCAGAAAGGGCTGGCAATGCCACCCAGAAAGCACTCACTAAATGTTAGCTTAGAAAATGGTTCAGGCAAGTATAGGGGAGACACACCTATAATCTCGGCATTCAGGAGGCTGAGGCAGGAGGCTGAGGCAGAACTAACTACACAGAGAGACCCTGTCTCAAGGCAGGTGGGTGAAACCATGAAAGTCAAATTTGTCTCCAGGAAAATAAAATGCCACCATATACCAACCAGTATAATAAGTGCTGGTGAGGATGAGAAGCAACAGTAACTCATAAACAGCTTTCCCCTGAGGTCTAAATCAGTACAAGCTCTAGGGGAAACAGGAAGTATCTACTGAAGGATAACTACCACCTAACAATCCTACTCCTGGGTCAGCTCTGCCAACCTACTATCATTTGTATCTGGAATGCACCAGAAAGGTCCAGCTGTTAAAGGGTTGGAAAAAGTGGAGCTTTAAGTGGGATCCAGCAGGAGGTCTTTAGGTCACTGAAGGGCCTCTGAAGGGGCTACAGGACCCCAGTATCTTCCTCTCTCTGCCTCTTTTGCTCCTGGCCATGAGGTAGGTGTTTTGCTTTGCTGTGGGCTCCTGCCACGATGTGCTGTCTTCTACCAGAATCCTAACATCAGTGTGGCTGCATGATCATGGCCTGTCACCTCCAAAACTGTGAGCAAAAAAACCTTTTGTTTTCATAAGTTTATTACCTCAGGTATTTTGTTACAGTGATGGAGAGATTAACACACCACCTACCCATCCATCTATCCATCTACCCAATGAACAAGGGACAACATAACAGAAGTAGAAGTCAGGCACAGTAGCACACACATGTTATCCCAGGATTCTGCTGGCTGAAGCAGGAAGATTGCAAGTTAGCTGGCCCTAGGGGTGCAGGCCTGTAGTCCCCAACTCGGGAAGCTGGAAAAAGAGGATCACCATGCATTCAAGGCCAGTCGGGGTTACAAAGTGGGTTCAAGGCCAGCCTGAACTGCATAGTGAAACCCTGTCTCAAAAAGAAAAAGAATAATTGCAAGTTGTATCCCAGCCTGTGCAATTCACTGACCTAGAGAAACTGTGTCTCAAAATTTAAAAAAGGGTTGGGGCTGTAGTTTAGGGCAAAGATCTTAGGTTCAAACCCCAGTGCCAACAACAACAAAACAGAAATGGAGATAGGCAGTTATACACCAAAAGGCATGTACTATAATGTCTACAACAACACTATGCATAAGAGCTCCAAACTAGAAATTACCAAATGCCCATCAAGAGTAAAAACCAAAGGCTAGGTGCAGTCATATATGACTGTAATCTGAGCTGCTCAGGAGGCTAAGGCTGGAATATCATCAACGTCGATATCAGCTGGGGCAATTTAGCAAGAACCTATCTCAAAAATAAAATAAAAAGGGCTGAGAATGTAGTGCAGGGACAAGGTGTTACTTTACTGCGTTTAATCCCCAGTACCAAAGAGGAAAAGCATAGAGACAAAAATTGTGATGATGGGGGCTGGGGATTTAGCTCAGCGGCACAAGCGCCTGCCTTGTAAGTGTGTGGTTGTGAGTTCGATCCCTGGTACCGATAAAAAAGAAAAAGACCAAAAAAAAAAAAAGAAAAAATTGTGATGATGTAGGGGAAAGGGTCTGTGAATAGGGAAAGACCTCATTGGGCTTCCTGGCTAATTCCTATTAGAAAGAGTTAAAATTTTACTGAGGGTGCAATTAAAAAGACAAGAGAAAGCCTAAACTAGGAGCCTAACTAAGTTACATCCACCTTGCAAAGGAAAGAGGTGGCCACTTAAAAGGCAGCTGTCTCTCCTGGACCTTGTATGTAAAGTCATTTTAAACCCATAAATTTCAGACATAGGACCTGATAGGATAAAGGAAATACAAATAAGGCCGACCATAGGTATTTGCCCATAGATGATGACACCCAAATTAAGAATAGGGCCTGAAATAGCCAATCAGATTGCAACAAACTCCAGCGGTAAAGTTTTTCTGCCATGCTTTTGATAAAAAACAGCCAGAACAAAGAGTCGTCCCATCTTTTCAGAGCTCTCGTACCTTCCCTTAGGTTAGCTGTCAGTCCCTTGCTTCTTTTCTTTCTTTCAAATAAAGTGTTTTTGTTTTCTTTTTGTAAACTTGGTCCCTTTAATCCTTTACTGGGGCTGGGTTTACAAATCCCAGTGAGCTGCTCAAACAGTGCGGTACCCACTCTCCCCTGGATGCAATAGATGTCATGGTTAATCTTCATTGTCAAGTTAAACAGTCTGAGATACATTTAGACTAGCAAAGCACGCTGGAAGCATATTGGTAGGCATGGCAGCGTGAGTTTGAGGACTAGAGCTTGTCCCTGGCCTCTTTCTCTCTGGCTCTTCCTCACCCACTGTGTTTCTTGATTGCCATTTCTGTCTTGGAACAGCTATTCATGGACTGAAACCATGCTGTTTGTGTCAGGCATTTAGTCCAAGGGATGAAAAACTGACTAATGCAGTTGTCTTGAGATTTTATTTTGGTTATCCTAACTGGCTAAAAGAATGCTACTAGCAACTAGTGAGTGGATACAAGGGATGCTCATCCAACAAGGCTCAGGACAGCCCCCTCCAACAAAGGATACCCAGCCCCGCAATGTGAGAATATAGAAGTAGCTGTACAGCAAGGAATGAGCCAGTTACCTGGGATGACCTGAATTTCTCAAGTATAATATTATCAAAAGATTCCAAATACAATAAAGTATACATTATATGAATACATTTGTGTAAAGAACAAAAACAGGAGAAACTAACTGATGGTCAGAAGTCAGGACAGCGGTCCTATCTGGGATGTGAGGATTAGTGAGAGGAAACAGCAGGGGAGCTTTTGGGTGCTGGTGACGTTCTGCTTCTTGGAGGTGATAGTGTTGGTGAAAACTCACCGACCTGGTACACTTACAGTATTTGTTTTCTGGGGTATGTGCACTATACTTCAGTGTTTTAAAAGGCATGTCACAAGTCTAATCAAATCTTTAGACCTAACTTCCAGTTAACAAGAAACTCAGGGGAAGTGCAAGGTAAAGGATACCAGAAGAAAACTGATAAATCCTGTGGGACAATCTTCAAAGTGAAAGGCTTCATTACTGCAAGACATCAGTGTTATTAAAATAAAAAGGTCGGAGGAAAGAAATGGAATGAACATAAAAGAGCCAAGCGTGTTGAATCTTGATTGGCTCCTAATTAGGATATTTAAGTCGAAACCCGGGGCCTACACGCAAGTACTCTGCCACTGAGTGATACCCCCAACCAGGTTCCTACTTAAAAAAAAAAAAAAAAAAAGGGCTGGGGATTTAGCTCAGCGGCATAAGCGCCTGCCTTGCAAGCAGGCAGTCATGAGTTTGATCCCTGGTACCGATAAAAATGAAAAAAGACAAAAAAAAAAAAAAAATTTAAAAGAGTAAAAAAAAAAAGTTAAAATATATTTTGGGAATGAGTAAGAGGATGCATTTTCTTAGGAATGGTTATGTAGAATAAAGGCCTTATTTTAAAGAGTTACACGCTCAGGGTTGAACTGTCACGCTATGTATAAATGTCAGTGTTCTGGGAAAAATACACAAAGTATATGTGACAAACTGTTGGCAAGTGTCAAACTCTAGGTGGTATCCTTTCAAATTTTCTCAAGTTCTGTATAATAAAAAGTTGAGGGGGGATACAGACTGACCTGCTATCATTCCAATTAGCTCTGCTTCAGAGAGCGGGGAACATGGACCCTCTGCTTCTAGTGTGGCTGGTGGTGGTGGTGCGGTACAGCGGAGCACGGAATTCCCCAGACTTTGATTTTCAGAAAAACGGCTCCAGTCCTGGGGCTCCTATTTTTCGGCTACGTGTTTTTTTACAAGCATTCTGGGGCCTCAGTTTCCCCATCTGTAAACGGGAGCTGGGATTCCCACCCTTAGAGCTGTGGTGAGTGTACTGAGATCAAAAGGCCTGACCTGCAGTGCGTGTGTAGGGGAAAATCCGGGCGGTGTCGCTCTGGTTCGCCATCCCCTCGTGGGAGCAGCCACTCGCGGCTGTGCAACTCGAATTCTGTTTCCCTGTAGGCCTCCTGAGGGGGACTCAAACTGGTGTCTAGATCTAAAAAGGGAAGCAAAGTCTTCAAGCCTGGGAGGCACCGCCCCGCAGTTAAAGGGAACAAGCAGGCAAAATGCTAACTAAGGCTGTTTCGCCCCATTCCAAGATGGAAGATCCTTGGCTTCACGCTGCTCCAGAAGTCCCGTCCCATTGGCTAGTTGACAATTAGTCTTCCAACAATACGATCGCTTATTGGTCGATCTAGGACGGTTGCTAAAGTGATTGGCGCAGCCACCATTCGAGGGCATTTCGCAAATTTTTCAAACGCAAACTAGGTTCAAGGAAGAGAAGGAAGTGAGGGAAAAGCGTGAGGTGGAGGCGGGACCTACGAAATGGCAGCCCGCATTGGTTCATTAGAGACCGAAGGGCGGCTCTTGCATGGTTCTTACTCGTGATTAGAAGGAAAAGGGAGCGGGTACCTACGAAAAGCCGCGGAAGAGCCTGCTTTCTTTGGTAATCCTTGAGGGAGGTGGAGCGTCTGCCGCAGCTGATTGGTGAGATAGGTGAGGTGGGCGGGGTTCCAGGCCGGAGGTTTTGTTGTGAGGGTCGGTTGTCAAGCAGCGGCCAATCAGGGCAGGGGATGGAGGCAAGTGGGGGTCGCTCTTGGAGCAGGTCCTCGGCCTCCAGAGCCGCAGCTGCAGGTAGAGTGGGCAAAGGGGTGAGAGGAAGATGGGCCCGGGGACTGGGCCGAGCTACGCAGGGCTGAATGGGCTACGGGAGAGAGCTCGGGCTCGAGGGAGACTAGACACTATACCTCGCAAGGCGCGAGAAGAGGGAAGACCTGGTGGGGCTGAAAGATCAGCTCCAGCCTTGGGTCGAGCGGGGCTGGCGTGGAGGCCGGAAGCAGAGCTGGGGGGTCCCAGGACAACGGGTAATGAGTAAGGGCAGGAGAAACATGAGCGCGAATGAATGGGAAACGCCCATAGCGGCGGCGAAGTGAGAGAACAGGGGGTCTGGGAAAGGGAATACAGAGGAGCTGGTTCTTGGGAAAGAGGTGAAATGGCTGTAGGGAGGGTGTGGGAGGCTCCGCGTGAGGTGGCCTTTAAGAGTCGTTCAGACTCACACCCAAACCGGAGGCCTGGCTCCCAGTTCTGTCTTTGGGAATTGTAGGGGGCACTGTAGTTACCTTGCCAGGAACCAGAAGATTAGACCCTCAGGGTCCTCTTTGAGATTGTCACCGGAAGAGGATTTCACTGGTTATCACAGGATTGTCCCTCGTGGGCCCCTAAGCTTAGCATCAGTCTACAGCCTCCATCTTTACATCAGTTGAAAACAGTGATGCCCAAAAACCTGTCACTGCAGACCCCTAGTCGTCCCTGCCGCACCGCAGGTACTACACATTGGGCAGCCAGCATGCTGGAGCAGAGCCACCACCATTATCACTTCCCCGGGAGGACCTTCATTTGCTTTGTGTCCTAAGTCACTATGCTTGAGGTGACACCTCTGCAGATTCTCAAACTCAGTTTGTGTCACAGCTTCTTATCTTTGGTAGGTTTGGTGGGTATCACTATCAGGCAGCCTTAGTGATGATCTTGGATGATCAAGTAAATCATGAATATAAGACAGTACTTCTCATAACCAAGTGTTTCCTAACAGGCCATCACCTCTGTTTTCCAGCCAGGCATTGAACTGAGATGGCTCAAGGCTGACATTCCGTGAGTTGGGATCCTGACAGATGTGCACAGGCTGCTGCTATTGTTGCTGTGGATGATTTAAAAGCACCAGGCAGTCCAGGGCTGGGAGAAGAGGCATTCTCTCTGCCTGGATGTGTGGGAACTCCCTGCCAACTTGATTGAAGGATCGGGGCGGGGGTGTCCACCCCCACCCCACAAAGAAAGCATATTCCATTTTGTGGGTGAGGCTTCAGGTGCCAGCCCCTGAAGGATGGCCACCCCTGTGGTCACCAAGACAGCCTGGAAGTTACGTGAGTAATCTGCAGTTTTCTTTATTACCCCATTCTGTTAGCTGTTTGTTGCTGGCCAACTCATTCTCACAGCTTTGTATCCTCTTGGCAGAGAGGGAGACCCCCAGACTTTGTTGTGAGATAGTCCAAGATGGGAAGTATGACTAGCATCTCTTAGATTGGCAGTAACATCAAGCAGGTGACTTAAGCTGGCCGAGGCTCAATTTGCTTTTCTCTACAATCAGATAGTCACACCTAACATTCTATAGTTGCTATGAAATTCAAGTGAAATCATGAATATAAGACAGTACTTAGTGTAGGGTTTCCAGTTAGCTTGATAAGGAAGAATATGATGAGAAATCCTGAAATATTCTAGGTATTTTGGACATCTTGTGAGTCAAACTTCCGTGGCCAGGTGAGAGGATTTGTCGGGGGGCGGCACAGAGGGACACTGACAGGGCTCTGGAATGTAACGGCATGTGTTTCTCCAATCCCATCATTGCTCTATGCTAGTGGTCCTAAATGCTTTCATCTAAGACCTTTTATACTTTTAAAAATTATTGAGGGCCTCAAATTGCTCTTCTTTATGGAATGTATACCTATCAGTGTTTACTATGTTAGAAACATTTCTCAGACTTTTAAAACGTAAGAAATGTATAATCAAATGTGACACTATTTGATAAAGCGCCCACATGTCATGTATCTTCTAGAAAATTCTACTGTATGTTTGTGAGCAAATGTGAGTTCAAAAGCCAATCACCATGTTAGTAGCATTATGGAGTGGTTTTATTCTCTTTTCCCCTCCAGAAGGATCTCGAAGCTCTCAAGTGTTTCCCAGATCATGTTTGCAGAACTGCTCCACACACTGGCCAACAGAGGGCTATATCCCAGCTGTTACTTGCTGGCATAGACTTGAGGTAGCCCACCTGGTCACCCATCCTCAGTGGGTTTGTTTTCAGGAACTAAGAGTAAAGCTCCACCACTGTTTAATCAGGAGACCCTGGCCAAAGAGTTTGCTGGACCTCACTTTCCTCATTTGTAAAGTAAGAGGTGTGGGCTATTTTCAGATTGTTCTTCAAAGCTCTAGCATTCTTGAAGAACCCTTTTATGGTTTCCCAAGGAAGATATACTTTGCACAGAGCAGCTATTTATTTTATCAGGATTATATATCCATCACTTAAACAGTTGGTCTCCTGTGCATGAGCCAGTGAAGGACAAAATAGACAGAGTCATTATATAACAGGAGTCCCACCTGGGGAGACCATCAGGCAGGAATTGATAATCACTCATTTCCATGCCTTCTCTAATTCCATGCTAGTGTGTGTGTTTTGAATCAGTTAACAGAGATGAGGATGGAGGGTGAGGCAGGGAATGCATGAATAGCAAGCACAAAGGCCCTGAGGCAGGAAGCTTGATGTATAGCAAGGATTTAAAGGAGGCCATGATCTGTGCCGTGGTGGCAGGGAGAATATGGTGCCAGATGATGCTCGTGAGTTCTGCAGGGGTTCACGTCCATAGCCCTTTTGAGGCTTTGACTTTATGTGAAAGGAAAGGACAAATCCTTAGCATATTGAACAGGTGGTGATGTGAGATGACCAGTTATAAGATGTCTGAGGCACCTGAGACTATATGACCTGCAGCTCCTTGAGGCTATAGAAGGTATTTGACCCTCTTGGGTCGCTGATGCCCAGTTCTTTGCATCCTTCTTCTGGAATGCAAGTCCTCAGCTCCTCTGGCTAGAAGGCAAAGTATTCCCTAGCTTTGGAGCCTGGAAAGCTGCTGAGGGCCTGCACCATGGGGCAGTACAGCAGTTGTCACCTGGCCTGCTGTACTGAGATCCAGAGGCATGCCGAGGATTTTGATCTCTTAGCATTAAAATCAGGTCCCAGCCATGGGCCACTGTTACTTGGTGTCCTTCCAGCCAAACTAGAGGGGTAGCTTTCAGCTGTGCCCTGCACTGCCTCCATACACTGGTCAGCTGCTTAGAGGAGAGGAACTTTACCCAAAGTCTCACCTTTTCCAGCTCCTTGCCTCGACCAGGAGCAATCCAGTTAACACTGGCAAACACAGGCAGGAGCCTTCTCTCTCGTTCCCTAGAGCCTCCCGGTGCCAGACATAGAAAGCACTTGTGTTATGAACTAGTGGCTATGGTTTTCTAGGATCCTCCAGAAATCCTAAACCCAATGAAGTGGGGCTCAGCAAGAACTTCCCTGGAAAGTAGAACCAGCTGCCAGGTGGGTCCACAGAGAGGGCAGTGCAGACAGGGAGTGGCTTCCAAGAAGGGGACAGGGCTCAGGACTTGAAGTGGAGTACTTAGGAAACAGATATACTGTTGTCTTGAACACACAAGTGTCAGTGACCAGGACTCCATGCCTCTGTCCCTACAGTGTCCAAAGGATAGAAGGCTCTGTGGTTGAGATGGGCACTGGAAAAGAGTCCACCTTGTTAGAATCCGGATGGCTGATGTCTGAGTCTGCAAGGAGCTCTCACCCTTGCTGAGCTGGGTACTACCCATGCCAGCACTGCCCTGGCCAGGGCCTCCTGGGAGCTCCTAAGCATCGTTACTAGTCTGTCTGAGCTGGGCTGTTTTCCTGGCCCCACTCCAACCTCTCTGTGGTCTGAGGCCTGCACCAGTGCCACTCAGGCAGGTGGAGTCTGAGCCTGGTTGAGGATGTGCCCAGTACAAAGCTGTGACACCCTTCTTTGCATCACCAGGCCAGCCTTTGGGCATTGGCACCTTGGGGGTTTTTTTGTGTCTCTGTGGGAAGATCTGTCTTTTCTCCTCGTTCTAGGAACTGTCTCATAGGCCTGGGCTGCCTTTTGGTTCCTTGTCTTTGTCTGTGCCTCTGGGAGCCTTGACAGGGCCCCTGAAAGTTCATGGCTGCAGCACCAGGGTCCAGCCCAGGGGCCCTGTTAGCTGTGCACAGGTTTTATCTCCATCTCTTGTCTTGTCAGCCCTTCCCCAACCTGTCTATCTGCTGCCTTCTTGGGAACCCCTTGGCCACTGTGTCTTGGTGACCAGTCCTTACCTCCTGCTTAACAGCCACAAGCACCTGTTCCCTACTCACACAGGGTTGTGTTTCTGAAACACAGACCTTCAGCACCCCATAGGGGCTGTACTGTTGTCAGCCCAATTACCAGACAAGGACCAGCCTTCGAGAGGACAGGTGACTTGAAGTCATACAGTGGCAACTAGCAGAGCTCAGACCAGCTCCTGTGCAGCTTGGTGGTAGCTTACTTGGTGCAGCTTACTTCTTTTTGCAGTTAAAAAAGAAGAGAGAATAACTTTTGACCTGTAGTCATCCTGGTATTTATGTAAGATGGGTTCCAGGACTTCTATGCTTAGACACCCAAATCCTTGGATGCCGAGCAGCTTGAGGAGCACATCACTGCTATGTGGCCTCCTTTGCACTTTTAAGTCACTCTGGGTTACTTATGGTACCGGATCCAGTGTGAGCACCATGTAAATAGTTGTTACCGTGTATTATTTAGAAATCATGAAAAGTCTGTACCTGTCCAGCACAGATGAATTTTTTCCGGAATATTTTTAACTGTCAGTGGGTTGAGTCTGTGGCTGTGGAGGGTCAGGCCACCTATGTGATTGGTCTGCTTCCTGTTAATGTGCGTAAAAAGAAAAGCTCAGGAGGCTGCGAGGCAGGACCAGAATGACTAAAATCTGGGCTATCTGGGCTTCAGGTTCCATAGCTGGTGGCCAAGCAGAGCCACCCCTCCTCCATGTGGACCACCGATACCCTCTGACTGCCTTCTCCCTTCTTTTCCCTGTAGAAGAGATTGTTGCCCATGCCAGCAATGTGTCCTCGCTGGTATTGGGCAAAGCTTCGGGACGGCTTCTGGCCACAGGCGGGGATGACTGCCGAGTCAACCTATGGTCCATCAACAAGCCCAACTGCATCATGGTGAGTCTCGGGTGATGGGGATAGGGACAGGGACTGTGGCAGGAAGGGCCCAGGCAGCTTCCGAGGCACCATAGACCACAAGACACCCATCCTCTGGGGCCAGCCCAGGCAGGGAGTGGACACAACACACTGTCCTGCAACCCCTGCCTGTCTGCTCAGAAAGCCCCAGGACAGTTGGGACAGCAGCTGGCTCTCAGGAATAGAGCAGCCACCTGGCTGTGGGACACAATTAGGTTTGCACTGGAAAGTCCAAATAAGCACCTGGCCCATGGCTGGGCCGCTTACCTACACTTGACCTGCTTGGGTATGTTCATTTTGATTCTTTCTCTACTTCAGTTCACAAGAAGGATTTGCAGGGACCCTATTGAAGCTGATTAGGCAACTAGTTCTTTAGTAGGAGCTTTTCCTGGCTATACAACCGGATTCAGGACTGGAAAGAGCTTTTCAATGCAGTATAAAGGAGGCATAAAGGAAGAAACACATAAAATTTAATCACAGACAGGTTCTATTTTCCAAGACCAATGTTGTTGGTATTTTGATCTGTGCCTTTCTAGGTGTTGAAATACACATATACTTGCACACACATATATTAAAATATATCTTCTAATTACTGTCTTACTCTTGTGTAACCTGGTATTTTAGAATTAACAATGTTGTGAGAATTTTCCTATGTCAACAAATATTCTTTTACAACATGATCTTTAATGGCTTCCTAGTATTGCACTGTAGGGATGAGCTGTAATTAGCTTTGCCACACCCTGTTATCAGCTAGAGTCTGATTCCAGGTTTTTGGCTGTGCTAACCCACACTGGTGAGCATCGTCGTCTACACAGACCTTTCAGTGGGTCAGCGATCACTGCATTTAATCCAAGGGTGTGCACTTTTTAAAAAGCTTTCAGAACCTCTTGCCAAATCACCCTCTGGAAACCATTCTCAGCGGCACTAGAGGAGCCAGGCCCACCCCTATTCTTGCTAACACAGGGAATTATTCTTTTAACTGTTGATTAAGTAAACATAAAGGAAAAATAGTGGGAGATGACATTTATCAGTAGAAATGTAGTCACTTCATTGAGACCTTCCCAGGCCACAGCTAGAAGTGAGATTCTGTTCTGATTTTACTGTGTAGCATTCAAATGTTTTCTCTCCTCCTGAAATACCAGCCACATTCACAAGCTGAAAAATCCGCAGACATCAGAAGTAGGACCTGACCTGATGCGTGCTGTTTCCCTAGAGCAGCACAGTGTATTCCGGGGCCTGGCTATCACATTTCTCTTTGGACACCAGATGCAGCCTTCAGGTCTCCAATTGGCCTTAATTTATATCTCTGTCCCCTCACTTGTCGCAAAGCACTCACTCTGCCTTCGGTACCACAGACCTGCTGACATCTCCTGCCTGGGCGTTTGTATCTGTGCTACTCTCTCAGCAGATGGTCTATTTATTCGTGTTTACCTTTGAATAAATGGGACACTTGTGTGGCTCAGCACTGGAAAGACAGTGAACAGTAAGGTGTCTCTCTCCCCGACTGCCTGCTGTGTCCTTCTAGACTTATTTTCAGTGTAGACAAGCAAATGTGTTACCTCTTTCCTCTCCCACTTTTTCAGACAGAGGGTATCATACTGGGTACACCATTCTCGGTCTTTTTTCACTTAAAAATCTCATGGAGATTAGTCTCTTAACAGATTTAAAAGTTTGCTATATTCTTTGTGGTATGTAAGGAGAGTGAATCCAGGGCTTTCACACTGAACTACGTCTCCAATCCTTTTTATTCTTGGAATAATCTCCCTAAAACACTAAGTTGCCCAGGCTGGGCTTGAATTTGCAATAATTCTCTTGCTTCTGGCTACCAGAATGCAGGGATTACAGGCATGCACCACTACATCCCACTGCCTCATTCGTTTCAGTGGCTAATTTTCCACTGACTACCACTTAGCCAATGAGACTCACTTCAGCAGGTACCCTTGGGTGTGTGCTATTTCCTGGGCTTGCACGTGGCCAGGGCTAGCCCTCCAACACGGATTGCTGGTGGAAAGGAATGCACCTAATATGCGTGAGGTTTGTCCAGTTGTGGTCCAAAGAATTTCTGCCCATTCAGGCCCCAGCTAGAGCTGGGTGGGAATTAGACAGGCTGCATGGAAGTGTTGGGTCTTGGGGCTGGATCTGCTGAAGAGCAGCCCTCCTACCATTCCCAGTGGAAATGTCATCTTAGCAAGCACTGATATAGTCACCCACCACTGTGCTTTGGGGTGGCCAGGAGCAGGTAAAGAACGACAGACACCACAAACTTAGTCTCCAGCCTCCTCTCCAGAAAGCTGGAGATGCTGGAACCTACCACACTCAGAGTAGCTGGCCCAGGTACAGCCCAGCCCAGCTCTGCCTGCTCTGGGTGGTGGGAACCCACATGTCCTCCCGCAGAGCAACTCCCGGGCTCCTTGGGTTCTGTGTCAGGGTCCTGACAGAGCTGGGCAGCCCCTTGAGCCAGAAACCCAAAGGGATGAGATGAACACTGCTGAGTGCAGTGCCAGACAGTGCAGATAGGAGCACCTTAGCAAAAGTCACTTGGATTCAGGACTAGAGAATTGGTGTCTGCCTGCCTGCCTGCCTACCTGCCAGCCTGCCAGCCTGTCTGACTGTCTTTCTGTCTGTCTGTCTGTCTGTCTGTCTGTCTGTCTTTCTTTCTTTCGACAGGATCTCGTTATATAATCCAAACTGATCTTGAGATCACTATGTAGGCCAGGCTAGCCTTGAGCTGATTCTCCTGCCTCAGCCTCCCAGATGCTAGGATTATAGGCGTATGCCATGTGCACAGCTAAGGCATTTTCTTTATCTTGATCAGCTGCTCCCATTTCTGTAGATGACACCCATACCAGGAACACCATGGGAGGGGGTCGGTGGCTGACTAGGGTTTTGTCTGTCATAGTCCTGTGGCTGCAACTGCCGCTGGGAGAAATGGCCACGCAGAAATGGTCTGCAGGAGGATCAGGGTGTGGCTCTATGGAGCAACCTCCCTTAGCCACTTCCCTGGGACCCCAAAGTTGGGACTGCAGCTGGGGCATGTCCCAGCAGTGCACCGAAGCTGCCACCCTCTCTCCACAGAGCCTGACTGGTCACACGTCCCCAGTGGAGAGTGTCCGCCTCAACACCCCAGAGGAGCTCATTGTGGCTGGCTCGCAGTCGGGCTCCATCCGCGTCTGGGACCTGGAAGCTGCCAAAAGTAGGCCCCTCATTCCCGGCCCTCGCTCATGTGCCTGGGTTCTCTCTTGGGCTTGGGCGGGGCTGCACTGCATTTTCCATCTGACCAGATGGTGTGGCGCCCACCTGCCTGTTTGAGCCCAGCAGGAGTGCGGGCTGTTGTCATCTGAGTGGCTGGCACTGAGCGGTGCTGAGAATGTCTGAATGAACAGCATCGAGGAAGGATAGATGTGTGGGTGGGTTGGTCTGGATTTGGGACCTGGAGAGATGTCAGCTGCTGCGGGGGACCCTGCAGGCCACGGGGAGGAGTGGGTATGCCGTGAAGAGCCCACTCAGGCTGGCCCACGCTCAGCCCCGCTGTTCTGTAGGGACACGTGCTTCAGGTGGTCGGGTTGGCTGTTGCTTTAATGTTTAATTTAGTTTTTCTCTGAATAGAAATTTAACTGTGTGTTTTAGAGTCCAGATGGTTCTAGAATCAGTCATGATGAAGAGGAAGCCTTCGCCCTGCCCCTTCCCATCCTCCAAAGCCTCACTTTTCTGCCCTTCACCTGTCATTGCGCTAGTTGCCTTTACTCTTCTGAACAAAGGGACATTGCAATCTCCTTTCTTTTTTCTTTTTAAATAAACGTGTGTATTAAAATGCTTCCTGCTATGGGAGCCAGGGTTTGGCTCTTTCAGCCATCTCGACCACATCGCTTACATTTTTCTGTCTCTCTGCTATCACCAATTAAGTGGTCAAAATCTTTTGTTTGTTTTTGTGGAACTTTTGTTTGGGTTTTTTGAGACAAATTCTCACTGTGTAGCACAGGCTGGCCTCAAACTCAGGCAGTCCTCCTGCCTCAGCCTCACGTGTGCTGAAGTTACAGGTGTGTGCCACCATGGCTGGCTAGGGTCGGTGTTTATGCTGTAAGGGCAACAGGAAAGTCGTTCACAACTGGTTATGTTTATTTCTTTCTTTTTTTTTTTTAATCGGTACCGGGGATCGAACTCATGACCGCCTGCTTGCAAGGCAGGTGCTTATGCCGCTGAGCTAAATCCCCAGCCCCGGTTATGTTTATTTCTATAACTTGGTTTTCCTGGAGTTAATACTTGTTCCTCTTTTCTCTCTTGATACCTATTCGTCTCAGATTCTCAACCAGAGGAGTAAACTCCTGTTCCCCTCAAGCCTATCACATAACCCCGCTGTCTTCTCAGAACTGTGTTCCGCAGGTCCTAGGGCCTGGAAATACAGGAGCTTTCAGCCCTTCTGTCCTCTCCCATGGCATCAACTTCCTGGTCCCTTCCTCCTGAGATGGAGCCTATCTTCCTGTGGCTTACTGAGAAGGGATGCTTGGCAGGCACAGTGTTAGTGACTATCCCTGGGAAAAAGTGACTATTCTACCACCATCCTTTCTTTTAAAGTTTGAACATAAAGTTCGAGGTTGGAAGTAATTTGTCCTCGGGGTTTTGAAGATACAGCTCCATTGCCTCTTAGGGTCCAAGGCCAATGCTGTTGTTAAGCCAGGCTCCTCTTTGGGTAGGATCTGCTCCCCCTCCCTCCCTGTCTCACACCAACCTTGTAGAGTCTGCCTACAGCGTTACAAGCCCAGGAGCCTCAGAGTGGGTCTGTTTTCACCCCTGACCTGGGTCCTCTCAGTCTGGAGCTTGCCATCATTTCCAGGCCCCTAAGAGTCTCGCTTTTCTGGCAGGTGGGCTGCCACACAGGCTCAGTGGCTGTTGTCATGTGGCAGTAGGCATAGCACTACCAGCCCCACAGATTTATCAAAAGAATCTGGAAATCTGCACATTTCTGTGGGATCCACCCACTTTTTCAGTGCTGCTGGCTGACTGTGTGCTCTGCAGAATACAGCACAGGCCGGCGTGGGAGACTCAGATAGAGCTGCTGTTCTTGCTGCTTCCAGGTTGTTCGAGGCAGGAGGTCGTCTTCCACAGCCTGTGAGAGGGTTGATTTTGCTGAGGCTGGCTTTGCCAGGCAGCCCCTTGTGCCTGGCTGAGCCTCACAGCCTCTTCTGTGCCTTGTCTCTGGCCCGTGTCCACATCTGCTGCAGGGTGATGCAGTGGTGAGGTTCACTCTGCCAGAAAAGGGTGGTGGTCTTATGCTGATGGCCTTCAGGAAAGACAGTGCCCCTGAGCCTCAAGTGACTCTTGCCCACCCTGCAGTGGTTTGTGGAAGAAGCACCGAGCCACAGGACCCCTTGAGGACAAGCAGGCCGCACATTTGCTTCTCGGCATATGGCCCTGATGCCCAGCCACACCAGGACCCAGGGCTGTCGCGTTCAGGCACTGTTGGCCTTGAGCAAGCTACAAGGAGCATGCCTGGGATGAGAGGGTGACCAGCTTGGCTTTAGGGCGTCTCAGCAACCTCACTGTAGACCTGAAACCCTGTACATAACCATTCACAATTCACTGAGGAACAAGGAGAGAGGGAGAAGCCAGGAGTGCTGTGCCCCCAGCCCAGGCCTCGGCCACAGTGTTTGACTTATAAGGGAAATGCGATTCCGTGATGGGTCAAGAATAGAAACTGAAGACCTTGGCTTTTGGGGCCCTGGGTGCTACACAGGAGCTTATCACACATAGGCACCAGAGCACCTGAGAACCTCGCTGGTAGTGGGGTCAGTCCTACACCTGGTGTTCAGTAGCTTCTAGCAGGTTCTGATGCAGAGGCAGGTTGGCAGATTGGCCCTCTCATCTAACAGAACCTGGACCTTGAATCCTGGTGACAGGACTCCCACCCCAGTGGTCTCCATTCTGCCATCTACTGCCTTGTGTTGGGGGCTTTCCAGATGCAAGAGGAGGTGGCCCTCAGCAGGTGGTGCTTGAACCTCAGTATCTCCACCACACTTGCCAGAGCAGGATGGCAGTGGAAGGCCAGGAGCAGACAGGGCTCAGAGAGAGCCATCCATCATGGCTGCTTTGAAATCAGCCCAGCCCTGGAGGATTCAGGCAGAGGCCAAGCAGCTGCTCCACTGGAAAGCTGGGAGGTCCCTGCATGGGGCAGATACACCTGAGTGCCTTCCACTCTACAGTTCTGGGGTCCTCTGACCAAGTCCAGGCATCTCCCAGAAGAGCAGGAGCAGAAGTCAGGTCAGAAGAATGTGTCTTGGCAGCTTTCCACAGCACAGCCAGAGGGTGAAGGTGGGCCAGCCGGCAGATCCCACAGGAGGGCAACATGGCACCCTAAAAAGCTGGCCCACGCAGGGCTGGGAGCTGCCACAGCTATGTGGAGCCGGGCAGGACTTTGGCTCCTGGCTGGGGATGCAAAGTGAGTGAACTAGGGGTGGCATGGAACGAGCTAGCCTGAGGCTCCTTAGCTGGCACAGCAGTGCAGAGCCCCTAGCAACACGTGGCACCGCAGAGCAAGGAGAGACAGCTGCTCAGGGCTGGTGCAGCTGAATTGGACATTCACAGGACATTTGTGGCAGGAGGCTGTCACATTCCCGTGGTGTGAAGGGGCATAGTCCCAGCTCCAGTGCCCAACAGCCTGCTGCAGGGGGCACTGAGGCCACACGAACATGACACAGTTCTTAAGGTGGATGAGGATGGTAGCAGCCGCCTTTATTCCTGCCCTGTGCTGGTGGCCCCAGCACCGACTCCTCTCTTACAGTGAAGCACACAGCAAAAGATGCTGCTGAAGTGGTCCAGCTTCTGGCCCTGCACACCACTCTTCAGCCTCAGGCCAGCAGCTGTGTCCTGAGCCCTCACCTGCCTCCTAGCATGGTTAGAGGGATTCAGTGACTTAATACAGGGACATTGCTCAGCCTGCCTAACACTGCGAGTGCTCACTAGACATCCTGGGGACAAGGGAGGTGCCAGATGGCCATGGCTCTGGGTGGCGCATTGTCACTGAGACCAGAGAGGGAGAAGCAAGATGCATACTCCAAGAAGAAGAGAAAAGAAAGGTCCAGAATGGGGGATGGACAGGTTTCTGCGGGAATAATTATAACCGGCACTTAGCAAGCTCTTGGTGTGTTCTAGGCCCATGCTAAGCACTTCATTTTCTTACTTGGTTCTGACCAGCCTGAGACTCAGAGAATGTGACTTCCAAGGTCACACAGCAAGCAAGGAGCAGAGCCAGGACTGACTGCAAATATTTTCTGGCTCCTGAGCCTAGGCCCATGTCAAGGGATGGAGACTTTATTCCATTCATCCAGTGCTTGGATCTCAACACTCCTGTGTCTGAAATACTACATTTGGAGTCTTGAATACCTCCTGCCACAGAAGACTTACTTTATTTCACCTTCACTCAAACCTTAGATTGGCTGGACTGTCACACTCCTTGCCCCAGCACTCATGGGTTGATCAGTTTCATCCAAACAGGCAAAGTAAAAATCAAAAGCAAGATACAGGGAACAGACAATTGGTACCAGAGGGTACCCTAAGACAGTGCAGGGTTTGCCATGGAGCAGCCTCCTGACCTTTAGGGCGGCAGGTGTGGCTTCTGGATAGAGATGGGTGATTGGTCCCAGCTCAGGCCATGTCCTCCCTGTGTGTACCCTGCCCTTTCTTCCTCCACATGCTGTGACAAAAGCCCTCAATATCCCTTGCTTGGATGAGTGTGAGCACCCAGCCATGCCTGCCCTTGCCCTCCCTTCCCTCCACCTCCCAGGGCTCTTCGTCCTCCACCCCCTGACGTCTGCCCCAGAACCCTCTCCTCTGAAGAGCCTTTTTGGATTTCTTTTGTTGACCAAATAGCAGCTCCCAGTGCTAGAGCCTTTCCTTTCTCCCTCCTCCCCACCCTTTCCCTTTCCCCCTCTCTCCCTTTTTCCTGTTCCCCCTCTCTCCCTCTCTCTTCCTGCCCCTTCCTTCCTCTCTGCCTCCCTCTCTGTGCCCCTAATTGGCTTGGTAGGGGCTATTTGCCCTGCAGACAGCCTCAGGGCCTAGGCTATGTGCAGTTGTCCAGCTCTGCTGCCCTGGGGGCTTTGTTTAGTCTAAGCTGTGCACAGCATGCACATGTTTCCTGGGAACTTGCATAAAAACAGGAATGGCGTCCTCTGTAGAGCAGGAACACTCGTGGTGATGTGGTGGAGCTGTAGTTGGTTTGTTTCCTTGTGCAGCAGTTACTTCTGCAGTGCAGCGACGCACCCTGCAGCCTTGCCTTCCTTCCCGGCCTGCTTGCTCTCATGCCACAGCCTCTGCTCTCTTTTGCCTTCTCAGTTCTTCGCACACTCATGGGGCACAAAGCCAACATCTGCAGCTTGGATTTCCACCCGTATGGCGAGTTCGTGGCCTCCGGTTCCCAGGACACGAACATCAAAGTGAGTTGCCTCTCTGGGTGGCAACCTGCATGACAGACGGGCCTCCATGTGCATCTGCGGGCATCCTCCCCGCTTGGCAGCACCCACACCTGCTTGGGAAGGGGGATGAGCAGGCGCTCACAGACACTGGGTTTAGAATGCCCACCTGGGGCAAGTGGTATCCAAGCCTCTGGCATTGTAACTATTGAGATCTGGAGTGCCCTTAGCCCGGGTTCTTGGTCATGACCTCTTATGACATTGCCCCCTGCTCCTCTCCCCACAGCTCTGGGACATCAGGAGGAAAGGCTGTGTGTTCCGGTACCGGGTAAGGACAGCACCCTATCAGCCTGTGTGTGGCATGTAGTCCATCATGGGTGAGACCTGGATTGTGGTCTGGAGCAGAATCAGATGCTGTGGGCTGCCCATCCCAACCCCTTGGCTTTCCACCAGTGCCCAGAACTGTAACCATGTTTATCTAACTGCTCTGCACTCGATTGTGCAGGCAGGTAACTGGTAGTGGTAGGTAAATGGGGTTCTGCTCATGTAAGTTTGGTAGCATTGTGCCAAACTGTTACTTCCGGAGATGTTCATAGCTTCTGCATTAAAAGATGTCATTTCGTTCTCCGAAAGGGGCCATAAAATATGTTTTCCAGACATTATGATCACATTGTCCTGTTGGCCTGAGAGTCTGTGGCTATGTGTAGAGAAATGTACCTGTCTGACGTCTCCCAGCCAAGGCTACCTCTCCTTGTTTAGAAGAGCTGGAGAGAGGCCTGCCCAGCCCAGGCCCTTGGGTGAGCTCCATGCACTGACTTCCCTCCTCAGGGCCACAGCCAGGCCGTGCGGTGTCTCCGGTTCAGCCCCGATGGGAAGTGGTTGGCATCGGCCGCAGATGACCACACGGTGAAGGTAACTCCTCGCTGGATGTGGGGCTGGGGCTGGGGTCTGCTGATCACAGCCTTCCTGAGTCCTCGCCTTGCTCACTCTGCACCCAGCCTGTCCAGGGTGGGAGGTTTGTGGTCAAAGAGCTGGAGCTGGATTAGAGAGAGAAGGAACAGCCAGGGGCCTAGTTGTCCCTGACTGCCACCTGTCTGGCCTCCAGCTCTGGGACCTGACTGCTGGCAAGATGATGTCCGATTTCCCTGGTCACACGGGGCCTGTAAACGTGGTAGAGTTTCACCCCAACGAGTACCTCCTGGCTTCTGGCAGCTCTGACAGGTGAGGAGCAGGCCACGTCACCTGGGACTGCTGTCCTGCACCATCTCTGTCCCTTCTCTCCATCCCAAGGTGTCATATGCCTGATGAACCCATGTAGGCTGAATTGGCTTTCAGCCAAGCCAGGATTGCTTCCTGCTCCCGTCTCTTCCCCAGCTCTGATGTCCTGGATCTGTTTTCACAGACAGTTCAGGGTCCAGCAAGCCCACACAGTATAGGGAGGCCGTGGCTGCTCGAGCCCTGGAGGCTGGGCTGTCGGGCTCAGCCTCAGTTGTGCTCATCTCTCCTCCGGCTGTGCGGGGCCAGGCCCTAGCAGAGCCATTTCTCCTTGTGTTCTTGGCCCAGGGAGAGAGGTATCTGGAGAAAGCTGGCTTCCCAGGCCATGGGCCTGTGTGGAGGCCTGCTGGACACAGGCTTCCTGTCACAGTGGGGCTCCCTTTGCAGGACGATCCGTTTCTGGGATCTGGAGAAGTTCCAGGTAGTGAGCTGCATCGAAGGAGAGCCAGGCCCTGTCAGGTATCCAGCAGCTGCATGAGCATGCCCAGCCCTTCCTCTCCCCACCTGTTCCCCAGGCAGCAATATGGGGGATAGAGGGACTTTTCCTGTCCCTCCTACAGCTACCTCTTGGTCCTGGGCTCCCCTGATTTCCTGGGATGGCAACAGGCTGGGTGTCCCGGGACCCATAGCCAACTCTCGCCTGGCCCAGGAGCGTCCTCTTCAACCCGGATGGCTGCTGCCTGTACAGTGGCTGCCAGGACTCACTGCGTGTCTATGGCTGGGAGCCTGAGCGCTGCTTCGATGTGGTCCTTGTCAACTGGGGCAAGGTGGCTGACCTGGCCATCTGCAATGACCAGCTGGTGAGAGCCAAGGAACCCACCACCCACTGCCCCTCAGACCCCCCTCCCTCCCACCTGCCCTGCCAGGTCTCAACACTAGGCCCATCCTCAGGTCCAGCCCCAGCTCTTTCCTTTCCCAGATAGGCGTGGCCTTCTCCCAAAGCAACGTCTCCTCTTACGTGGTGGACCTGACACGGGTCACTAGGACTGGCACAGTGGCCCAGGACCCCGTGCAGGACAGCCGGCCCCTGACAGAGCAGCCACCCAACCCCAGTGCCCCACTCCGGCGCATCTACGAGCGGCCCAGCACGACCTGCAGCAAGCCCCAGAGGTGGGCTGCTGGGGCCCTTGGAGGGCATGGGGGACCCAGGGGTGGGGCTGGGCCTGACCACAGCCTTCGCTGCCAGGGTGAAGCACAACTCAGAGAGTGAGCGCCGCAGCCCCAGCAGCGAGGATGACAAGGACGATCGCGAGTCCCGGGCTGAGATCCAGAACGCTGAGGACTACAACGAGATCTTCCAGCCCAAGAACAGCATCAGTGAGGCCACTCACCACCCTGCCGCCCTGCGACCCCATCTCACCACAGGGTCCTTCCCAGGGAGGCACTGCTGTAGCTTTGCATCCCCTTAGCCACACTCCTGACCCCACCTGGGCCAGGCTTCTCTGCCCTGGTCCTGTGGTCCTCATTGGACCTTGCTCCTGGTAGGAACTTAGGCACCCAGGCAGAGGTCAGGGGACCCTCAAGTGCCACAGCCCCTGGTCTGAGCACAAGGAGCCCACTGAGCACTGGGTTGGGAAGGGCAGGGCTGAGGGCACCTGGGCCAGGAGCATGATCACACTGCTGGGGAAGCACCTTCCATGCCCCCATGCTAACTCACAGGCAGGAGCCCTGAGAACTCAGCACCATTTGTCTTGGCAGGTCGGACACCACCCCGAAGAAGCGAGCCCTTCCCAGCACCCCCTGAGGACGGTGAGTCAGGGCAGAGCCTAGCCTCCAGGGACCCTCTTCCCTGGCCCAGCCCTACCCTGGTATGGCCTCCAGTCTCTCTTCCCCTAGATCTTATCCCTTCACCTCCCTAAAAACTTACTGTGTACTGGGCAAGGTCCCAGTGACTATGTCAGCCAGGCAGGTATGTGTATGAAACAGTGGACACCCACAGGTAGTCTACACTGGGACACAGACCATGGAGGACAGTAGGCCACTAGGGACCTTTGAAAATGGGACTGCGGGCTGGGGATTTAGCTCAGCGGCATAAGCGCCTGCCTTGCAAGTGTGTGGTTGTGAGTTCAATCCCTGGTACCCATAAAAAAGAAAAAAACAACAAACAAACAAACAAAAAAAAAAAAAGAGAAAATGGGACTGCAGCAGGGGACAGGCTGGGAGCAGGGAAGAGGCAGCAACAGGTGAGCCCCACTGGAGACAGGAAGCCCAGAGAGCCCTGGCCAGGAGTTTGGGTTACAGTGGGGACAAAGGTGGGAACATCCACTTTGGGATGGAGGGGGAATGGGTGGGACCCCCATCCTCCGCAGCATCCCTGCCTGGCTTCACGTCTTCTCCGATGCTTTCTTGAGGTTGAGTTTCCTAAAAGCTGCTCCCTTCTCCACTTCCTGTGTACCGTCTGCTCACCAGTGTCCCCTCCCCATCACACATTCCATTCCTAGTGACAAGATGGCCTGAATGTCCTGGGTCCCCATACAAAACTAGGTGGAGAAACAGCCCCAGCCCTGCTGTCTGCCTCTCCAGGACCCCAAACTGCTGATGGTTTCCCCTCTCCAGTTCGCCCTGGGCTCCCCATTGTCTGCCGCTCCATCCCCCAACTACAGATGCCACTCAGAGTCTCCCCAAGTCCTGTCCTCCTCCAACCTAACCCCATGATCATTTCCTTTTGTACTCAGACACGACCACAGTGAAGGAGGCAGCAAAGCCCAGTCTAGCCATGGATGTGCAGTGCCCAATGCCAAACGTATGTCCAAGCAGAGGGGCTGCAGGCCTGGGTCAGGGCCAGGCCCAAGGCCTACCATGGTGGTGGGAGGGGAGGGGAGGTCTCAGGCAGGCTACTTGCTGAACCTCTGCCCTCTACAGCTCGAGGGCCCAGCCCAGCCCCCTGTGCTTACATCCACACCTACACCCAAGAGTGAGCTCGCCATCATCCCAGCCACTCGAAACGAGCCTATCGGTCTGAAGGCCTCCGACTTCCTGCCCGTGAGTGGGGACTCAGCCAGAGGGGTGAGTTGGCAGCCATGGGGAGTGGGCAGAGCTGTGCCGCCTGCTCCCATGCTAGTGTCTGGGCCCATCCTTTAGGCTGTGAAGATCCCCCAGCAAGCAGAGCTGGTGGATGAAGATGCCATGTCACAGATCCGCAAAGGCCATGACACCATGTGCGTAGTACTCACCAGCCGCCACAAGAACCTGGACACCGTGCGGGCTGTGTGGACCACAAGTGACATCAAGGCAAGTGCCCACCCCTGCCTGGGGCCTGGCCACATTCCCCACTCTGCCTGCTGCCTGAGTGTAGGGCTGAACTGAGAGATGGCCACATGTAGGGTGGGAGAGCCTTTTGCTTGTACTGTGACTGTCTCCACCCCATGATGGAGCTCTCTTTGCAGACATCAGTAGACTCTGCCGTGGCCATCAATGACCTGTCAGTGGTGGTGGACCTCCTGAACATAGTCAACCAGAAAGCGTAAGTGGCCACGAGGATTGGGGAAGGGCGGGGGGACCAGAGCTGCCTGTCAGGGCCACACTCCACCTCTCCCCAGCTCCCTGTGGAAACTGGACCTGTGCACCACTGTCCTGCCTCAGATCGAGAAGCTTCTGCAGAGCAAGTATGAGAGGTAGGGAATGAGGCCTGCTGGGGGGAACCAGGGACTGGAAGACCTCAGGGCCCTGGAAGTGGCTGGGAAGCACTGTAGCCCTTCTACTCCCAGGCTGGTCAGAGTGGAAAATGGCCTCTCTGTGTGTGTGTGTGTGTGTGTGTGTGTGTGTGTGTGTGTGTGTGTGTGTGTCTGTCTGTCTGTCTGTCTGTCTTGCTCTGTCTGTCCATCCCCAAAGCTACGTCCAGACTGGCTGCACATCCTTGAAGCTGATCCTGCAGCGCTTCCTGCCCCTGATCACAGACATCCTGGCTGCCCCGCCCTCCGTGGGTGTTGACATCAGCCGGGAGGAGAGGTAAGAGCCAGGCTGGTTTCCAAACAGCTTAGAAAACACATGTTGAGTCATTTGAGGCTAGGGCTCAGCACATGGGGTCGGTATGGCCAGAGCCCAGGTTCCCGCGTGGCCTTGCTGTACCCCCACAAGCCCTGGGATGACCAGAAAGGGTGGGGAGGTCTTGGGCCACAATCTTCCTGTTTGAGAAGGGACAGAGTAGGTGGGACAGGCAGAGTTCCCAGGGCTAGGAGCGGATCATGGTGGCCATGCTGACCTCCTGAGGCCCTGCCCTCTGCCCACAGGCTACACAAGTGCCGGCTCTGCTACAAGCAGCTCAAGAGCATCAGTGGCCTCATCAAGAGCAAGTCCAGCCTGAGTGGCCGCCACGGCAGTGCCTTCCGGGAGCTGCACCTGCTCATGGCTGCTTTGGACTGAGGGGTTCAGTGGGCAGGGCACCCAGCAGCCCTCAGGACCTGGCCTCCTTCCTCTTCCCTGTGTGCCCACTGGCTCAGGAGCCTCTGCCTGGTCTCTGCTACTGCCCCAAGGCCATCCTGGAGGTGGCTAAGTGGGCCCTGACCTTCAACAGCTGCCCAGCTTCGCTCAACTCTTGTTTCTCGGGGCAGCAAACACAGTCCTGGGGCTGCTGCTATAATTTATAGGCAGGTTTTATTAAATTTGTAACTGTTCCCTGTTTTGTTGTGCAAGGGGCATCCTCTGGCCATACAGCTCACCCTAATGGCCTGGTGTGCCAGGCCGTGTGGCCAGGAGGGGGCAGCAGAGTGACGGCTGAGATGTGCCAGTTCAACTGAGCACTAAGTGGGAGGCTGTAGGCCTCCCAGGCTAGGGAACAGATGAGGTCATCATCCATCTCTGCCACCCTCCCAGCTGTCCCTGGGTCCCTGCAAGATGACAGGACCTCAGCCTCGTAGGCGTGGCCACCAGCAGGCTGGCGCAAGGCTAGAAGGGCAGCTGCTGCTTCTGCTGAGGGCTCCAAATGCTTCTGTTCCTCCAGGAACCCCTGTACAGGTTTCCTGGGGCTGCATGGTGGTCGGGGTCATGGGGTGTCAGAAGGAGCACTGTGCTCATCTCTGGTCAGTTTAATCAAGGAAAGGCTGGCGAGAAGGGGCAGGCAGGCTGGAGCTCCAGCACGGTATGAGAGCCTCAGCAAACCTGAAAGCTCTCCGGGTCCTTAGTTTCCCGCTTGTGCCATGGAGGTGACAGCATGGGACAAGCAGATACCGCAGCACACAGGCACCTCATGTGCGTACCATAAGCAGTGCTGGGACAGGGACAGTGATGACTCCTGGGTCTCCCCGTGCTGTGGAGGCCGAGGGGCAACCACCAGTGCCCCCCGCCCCTCCCATCCAACCCTAGGACTCCTGAGACCAACACTCTCAGAGGACACTTGTGTAAAAAGGTTTTTATTTTAATAAAAAGGATTAAACTTCCAAAAATTCTTAAATAGGATTTCAGAGGTTGGGAGGAAAATGTCAGGAAGCCAGTGAGCAAGGAGAATGCCTGGTGCCAGGCAGTCGAGAGCACAGAACCTTGCCCACTGGCCTCTTCTGTCAGCCATAAATACAGCCCAGCCATGGCAAGTGGCGGGCTTCTATGTACACTAATAACATTATGGACATCAGATGCCCTTGTGTGGGACAGCGGGGTCAGGGCACGCTCACTGTCCAGCAGCTCAGACCTATTCCACAGTGCTCCTGTGCCTTCCTGAAGGCCCCAGAGGGCATGTACTAGGAGAGGGCTACCCGCCCTCAGCTCAGGAAAGGAGCCAGGCAAGTGCAGTGCGAGGCCTGCCCTCCCCATGAGGGCCGGCTCCCATGCCCAGAGTCTGCCAGGCAGAGCAGGCATTCCTGCCCTGCTGGCACGTGCCATTTGTGCCGAGTCACAGGGCTTCCCTCTGAAGGAGTTTCTCATGTCGCGGCAGAACAGGAGGGCCTCTACTTCCATCCCGATGCTGCAGCAGGAGCAGGCTGGCAAGTCCTCAGGGCCAGCTCCAGGCCCAATAAGGTGGCCTGTCCTTTTCCTTACACAGGCACTGGCTTCAACTTCCCTGTACGGAAGGCAGAGGTCCTTAGCCATTGCAGTGGTGGGTGGGGCCGCAGCAGTGCAGGGGAGACTAGCAGGGACCCCCGCAGAAGCAGGCAAACAGCGGTCAACAAAGCACAGGCCCCGCCTGAGCAGCTGAACCTGCATCCGCACCAGGTGGGCGGCAGGCAGCCCTGGGCCCCTGGCCCCGCACTCACCTGGAGACTGCAGCCCCAGCCGTCAGGCTGAAATCAAAGGGACAGGCGTCTCACTGGTGAGCTTATCCTGTCCCACCAGAGCCCTGCTGCCCCCAACCCTCTGGAATCCAGCACTGGCCAGGACCTTGCGTGAGGGGAGCCCACTCCTCACGTGAAGTGCACACAGAGCTTTCTGCCCCTCAACCCGTACCACCACCAGCATCGAGGCCCAGGGCAGGGAGGCAGCCCACCATCCAGGGGTCATGCATGAGCCCGCGGCAGCCAGCCTGAAACGTTCATCCTGGAGCCTCCTTCCACCACCCCTCCTGGGGCCCAGTTTCCCCATCTGTGAAATGGACACAGTACTGCATGCCCTGACTGCTGCTGAGAAGAGGGGAAGTGTGAGAAAGACTTTGAACTTTTAGAAGAGATTTTTAAAAGGAAAGAAAAAGACCTTCCACCTTCCAGCTGAGGAAAACTTGTGAAGAGCTCACCTGAGGACTGCAGCTTCCTCCGGATGGAGCCAGGACGGCTTGAGGTCCCAGAGCCAGGGGCCGAGTGCGCTCGTGCTGTTGGCTGTGGTATCTGGCAAGCTGGCTCCAGCTGTGAGCGGGAAGGGCAGGTAGGCTGGGGTCCATGGCAGACCTGGCTCCTCCCCACCCCCACACTGCGCTTCCCTTCGTTCCTGAAACTCGGCTTCCTCATCTGCAAAATGGGTGTGATGAAGATGCTCCTGCCTCACAGAGTCTGAGTGAGTTAAGGGAGACTAGGACGAGCTGACGAGCCATAGGTGCCTTCAAGGCTGAGCACTTGGGGCCATTGGGTTTGGTTCAAGTTGCAGCTACACCCCCAGGCAACTTCTTTTTCCCCCTCCACTTCTGGTTGCCCTCTCTTCTCCTCACAGCTCTCCCCATACTGTGACCCCCAAAGCTAGCCCCGAGCCAGCCCGAAACAGACCCCCAGCACCTCCCATACCTCCAGATGCTCCTGGCTCGACCAAGAACCAAGCTCTGTGCGGCGGGACCCAGGGCCCAGCTCCACAGAACGCACCCTCTCAGCGAACCTGAGGGAGTACAGCGTCTCACTGGAGTTCTTCTCCACAGGGGACACCTAGGGGACATGCGAGGTCACATCCCATCCAGGCCAGCTGGCTGTCTCCACAGCATGGTGGGGCAGCACAGCTCCCAGAGGGAGTTTGGTGGAGAGGAGAGGAGCAGGAGGGCAGGAGAGGTGGCAGGAATGTCAAGGGCACGGGAAGGGACTGGCGACGTGCACTTAGTGCCACACCTGTGGCCAGCTGTGTGTGCAGCTGACGGGAGGGCACAGAGGGCTGATGCTGGAGCTGCCTCTGACCAGGGCCCCTTCCTGCCCTCCTGAAGAAGCCACCACAACTGCACAACTGAGGGCAGGGAGTCCCCAGGCCCTCACCTGCACCACCATGAGAGTCTTGCTGTCACCACTCAGCGAGTCCTGCAGGAGGTAGGTGAGCTTGGAGTTGCGGAAGGGCACATGGCCCTGGCGAGAGCGCAGGGCAGCAATGACATCCCCCAGTGCCGACAGTGACTTGTTGATGTGCTGTGCCTCCCGCAGGCGGCTGCCCTCAGCCCCCGACTTGCCCACACGCTCTGAGCCAGCCAAGTCCACCAGGTTCAGCTTCCCTAGAGGAGGGCGTCAGGAAGGTCATGGCTGCCCCACGGCTGCCCGAGGTCCTGGGTCCCTGGCCCAGCTATCATCCCTTACTCACCTGTGGTGCGGAGGCCTGTGCTGCAGTCCCGGCCCCGCACTGTCACAATGAGCAGAGCGTGTGAGCGGGAGCTGTGTTCGTTCATGTTGGTGAACTCCGTGGTGCGGTTGTTGTGACCAAACTCAAACACCTGCATGGCAGGCAGAGCACAAGGTTAGAACCAGAACTGTGGAGTCCCCTGTCCCAGAGCTCCCTGCCCGAGGGAGGCTGCATGCACAGACATGGCAGAGCCTGCTCCCAGGTCCCTCTTGTCCAACTCCAGAGCAGCTCTGCCTGGGTTGGGTCAGGGTCTCCAGAGCCTCTTACCTTGTTGATGTCGTCCACACTCTGCACCCGGAACTCTGTCAGCCCTGGCACATACAGCTGCCCACTGCCATCTGGGCACAACCGAATCTCCAGCTTCTCCTGAGGCTCCGTCCCCAGCAGGTCCCTGTAGGGCAGGCAGGGTAGTCACACCTTCCTCCAGCTTCTGGCCTCTGCCTCCACTTGCGCTGCACTGGCCTCCCAGGCTGGAACATCTTCCCCACCCCTCACACGGTCTTGGACCATGAGGCTACCTCCTCCAGCTCCTCCCTGCACTCAGAAACGGGAGCCCAACTGATCCCCCACAGTCTGTGGGAACACTGAGCCCCTGGGCCACTTCCCCACACCAGTGGAGAAGGGGGTCCCTGGGTCTGGGTCTCCTAGGCAGCTCAGTGAGTGACCCTCCCAGGAAACATCTGGGTCCCAGGGCTGGATCAAGCCAAATTTGGGGCACGGATCCTTCATGATCTTACCAACAAGTGAGCTCCCACCAAGAAGACCCCACTGCCTAGCCCTGTGGCTCCAGCCCTTCCCCCAGGGAACCCAAAGCTGCCAGGACAGTGTTTTCAGTGCCTCAGGCCCACCTGAGGACCTCGTTGTAGATCTCGGTGACACTGACAGTGATGGTGTACTCCCAGTCAGACGCCTTCTCCTGCACCTCAGAGAAGAGCAGCTGCAGGGCCTGCTGGTTGATGCCTGGGTTCTCAAGAGTCCCCTGGGGGTGGGAGACAAGGCCCCAGTGACCCTACAGACACTTGCAGGGCATCTGTCACCCCCAAGCCCTTGCACAGCCCTCACGGGTGAGCCTCCCTGGCTGACGCCGCTCTGCCCCTCAGAACACCTTCCACCTTCAAATCAAACAACTTGGATTTTCTCTCCTTTACAGCAGCATCGCCTCAGGATGGTCCTGAGATTTAAAGCAAAGGAATGGGGTGGCGGGCCTGGCAGGGCTGAGACCAGAGGCACCCCTGCCCTTCCAGGACCTGGTAGAGGCAGCAGGAATGAGCGAGTTCCCTCCCGCTGCCCACATGAAGCTCTGCACCAGAAGGCTGTACGAGCAGGGCTGTGTGGGCAGTGCACGGCAGGCAACACACAGCAGCCAAGGCCCCAGGCCTTTCCACCAGGAAATCTGGAGTCCCTGCTGGGCCCTGGAGGCTCTTGGGAAGTGTGGCCCTCACATCGCCCCTATTTCTGCTGGGAGGCCTTCTACCAGGCCTCAGATGTACCTCCTGACCTCAGCCTGTGGCTCCCTGTCAGAAGCGGCCTCCCGGACATAAAAGGCTGGCTCTACACTCTCTCAGGAGTCTGCTCCATGATCCTCCTCAGGGAGGCGCCCTGGACCCCCAGCTGCCTTTGTCAGAGCCCCAACCAATCTGCTGCCCTTACTGCCGACTCCCTGGTGCATTCAGGTTCTGGGAGGATCACGCACTGCCTGGTCACACTGGGGTCCCAAGTGCTAGGCTGATGCCTGACACACCTCAGCCCTCAGCAGAGAGCTCGAATGACAAGTACTGTGGGGTTCCAGTGGTTACCTGAACTCTGTACAGCCCTAAGACACCCCCCCCCATCCACCTCAGCTCCTCTAGAATGGGGCAGACAGCCCAGGTTGGGTGTAAGGGCTGCTATGTGGGACTCCCAGTGGGTACACCAGCCCATCCAGACCCCTTAGCACAGTGCCTGGGGGACTCCTCATACCTTCTGAGGAACAGGGAAATCACCCCTGAGGCCAGCTTCCCATTTTCCTCTCTCCACACTCAAGACTCCTCCTCATCTCCGGGCCCCCAGTTCTAGGCCATGCCACCTGCTCCCACCACACCGGGTAGAGGGGCCTGCTACAGCAGAGGGACATGGGCCCGCCCCAAGAGGTGGGCTCCCCACGTCATGATCTAAATATCCTGTGTCCCCTAAGGCTCATGTGTTGAGGGCGTTGACCTCAGAACAGTAGTGTGCAGAGGTGAGGCCTGGGGAGGATCGGATCATGAGGGTAACTCTGGATAATCTGCTGAGGCTTTCTTCAGTGGCATTACATGGAGGTGACAGAAACAGGCGCAGCCTAGTGAAGGGAGTGGACCCTGAGGGCATGACCTCAAGATCTAGGGCTGGTCCCTGGTCCCCGTCCTTTCTGGCTCTCTGCTTCCTGGCTGCAGAAACTGAGCAGCTTTCCTCCACTGTGTGTTGTGCCTCGCTGCAGGCCTAACCCAGTGGAGCCAGCTACCTGCCTATGAAATCTTCCTTCCTTTTAATTGTGATTCGCAGTGACAAAAAGCCAACAAACCACATTACACGGCCGGTCTTTCCCACTGCCCTGGCATCTCCTGGGGCCAGCAACACACCTCATTCAACGGCCCAGAGATAGAGTGTTATGTGGCAGGCCTGACAGCTCCATCCTGAGCGGCATCATCGTGTCCTACCGTGGTCTGGCCCTGGGTCAAGAACCCCCCTGAATGGGTGCTGCCTGGCACATCTGCCCCTACCCTGGCCCTGTGGGGCCCACTGCAGTGCTCTCGGGCAAAGCATCCCTCATCAGGCAGGTGCCTGAGGGTCCACACAATATCCACAACTTCTGTTCCCAAAGCATGAACCACACAGAACCCTGAGACTCATGGGGCATGCCCGGGCATCAGCAGAAGGGGTGGCTTCACTCTGGAACCCCTAGTCCACCAACAGATACCCACCTCCATCGTGTATGTCTTGCCGGCACCCGTCTGGCCATAGGCGAAGATGCAGACATTGAAGCCATCAATGCAGGAGGTGATCAGGGCCTGCACCTCCTGAAACACCTGGTGGGGTACATGGGATGAGGAGTGAGGGGCTTCCAGGGACCTCACAAGCTCTGAGCTCAGCTACCTGTCCTGCAAAGCCTCCTGGAGCAAAGCACAGGGTCCCAAAGCTGACACCTTGCTACTGAGCATCACGACTAAGAGTCATTGCCCTACACCTTGTGACAACAGCACAGCCCGTGCTGTCTGTACTCTCCCCGACTTCTCCACTCTCGAGGAACCCTTAGCAAAAAGGCAGAGGCAGGCATGTGCCTGGCACCTCCTCTGGCCTGGGTCTACTTGCCAGCAGACAAAGAATAAGGCAGTGCAGGATTAGGAGGGCATAGGTAGGGCGGGCCTGGCAGGTTGGCCCTAGGCAGGCGAGAGGAGAGCAAAGCTGAGGCCCTGGGTCGGGAATAGGGGAGCCCTAGCAAAGACCATGGCACTGCTGAGTGACTGAGGCCACATGTGTGGGGAAGGCATAATTCTGAAAGGGCTGGGTCTGGCACGGGCCACCCATTTCTTAGGCAGATACCTGAGCTCCTCCATCCTAACCCCACCCACTCTTCTCCCTTCCAGTGGAAAGGACAGAGGGACCACACTTTTCCATCCGGTCCACAGGCCTGGCCTGTCTTTCCCCAACCCAACCCCTTCTCCTCGGCTTCCTCCCCACAGCTACACTCACGTCCTGCTGTGAGGCCAATGGAGAGAAGACCTTGTCCAACTCGAAGGACACTGGCTTGCCCTTGTGCAGCAGGTAAATAATAGCATCGTCATCAGGATCAAAGGTCACAACATTGGCCGCCTCAGGCCCTTCCCCATCCTCTTTGGTGATGGGCCGAACTCGAGCAATCACTCGGATGTTTCCTGGATAGGTTGGGGATGGAGAGACGGCCCAAGCTAAGACCAGACAGCTTCCATTCTGGTGGCCTAGTAGCCCAGAGTCCTACCTTTTAAACTCCACAGGGCAAGTGACCCACAAAGCTGTTGTTAGTGACTCACACTGTATGTGAATTTACTTAGTAACAGTTGAGGGTGGGAGTCTTGCCTTGGAGACAGGGAGAAGAGGTTAGTTGTGGCTCAGGCACTGTCACAGTCTTGGTGAGACACCAAGGAGGACACTCTTTCTCTTTGGACTTCTGTTTCCTCAGCAATACAATCAGGAGCTTGGGCCCTACGAGCCAAGGGACTTGCCCTACCATGCTGAAAAGGCAGCATAAATGTCAGGACAGGGCTTGGGCACCAGATGGGCCAGCGGGACCACATGGGGATGGATGCCTGGCAGCATGTCTGATGGGCTCAGCCACAGTGGCACCATGCTAACCGTGTTGCCTCCTGCCATTTGTGGGATCCCTGTGCCCCTGGAATGAAGGGAAAGCCCTCTTGCCCCTCCACTTCCAGCCAGCCTGGCCAACCTCTCCTTGCACCATCTGCTTCAGCTCATGGGCCAGGTTTTGGCTCTGATGCTGCCTCCTCAGGAAGGCCCCACAGCCTTGTGGGTGCCATATCCAGGAGATCCCAGGGCCCCTCCCTGCCCTGGTAATGGGGTGTGCTCGGTGAATGGCGATTGCCATCTGTTCTCTCAGCCAAAGGGAGCACACTGAGGCTCAGAAGGGTATCTGTGGGGCCACAGCCCAGTGCCCAGTGTCTGGCCCAGCACCCGGCCCAGAGCAGGAGCTTGATGCATTGAACTGCAAAGTCTCAAGGCTAACCAAACCCAGGTCAGAACAGGTGGCATCCAGACCATTACCCCACACCTCGGCCACACAGAGCTGGGAGCGACCTGCCATGGGCATGCTGGGCAGCTCCAAATTCAAGTCCAAGATGGCTAATTTTCCAGCCCTGGGGCTTGGAGCAAGTTCCCTGCCTTTTCTGTGCTTCCATCTATGATGGCTCCTCGGTGGCAGGGCCCTGCCCCCAGAACAACTGCTGAGCTGGTGCCCACCCTGGCCCCACTCATCACCTTTCAGCCGCACGAGCTCGTTGTGACACTTCTTGCGCAGCTGGAGCTCCCGGCGATACTTGCGCAGCAGTTCCTGGTTGTTGGTGTTGACCTCCTCGATGGCCTGGCCAATCTGGGGGCACATGCACTGCCATCAGCCCCACTTGACCAACTGCCCATCCCATCATAGGTCAGATTTTCCTAGTAACCCCTCTGGGTACCATACCCATTTTACAGATGAAGAAATGGAACTAAGAGAAGCTAAGTTAACAGCCTGAGGTCACCCTGTGAATAAGCAGAGCCAGGACTGAGCCTTCATTTCCAGCACTACCACCTGACTCCAGGATTTAGTGAATCAAATTCTCCCGAGTAGCTGGGGACCTGAGAAAATTTGCCTCATTGTCTTTGAGCCTCAGTTTTCTTATCTATACAATGGAGAAATAAGATCATCTAACCTATGAATCTGTGGGAGGTGATAGGTGAAGATCTCCATGTTACATTTCAGTGGGAAAAAACCAAGATATAGAACCACATGTCCAGCATGCCCCCTTTGTTGAGTAAAAGGGAAGTGTAGGTACTTGGGCATGGACAGCAGTGGGCATAAGATGCTCAGAGCACTCTGGAGTGGGTAACCACGGGGATGTTCCTTTCAGCACCCTCTCCCATGGAGTTTGACCTCTCACTGTGTCCTTCTGCACATTATTAACTTTTTCTCTTTTTTGGTGCTGCCAAGGATGGAACCCAGAGCCTCGCACATGCTATGCAAATGCTTTATCATTGAGCTATGCTTCCAGCCCTAACAATCTTTTTTTAAGGGAGAACTATTTCTGTTCCCAAAAGTACTAGTCTCTGCAGAGCGGTTATACAAATTTGAGGAGCCAACAGCTACAAAAGGCTTGGCACATAAGAGGCACTTAAGAGACGCTGGCTAGTCTTGCACTGTACAAGCACAGCTTTAAAAAACTAACTTAGGAGCTGGAGGAGTAGCTCAGTGGTAGAGTACTTGCCATGCATGTGCAAGGCCTGGGTTCAATGCTTAGCCCTTGCACACAAACTAACACAGCAAATGTAAGAATACACATGTTTGAGACATACGTAACATGTTTGCTTTAAACAGCCACAGTAAGACAAATACCCACAAACCTGCCTGACCTGTCTACTGGTCTATTTTCAAACAGGGCCTGCAAGAGTGTGCAGAGGTGGGTGGCCTGCCTAGGGGCTCTGAGTTTTGGAAGGGAGCCCTGAGTGGATACTGGGCTGCCAAGGTTCCAGGTCTCCCCCGTCCTGCTCCGGCTTCCCTGGTTTCCCTTGCTCACCTCGGCCTTGACGCTCTGGAGGGCCTCCTGTAGCAGCAGGGGGAAGCTGCGCACTTGCCGCTTGAGCCCATTGTAGTCGCTGGTGAGGGTCCGCAGTGCCGGTTGCAATGTTAGCAGGTTTGTCCGGACCCCTAGGGGGACACAAAGGGTGTGAGGTAAACCACACATGGAGCTGGGGCAAGGGGCAGGTGGGGCCCCAGCTGTAGACTCACCTGCCAGGTTCTCATGCACGGCCTTCATCTCCACCTGGGCTCTGGCGAAGGCCTCCTCGATGGCCCGGTTCTTGTCCTCCTCCATGGACTGCATCTCCTCCAGCATCTGCCCATGGGCCCGCTCCAGCTCTGCCTCATACATGGAGATCTGGTGAGGCCAGGAAAAGGCTTAGGGTAAAGTGGAAAGGTTCCAGAAAGGAAGTCCAACATTCCCCCAAAAGCACACACACGTTGAACACACACATTGGGGAGAAGGATTGCATGGTCTCTACCTGACAAGACTGGGAGCTACCACCTCCCTGTGTTGGCCCTGGCACCAACCTGGTCCCAGGCACCCTAACAGGTGACCTCAGGGGGGTCAGGAAGCCCTGCTCACTGAGCATACCTGTGTGCTGGACCGTAGCAAAGAGCCTCTTGTGACCTGTTCTGGAGTCCCCACTGTAGAGAGGGGTCTGTGACCAGATCATGCTATATATGACGAAATGGAGACTTGGACAAAACTTGCTCTCGGCCAGGTGAGCAGCAGAGGTGGGACTGGACCCCTGACTATGGGGCCCTAACACTTAACCAAAAGATACACTGAACACCTAGCCTCTGGCTTCCCAGCCCAGTAGTATTCACAGCACGGCCTACACACACACCTGCGACCGGAGCTGCGAGGTCAGCTGATTCGAGCTCTCAAGCTGCTGCTCCATCTCCTTCAGCACCTGCCGCTGCATGGCTACCTGCTCCTGCAGGTGCTGGTTCCGGGCCTGGGACTCATTGAGGGCTTGCTTGGTCTTGGACGAGTCTACCTCCACTGTCTTGATGACATACTGCAAGGTAAGGGCATGATCGGCATGTGGAGGCACAGCAGATATTGCTGGACCCTGGAGGGGGCCTCAGGGACTCCCACCAAGAGCCCCAGGAGTTATACAAGGCCTGGGCTTTGCTGATTGCTGGGATCTATTTATCTTATGGAGGCAGCAACTGAGAGCCTGGAGGTTGCCTGGCCTGGGCATGAAATAGGTAAGATAGGAAAGATGAAGGTGGTATGTAGAAGCTGCCCTGCATGTTGACCAGACACCCACTGGGCACCTCAGGCACTGATAGCTGGATACTCCCCTGTGCCTGGGCTGTACCACCGGAGGGAAGGGGCGATGCTGAGGACGAAGCTGAGGAATTCATGCAAGGAGAAGCCTCTCTCTGTGCCAGCCTGCTCCGGACCCTGGACTGAAAGCTGCCTGGTGGGTGGCTCACCTTGACTGGTGGAGACTGGGCCCGCAGGCTGGCAATGGTCTCATGGCTGTTGCGCAGGCGCCGGCTGAGCCGCTCTTCCTCCTGTGCCTTCTCGGCCAGGCAGTCCTTGAGCCGCAGCTCCACCTCGGCCAGCCGGTCAGTCTTCTGCTGCACCTCCAGGTTCAGTTCTGACAGCATTCCTTTGTTCTCCGCCACCTCCAGCTGCAGCTGGGACACCTTGTCTCGGAGCTGGGTGCTCTCCTGCAGGCAGTTGGGGAGCACAGGGGACAGATGGGCAAGGTTCTATAAAAAGCCGGGGTAGCTGAGAGGAGTGGAGCCTTTTTCCCAAGCCCACAGCTCACCTGGACGTGCTCGCAACCCAGGCAGGGTGCGGCTGGCGGCTGGGTCCGCAGCTCCTGTAGCTCAGCCTCGCAGCGCCGCAGCTCCTGCTTCAGCCGCTCATTCTCCACCATCAGCAGGTCCCGGTGCTTCTCCAAGTCAGTGCCACCCTGCAGAGAGCCGGGGCGCAAGGGGGGCATGTGGCAAGGGCAGGCAGGGGACAAGAGGGGCCAGCAGGTCCAAGGGCAGGGGAGAGGGAAGGAGAGGAGAGGTGAAAAGCAAGACAGAGCGAAGAAAAAGAGAAGGAGAATGGCGAGCAAGCGAGAGAGAAGAGCGGGGTTGAAAGAGAATAAAGAGACACTGAAGAGGAGACAGTGAAGTGAAGCTGAGTGCTCCGGCTGCCCCATCCCCTCGCTCTATTTCCTGAGTGTGAAAGTCACAAGAAGTCACATTGATGCAGAGTTCACACTTCTGCTCTGTCAGCCAGAAAGATCAGCTCCTCCCCTCCAGAGCTGCAGCTGCTCTGAGGGGACCAGCAGGGCAAGCAGTCTCTGAGATGGTGGGGGCAGCATGTTTGAGTGGCTGGAGGATGGGGCTGCACCCCTGGGTGGAAGGGCACCCCACCCCCACCCCAGAATTGCAGGTGGGGCCTCACCAGCTCTGACTGCAGTCGGCTCACTTCCTGGGTCTGACTGATGAGCTTCTCCTTGAGGTTTTCCACCTGTTGGCACAAAGCCAGGGCTACAGTGAAGTGGATCCGCACCTCCAGCCCACACGCAGGCCTGTGGCCTTGCACCTTGGATGATTCATGATGATGGCCTTGAGCCCTCTGGCCTCGGGCTTTGGGCCTCAGGCCTTCCTGCATTCAAACACCAGGCCTAGGACTCCAGGTGTTGAGAGGCTGGCCTGCTCCTGATACCCTGAAGCACCCAATCCCACCCATCACTGGACCTGCACAGGCTGGGTTCCTCCTCCCTCACCACCTGGGCCACCAGACTGCTCTCAGGCAAACTCAGGCCACTCTGAGGTCCTGGACCAGCCTTCCTATCTATAATCTTATCTTAGCTTTCCTCAAAAACCCAGATTGTACAAACTCCAGGCCCAGGCCAGGGACGCAGGTCAATGGTCAAGCCCTTGCCTAGTGTGAGAGGCCCTGAGTTCTATCCCTAGCACCACAAATATCAGTAATAAACTCTGGGTCCCATGAGCCCTGGATCTGTCCTTGCCCATCTCCCAGAACTTGCCACTTTGATTTGCCTACTGCAGCCGGAGCACATTTGGAACCTGAGTCTCTCCCTCCCATGGGACCCTGTATCCATGCCTGCTCTCAATCTGCCTTGCTGGAGAGCTGTGGCCGGCCAAGGTTGTGAGAGAGAAGGGGTACATCCTACTGTAAGCAAGGGTACCCAGATGCCAAGAGGGAGATCCCAGGATAGTGACCCTTCGCAAGAATGTTCCACCAGCCCACATCAGCCCACACTGGGGACTTGTCTTCTCCCCAGAAAATAATCCAGGCAGGCCAAATCTCTGTAGCCAGAGGTGCTGTGCAGGACTGGATGACCAAGTACCACTCCAGGAGGCTACCATGATGTGCTCCCACGGCCTTGACCAGGGAATGCATTTCCAGTCTCACCAAACTGTCTTTCGAGAGAGGCCAGATGCTTGAACGTCTTGGAGGAAAATAAAATCTCCCCACTTCCTCTGGCTGAAATGTCATCAGACAAACCTGCGCAGTGCTTGGCCTCGGAAGTCACTGTCCCCTGGTGACAGAGAGGGTGGATGCTGAACAACTCAGCCTTTTCCTTCTCCAAAGAGGTCAGAAGTGGATCACAGGGTCCACTTCCCAAAATGGGCCAGAGATGCCAGGGCTGCTTGCTCATGGCTGGGAGCAGGGCACTCAGGGCACAGGCCTAGCTGAGAGCTGTACAAGGCCTCCTGGAGGACAAACCAGTGAGGTCACCTTTGTTACCACCTCTAGTACGGCAGTGGGCCACAGCCTGAGCAGAACAACAATGCTCATGCCGCCTGTCTGTGCACTAGCAATGCTTCTGTTGGGCTGATTTTTCTGTTTCTTTTTTGAGACAAGGACTTGCTATGTATCCAGTTGACCATGAACTCAGCAATCTTCCTGCCTCTGCTTCCCAAGTGCTGGGATTACAGATGTACACCACCCAGCTCCCTGTCGGATTGAGAGCCTGAGGTGAGGGGTGCTCGGGCCTCTGGCCTCACAAGGAAGTGAGAGGTGGTTTTTCATTTGTTAGCCATAAAATTGGGGATACCCTGAACCCACTGTCAGAAAGCAGGTAAATGACAGTGCATGCCCACAGCTACTGTACATAGGACTACACAGTCATTACATTATGTTCACTGCAAGTTCTAGTGTAAAGTTTGAAGTCTCAAGTGCAGCTTCTCAGCTGTGTCTCCTGTTCTGCTGCCTACTGCAAGTCCAAAGAGCACTGTGTTCAACACCTCAGCCCCTTCCCCACAGCCCTCCTCCACTGGCCCATGCAGCTCATCAGCATATTAAGTCAAAGGAAAAACGACTGTGGCACACAATGAAGACGGTCTCTGGGCTGCGGCCTTATGGCTGACAAACTTAATGTGCTTTTCAGGAATGTCTAGGTCTCAAAGCAAGTTCGTTCCTCTCACACTGCTGCCCCCTGACTTAAGCGGGTCTGCTCCCCACCTAGGGAAAGGCCAGCCCCCCTCCCTCCCCTGCCTGCTGCCTCACCCCTTGGTGCACTCATTCCCACTGTCCCCACACAGCACTGCTGGGCACTTGGGCCCTGGGGACGTGGTAGACGTGGGTGGTCAGTGTCTGCCTGGAGCTAGGACACCCCAGCCTCCTGCCCGAAGTCGGGTTCCAGTTCCTTCCTGGCATTACCACGGGAACCCAGGTGCCTGGGTCTGTGGAGTCCATGCAGGGGGCCCCCAGAGTTGGCTTTCACGGGGCAGGAGGTGGAAGGGATTGGGAAGGGGCTATGAGAGTCATCACAAACCAAGCCACTGCCCAGTTTGCCTTGGGCAGCAGGAAGCAGAGCGGGGGGACCCAGCTGGGATATAGCAGACCAAACCCACGGGGCACCTGGCCAAAGCAGCCACAGCACCATCAGTCAGGCACAGATGACTCAACTGCTCCATGACCCTAAGGCTCGGCACCATTCAGGGTGCTGCCCATGAGTGGGCCTTCTGCCCCCAGCCCACAGGGCTGGCTTTGGAGGCTTGGGGAGGGGGCAGGGAACAAAACCAGCTTTCTCCTGAACTGGAAGACAGAGCAGGTAGATTGGGCAGAGCTAACAAAAGAAGGTAGGAAACAAGAAACACATGGAAATGGGGCTGGAAGTGGGGAGAGGGGAGCTGGCCACAGATAGGGCTCCCCAGGAACCTTCCCGGGAAAGCAGCCTCCTGGCCAGGCCAAGGAGGTGGTCCCAGGGTGGCATGGAGCTCAAGCCAGAGCTGGGTAGGGGCAACACCTCTCCCTGGCCCAAGCTCTTCACCAGCCAGAGAAACTGAGTCATGGCACAGGGCCTGGCCTGGGAAGAGCCAAGCCTGTCTGCTGACCTGACACAAACCTGCATTTGCACATCAGGCAGAACAGCCCCGCAGGTGGGGCTGCCTGTTGGGTCTGTGTTTTCTCAGCTGTCTGCTCCTGGGGTGGCCTCTTCATGCAGACAACCTGCTGATTACTCCCTACCTCCCACCGTGCTGGGCTGCCCATGTCAGCCACCTTCTGGGTAACGGGGCACCTCCCCTGGCACTGCTGAGCTGGGAAGGCTTCAAGGAAAAGCCTGGGGAGCACCCCTTCTACAGCTGCCTCTCCATCCTGCCCAGCACCCTCACCCAGGAGGCCCACGTGACCACTGGCCAGGCCTCTGTAGCCCACCCACACAGCTGTCTCCACGGTCAAATATTCACACCCTGCCCGGCCGCCACAGGAAGCAGAAGGTGGGGTGGGGGTGGCAAGAACAGCAGTTGTAAAATACAGATTTCCAAGCCAAACTGCCTGGGTTCTAAGCCAGAGCTCGCCTTACCTGGAACAGGTCTCCTAACCTCTCTGTACCTTTCCATTTCGTCATCTGTGTAAGAGGCGACCTCACAGGGGTTGTCTTAAGCTAACACGAGATAACAAATGTGAAGTACCACAGCACAGTCCAGCACATACACGCAGATACAAGTTGAATACTTCTTACCCAATATGCTTGGAAGCAGAGTGTTTTCGATTTTAGACTTGTTCAGATTTTGGAACATTTCCCTTAAGTAATATCTTGGGGATGGGACCCCAAGTCTAAACACAAAATTCATTTATATTTCATATATACTTTTATATACACTGCTTGAAGACTACTCTCCTATAGTCCTGGGGATCAAACCTAGTCTCACACATGCTGGAGGCTATATCTCTATCTCTTTAAATTTTATTTTTATATAACGGCTTGCTAAATTGCTCAAGGTGATCTCGAACTTATAATCCTCCTGCCTCAGCCTCCTAAGTAGCTAGGATTGCAGGAGTCTACCACAATGCCTAAGCGTAAATATAATTTTACACACTTTTTTAAATAAATAATTTTAGGCATGAAATAGTTTGTGCACCCTGAGCCATCTGACTTGCCACATCAATGCTGACCCACAAAGTTGCAGATTTGGGGGTATTCTGTATTTTAAATTTTTGGAATAGGGGTGCTCAACCCTAGAATGAAAGGTCCACGAAGGTGGAGACTTTTGTCTGAGAAGCTCAGCAGTACTTGCAGTGTCTTGCACATAGTAGGTGGTCAGTAAATATATGCAGGATGAATGTTGAAAAAGCAAGGGGCAGGCTTAGCAGGCTTCATAGGGCAGGCTAAGAGTGGAGGCAAGAGGGGTGCTGGGCTGAGGGACCCCAAAGGACACACACTCGGACTGCGGGCAGCACCTGCCACAGGGGAATGTGGGCCCAGAGGAGCTGCATCTTCCAATTTTTACCACAAAAATGAAGTCTAGATATTTATATAAATCAAGATTTAAATACTGGCAATGAATTTGATTAAAATATTAGCCCAAGCAGAATAACCAAATCCAACAGTTAAAAGACATAAAATTACCACACCAAATCAGTTGCATTTCTATAACTCACAATAAACAATTCAAAAAGAGAAATAAGAAGATAATTTCATTTACAGTAGCTGAGAAAAAAATAAAATATCCAGGAATAAATTTAACCAAGAAGGAAAGGACTCACAAATTAAAAACAACAAAATGTTGCCAAAAAAGATTAAAGGAGACATCAATAAATGGAAAGACCTTCCATATCCACTGACTGGAAGACTCAATATTAAGATATCAATAATACTCAAAGCAATCTACAGATGCAATGCAGTCCCTACCAAAATCTCAGAATTTTCTGAAGGCATTTTAAAAAATCATACTAAAATTCATATGGAATCTCAAGGGAAATCGAATAGAAAAACCAATTTTGAGAAAGAACAATGGAGGAGGAAATCTCGTATTTCCTGATTTTAGAACTTACAAGACTACAGTAATCAAATCAGTGCAGCGTGGCCTAAAAACAGACACAAAAACAACAGAAGGGAAGAGAGAGTCCAGGAATAAACTCACAGGGATGTTCCAATGGTTTTGTTTTAGGTCTTTTTGAGACAAGGTTTCACTATGCAGTGCCGCTGGCCTTGAACTCATTTTGTAGTCCAGGCTGGCCTCAGACTCACAGTGAGCTTCAGCTCAGCTTCTCGTGCTGGGATCACAGGCATGGGCCACCATGCCTGGCTCCACTGATTTTTGATAAGGGTTCCAAGACCACTGAGTGGGTAAAGGACAATCTTTTCAATAAATAATGCTGGGAAACTGGTTATCCACATGCAAAAAAATGAAATTGGACCTTCACCTTATTCCACAGCTGAAATTAACTCAAAATGGATCAAAGACCTAAATGTAAGAGATAAAACTGTAAAACCCTTAGAAGAAAATATAGGAGAAAAAGTTTATGATATTGAGTTCAGCAATGATTTCTTAGCTCTGACCCCAAAAACACAAAGCAATAAAAGAAAAAGTAGACAACTAATCTTCATTAAAAATTTTTTTAAAAACTTTAGTACTATGAAAAATATTATCAAACTGAGTAGAAAGGAAACTTGTAGAATGGGAGAGACATGGGCGAATCATCTATGTGACAAGGGCTTAATATCCACAGTCTGTAAGAACTCTTCTAACCACAAAACCTGATGAAAAAATAAGCAGAGAATTTGAGCAGACATTTGTCCAAATATATACTCATCCTCACTAGTCACCGGAGACATTACCAGAGTCAAAGCCACAGGGAGACACAGCTTGACGCCCGCTAGGACTACAAAACTAAAATAACAAGCACTGGTGTGGATGAAGAGAAAGTGGAATCCTTGTGCCCTAGGACTGCAGACCCTTGTCTCATGCTCCCAGCAACAGACCCCTCCACATGACATTTCACATGAGGGGTGCAAACAGCTCCAGCAAGCCCAGGTTCCAATAGGGCCAGCAGCAGCCAATTCACTCAGCCAATTGCAGGGGAGGGGGCCTCATGAGATCATCACTCAGGATCCCCCAACCCAGGAAGGGGGTTGTCATTGTCCCCACTGGGTAGAAAGGAAAGCCGACATTCCAAGACGGAGTGGGCCTTCCGAGGTCACCTGACCTCTAAGTGCTGGGCCTTGGACTGGAGCTCAGGCCTGGCGAGGCTGGGGACCAGGCATCAGGAGAAGCAGGCCGAGCACACCTTGTGGCAGGTTCTCCTTACAGAAGCAGTGCACAGGAACACCAGGCAAGTCAGAGTCAGAGTCAGACCCTGGCGAAGCTAACAGGAGGACAGAGCTCACAGGGCAACACCCACAAGGCACTGCGCTTTCGTCTGCCGTCCGTTTTCTGTCCACTCTCACAATTGCCTCATTGGATAACCACAGAACCATGCTGTTACCCCAGTTCTGAAACAGAGAACAGAACTTCACAGAGGTGATGACTTCCTACAGCACACAGCTGGTGAGGGGTATAGCTGGGGCTCAGCTCCCAGGATTCCAAATCTGAAACTTTCGGGTAATGGTGGCAACACCAGTAACCTGCTAGGTCTTATTTCCTCCAGGAACTGTTATTAAGATCACTTCACAAATGAGGAAACTGAGGTACAGAGTGGCAGAAGACTAACCATACACACAGTCAATGGCAGTGTCAAAGTCAAGGTTTGATCCTAGCCCCAGGCCCATGTGGCTGCCCATGTCCCCCCACAAGGTCAGACCCTCCAGAGAACTGCACAGAGACTGGAGCATCACCGCCCCGACCAAGACAGTTCTAGGAAAAAAAAAAAATTAGCAGGCAGGAAATTCATGGACAAACCCTGAGCAAAGACTAGGGACCATTTGGAACTCCCACAGCATCTCGGGAGTAAGGTGGGCTGGAGGTCTCCCCAGGAGGCGAAGAGCTAGGGCTCAAAGACATCTAAGCAGATCTTGACAATTACAGGGAAAAGAAGTTTTTAAAAACCTGTTTAGCCAAGGACAGTGGAGCACGCTACACGGCAGGCTGAGGCATGAGGAACAAAAGTTCAAGGGCAGTCTGAGCAGCTTGGCAAAACTGTCTCAAGATAAAGATTTAAAAAGGCTGGGGATGTAACTCAATGGCATAGATTTGTCTTACATGCACAAGGCCCTGGGTTCAATCCCCAGTATTGGAAGAAAGAGAGAGAGAGAGAGGATGGAAGAAAGGAAGGAAAGAAGGAAGGAAGGAACGAGCAATAAAAAAAACTTGTTTAAAGTTAGAAAAGTTTGGGGCTGGGGATTTAGCTCAGTGGCATAAGCACCTGCTTTGCAAGCGTGCAGTCATAAGTTTGATCTCTGGTACCGATTAAAAAAAAAAAAGTTAGGAAAGTTTTATGATTTCATTCATACGAAATGCCAACAAAAGTGAGTCCATAAAAACAGAAAGCAGGTAATAGCAACTTGCGTGAGTAGGAGATGGGGAGTGATTGTTATTAAATCTTTTCAGGGTGATCAAAATGATTTAAAATTAGATAGACAGCTGGGCTTGGCGGTACATGCCTATAATCTCAGCGCTTGGGAGGCTGAGGCAAGAGAATCACCATGAGTTTGAAGCCAGCCTAGACTACACAGTGAGACCCAGTCTCAATAAAACTAGACAGTGGTGACAGGTGTAACACTGTCTTAATATGCTTAGGACCACTGCTGGACTTGAAAGCATACACCTGAAATCTCAGTACTTGGCAGTGTGATACAGGAGGCTCATATTGTGACTTGTATCTAGATAACCCCGCAAAGCCTCATGTAGTCATAGGTGGAACTTTTCGGAGGTAGCTGATTCGAAGTGTGTGATCAAGGGTGTAACGCTAGGGGTGTGTTACTTCCCTAAAGGTGGGCAGACTGGATAAGATATATGGGGCAGAAAAAGGTTCCCTGCTGGTTGCTTGCTGCCTCTGCCTGCCATGAACTGTTTGTCCTCTGCAATGCCCCTCTGCTGTGCCACCCCACCCAGGAGCTAGCCAACTCTGAACTGAAACCTCTACGAACGTGAGATAAATAAACCTTTCTTCCTTTAACTTTGGGTATCAGGTATTTTGTCTCAGCAACAAAATAAAGTAACACAATCACCTTGAGTTTGAGGCCAGCCTGGATTATGTAATGAGTTCAAGGTCAGCCTAACTATGTAATGAGATCCTAAAAATTTCCAAAAATTAAACACATTTTTAAAAAAAAATACACACACTTAAAACAACTGAATTGACCAACTTTAAGGATGGATTTTATAAAACTGAGAAAGAGAGAGAGAAAGGCTCAGATTGAAAAGTAAAGAGTCAGGGAAGTTTCAACCGGAGAAGCCAGAGCTGCTGCTGAATTTTGGCCTTGAGCAGAGTTGCATTATGCAGGATGGGTCCTGAACCACCACACCCCCTACGGCCGTCCTGGGACCTGGTTCTTCTGCTGCCACAGTCCCTGCGCACAGGCTGTTCCCTCAGCTCAGAATGTGCGTGCAAGACCTCAGCTCCAGCACTGTTCCAGGTAACAGCCCCCTGGCAGGTACACCCTCTCTGCAGAGCCCTTGTCAGTCTGTCCACTTCACGTGGCTGCAACAAATACCCATCTTACCCAGACTCAAGCCTCAGGGGCAGGAGCTTGCAGCTGTACCTGGGCAAGCCCTGTACTCAGCTCAAGAGGCAGCTGGATACAGAGCTGGCTGCGAAGAACTGCCGGGCTGCAGGCTAGGCAGACCCAGACAGTAAAGCAACGGGGCTCAGGGTATAAGAGGGAGATACAGCACAAAGGGGCACCCCAAGGGGGCCTCAAGGCACATGCAAACAACCAGCTTCCTGGAACTGAGGTCAGGTCCAGCTCTGGTGACTCCTTTCCAGTAGACAGGCTGTATCTCTTAGTCACCTCTGGGCTGGTTCACAGGACAGAGGAAGACCATGCCCCAGGCAGGACTGTCAACCGAGCCTGGCCAAGAACACAGGGACCCCACGTGGGAATGATGTGGCACATGGAACTGGGGACCCTGGGCAAGTGATGAGGCTCAGACAGCCGCCTAGATGGGCGTTGACTATGGAGGAGGAAGCTGAGCCTGGGGGCTGCATGGAGATGAAGGACAAGAGCAAAGCAGTGAGTTACACAGGGGAGGGCGAGTGTCAGGAAGCTCCCAGCTCAGGGTCCCCAAACACTTCCTGACCAGTTGTTGACAGGGCGATGACCCTCCTAGCACAAACAGGAAGCTCTCTCTCATTTCCGGGTATCTCCTCCCACTCACGCTCACCTCTCCTGAGAATCGAGCTCTTAGCTCCTGGGGCACATGCACATGTGTGCATGTGTGCATGTGTGTGTGCGTGATTGGTTTTGACCTCTCAGGCTGCCTGGCCAGGACATTGGAAGAAAGGGTGGACCAAGTACAGGCCTCAAAGTGTAAGTGTCCCTGCCCCTCCTACCCCTCTCCCTAGCAAGAAGAGATCAGAAGGAAGCCCAGAGCCTCTGATTTTGGCCACCTCTTTCTCTAGCATCTTCCCAGGCCAGGAGAGGAGAACCCAACTATCTACCATGCCATAGGCCTGGTGGAGTCCAGGTGTCCCCACAACGTCCTCCAACTGCTCCATAGTGGACAGTGGTCTCTGCCCATCCCTACCTCCCCAGGTACCTGGTTCTGCAGCTGGGTGGATGTGGCTTGCTGGTCACTGTCGTGGAGGGCCAACTTTTCCCGTAGGACCACCAGCTCCTCCTGAAGCTGAGCTTTCTCCTTCTGAAGCTGGGACATGGCCTCCACCATCCTATGCACCACAGGGGCTGCCCTTGGCAACCCCGACAGGCTTGAGCACCTCCCGCTGCCAAAGAGTCGCCCACCTACAAGCAAAGTAGTGGCTGATCAGCAGGGCTGTGGTGGTCCTGCTGGCAGAGGAGGGTGCAGCATGGCAGGGCAGACCACTGCAATGGGAAGGGGTGCAAGCAGGTGGGGGGTGGGCGAGGGCTGGAGGCAGTGGCAGCACGGTCACTAGGGGACTTCAGCAGGCAGCTTCTGGGAGACCGAATTGCTTAGACCAAGGCTTAGGAGAGCAACTTTGCTTGAGTGCTCTCAAAGCACATATCCCAGGTCTGAAGGTCAAGCCCCTCTCTGTGGCTCACAGGCTGTTCCTACTGAGAAAGACAAAGGTTTTTCACCCAGGAAACACTGTGCCTGGGGAAGTAAACTTCCAGCTCTCTCGGGAGGAGAAAGGAGTAGAGGCCTCAGCAGTCTCTGCAGGAAGTGGTCACCTGTGCACAGAGAGGGGGCAAAAGGAATATGTGCAAGTGCGACAGACAGGACACAGGCAAACCAGCACATGGAACAGGGGCAGCCAGGCCAGCACTGAGGGTGACACCTGTACATGGAGACCACACCAGCACGAGAAAGGGACAAGTACCGAGCTGGGCAGGGCCTTGGCCTGAGTCCTCCTCCTCCCATGGCCTTCCACTGTCCTGTCACCACCAGGAGCAAGAAAGAGACAGACAGATATGGAATTGAGGCCCATGGCCTACTAATGGGGCCCAGAATGCTTGTCACAGCTGGCCAGCTCGTGGCCAGAGCACCAAGAATGAGCACGGTCTCTGCAGGGAGGAGCTGGCCAGCAGCTCAGGGGATACAAGGACAGAGAACAGAAGAGGATGGGGAGGGGGGTGGCCTCCTTTCAGTGGCCTAAACAGAAACTGCAGAGTATCCAAGCGAACAGAGCCCAGTTCTTAACCAATGCATCTCCCTACTTGGCCTTGGTCCAGGGCTTCTGGGCTTTCCCAGGGTGAGGGGCTCCCAGACTCTGTGACTGAAGCCACCTGCACCAAACAGGCTAGCATCTTGGACCCAGGGGCAGAAAGGCACTCAGGGTTCTGCCAAAGGGTGTGAGGGGCAGAGGAGGGGAGCAGTGATGGGGGAGGGTCGGGTATCTTGGGCATAGGCAAGACCATCTCAGAACTGGCCCGGGTATGGACGGGCAGGGGTGAAGTGGGGCCGTCTAGAGCGCAGGAGCATTCCAGGCCAGCTTTCCCTCCTTCCAGAGAGGTGGGGCTGGTCTCTCCCTGCTTGGACAGTGGCCCTGGCTGTGTGGCCTGCATGTGATACAGCGTGCAAGTCACACAGAGTTTCCCGAGCTTTTGTGGCCTATTCTAGAAAAAGTGAGGGTAGACAGATGCTTCTAGGCCCAAACACGGGGCTGCCATGGGGTGCATGTGACCCATGTGGCCCTCTGCCCTCAGCAGACTGCTGTGGCATGGGAGGGAAGGCACTGGGCTCCAGCCAGGGAGCTGGTTCCACCACTTGAGCGGTGCGTGGGAGGGGCCCCGAGGGGTCTTCCTACGTGAATGGGTCCAGTGTGCAGGGTCCAGAAGGCAGGCTTGGGAAAGGAGCCTGGAGCCCTGGGGGTGTACAGTGTGGGTGACTGTTACAGCCCACAGGGCTGAAATGAAGCCTCAGAAAACTCTGTCATTGAGACACTACACTGCCACCAGAGGCCTAAAACACCCTCAGAGCCACCCCAGTGGTGCTCACCAGGACCTCAGCACTAGGACCTGAGCTGGTGCTGGGAGCTGACAGAGCCTGGGCATTTGGAGGAAGAAAAAAGGTCTCAGAGAAGCTCATGGAGAGTGGAGTAAGGGAAGAGGGAAGGAAGAGGCCACAGAGCCACCCGGTAGGTCCATCCTCACAGGCACCACCCACCACAGGACTGCCACTCAGGGCCCAGTGGGGCAGGGCCTATAGACAAGAGCCAGTCCTCACCCCAACAGGACCTGGCCTTCCTCTTCTCAGCACCTCTGCCACCTCGAAAGGAAGGCCTGCCTCACTAGCTGGACAATGTCCCCTCCCAAAGCCGGCTGCCCATACTTCAGCTGGACCCAACATCTCAGAACCTGGTTCTGGTACAACTCCAAAGAAGGGCAGACTCCTGCCAGACCCTAGCAAATTCAGACACACAGATTAACCTCCAGCCACAGGATGAGGGAAACAACAGGAAGACCAGGGCCCTTTCCTGTGGGCTTCCCCTTGGGCTCTTGAAGATGCTTTTTCCCGGTTCTCTATGGGCTGGGCCTTGCCATGAGACCACAAAGGGGGCCTGTAGAATCTTCTAGAACTGGCCTTGCTGGGCCAAAGCAGAGCCGCTGCTCCTTTCTCCCAGCCTAGAGGCTGGAAAATCCAATCCCTGTCCAGGGAGCCTTCGACCCCCACAGGCCCAGGCTAGAGGGGAGGGAGCCAGGCCTCTCAGCAGGTCGTGGCGTCTGGGAGGCTGCCACCTGTGCCCTGCTTTTGACAGGTGCTGGGAAAAGACAAAAAGTGGGGAAATTCAACCCTAGGCCCTGCTGGCCAAGGCCTCTTATCACTGGGCAGGGCTGGTGGCACGAGGGAGAAGCAGGGGACAGACGACACTGTCCCTGGATCTGGGAGAGGCAGGCTGGAGTCTCTCGGTTCCGCTCTGTGTCAGTAAAGGTGGACAAAGTCTGCCTGAGCCACCCGCCAGAGGCAAGGTGGGGGGCAGATGCGGGGATATCTTGGACTCCACAAGAGCCTCCCTGCTCGCTAGCTCTGTCAGGGTGTTTCGAGTCAGCAGGCAGCCCTCCTTTACCTGTTTTCTCTACATTCATGGCACCACCAGCTGCCGGGGCCTCTTTGTCCCGCTTGGGGACCAGCGCCTGCCTCTTCGAGAGATTGTCTTCTTTCGTCCCCTGACTCTTGGTCTTGCACCCCTTGTTCTGCAGGGCCTGCTGCCAAGACACAACCAGAATCCTCACATGAAGGGACTGTGCCAGGGAAGGACCCTGAGCCTGGGAACGGTGCACTCTGGAGCTGGCGTGGCCCTCAGGCCACCGGGTCAAGTCCTCACTGTGCTGGTGAGGGGCAGTGAGACCTGGAGTCTAAAAGGAAGTGGCCTCAGATCCCACAGCAAGACAGTGGTGGTACAAACTCCTGCCCTGTGGCAGCCAGACCTCTATACCAGCCAAGGAGGTTCTGGGCACCTGAAATCCTCAGGAGGAGCTTGGGCCAGCCCGGAAGGCTCCCCCCAGGTACAAGTCCCATTGACCCCAGAAAGCTGCCCAGCCCCACCACATGCACCTCCATCTCAGGGTAGCCACCCCACCCTATGAGCTGCTGCCATCCCGGCACTAGGAAGCTATGTACCAGTCCACCAAGCAGGGGGAGGGCTCCCCTGCCTCCTCTACTCCCCCTACCCCATGTGGCTCTCTAGAGGCTGTGGGTCCCCCTCCTCAGATCAAGGAGGTTTGCAGACGAAGAGGCAGAGACACAGCAGACCACTGGACAGGCAGGAAGCGGTAAGAAGAGTAGAAAGCGGTGCCCGGCAGCCCACACAGCAAGATGCCAGGCATGCGGCAGAGTATGGAAGCGCGATCCCATTTGAGGGCAGTAAACATAAAACAGGCAGAGAAAACAATCTAGAGAAATCAGTGGATGGTGGCTCTTTGTAGGAGGCTGGGGTGAAGGGAGAGGAGAAGCAAGCATCCTTTAAGATTTTGAAGAATCAAAAGAAACTTCACAATGGGAAGGCAAAGGGAAACACAGATGACTGTCCAGTCCATCCTGAACCTCTCTGGCATTTGAAGTTTTCACCTGATAAACATCTACAACATTCTGTTTATTTCTTAAATCAATAAGGGTCTCAGGGAAGAGAGGTCGAGGCGGAGCTTGCCTGTCTTTGTGCTCTCCATATTCAAAACAGACAAGTGAGATGTTTTAAAACTAGACTAGCAAGACGTGATCGTGCATGCCTGTCATTCCAGCACACAGGAGGCTGAGGCAAGAGAATCTTTACAAGTTCAAGGCTAGCCTGGGCTATCTACTGAGTTCAAAGCCAGGCTGAACTACACTGTGAAAAAAAAGAATTAAAAAAAACAGTTTAGAGTGGGCAAGGCGTGAGTGGACCACCTGTCACCTGTGTGTGGCAGGTTGCAGCACTCACCTTTCCCTGAAGCCCCACTTCCCACCTTCAACTAGAAATTACACCAACAGCGCCCCTAGTGCTTGTGTGGCATAACTGCAGCAGTGAAGCAAAACAGTGTCTGGCACAGTAGCAGTGATTACTATTTCTATAATCTCCATTTTTTGTTTTTTATTTTGACCATCAAAAAAAACAATAAAAGAACTGCAAAGAAAAGGAAATGTGACCTCATCAGGGTCCTTCGTTTGCCATCCACTCCCTCACTCACACCTTCTCCAACCTAGGAAGCAAACCCCTTGTATTTTGGAAAATTCCCGAAGACTTAATTTTGTCCCCACCCTCCGGCCAGCTGCTACACCATCGCAGGTTTGTTGGTGGTGGCAGCAACAGCACCGGCACCAGCTGGAAGTTCCCATTTGTCGACTGGAGCAAAGGTTACACTATTTCTGGCCTGCTGGCCAAGGCGCAGGAAGGACACACGACCCGGGCCTTGGATTCCTGCAGCATCTCTATGAGGGTCTTAAGGCTGAGGGTCACCACGCCTATGGGGTGCCGTGCTATGACCACGATCTACTCTGGCTGCATATCCACAATCCTGACACACCAGAGGGCCCAAAGGCACATGAACCACCTGGAGACTGGCTGCAACTTCTGAGAGCCTCGGCATATCTGCTGACCCCAGGCCTCGGCTTTCCAGCCCAACACCCCATAATCAAAACTCAGGAACACAGCACCACCCAACTGGAGGCCCTGCATTCCCAACCACAGCCTCCCAATTTAAATACCAGTGGCCCAAGTCAGGGCAAAGACTAACTCTGGTTTCTTTAACTGTTCTCTGACCAGACTGGCTTTCCCTCAGACCTGCAGATAAAAGGAGCAACTGGTTTAGTTTTCAGATGAACCATGTGAGAAGGACCGAGAAACGCCACAAAACACAAGCCTGTCCCTGAAGCAACTTTGGCCCTGGGCTCCTTCCCAGCTCAGGGGTTGGGGTCATACACTGCCAGGCCCAGGGCTTTCATCCATATTGGGGAAGATTCATTGCAAGGGTGGGCAGCCCTCTCCTGCCCACCATCTGTACGCTGCGCCTTCAAAGCTCTATGCAGATGTGGCTTCTGGGAAGACGGAATCTCTCCATGTTAATGCCAGAAGAGCACAAGGGAAGGCTGGGCAACACCCCCAGATAATTCACATTTCATTCTCTGCCACTGCATTTATGGCCCTTGCCTGCTTCGCATTCATGATCATTCGGTGACTCTCTGGCACTCCTGCCAGACTGTCAAATGTTTATTCTCATCCCTGTTTCCCTACACCTAGCACAGCACTTGTGCATAGTGGGTCTTTCATACCTATCTCTTCCCTGAATGTGTGGATTAAAAACAGGCAGAGCCCATGATGCTCTTTCAAGTACTTGAAGCCAGAGCTGTACAAATATTTAAGGGGCTCACCATAATCAGAAACAATACAGAGAAGGTAGAAAAAACAAAATATAGATAGACAGATAGATAGATATACAGATAACACAGTGGTGTGGCACTGAGAATTAAACCCAGGGCCTTGGCACGCCATCCAAGTGCTCTATCATTGAGCTATACTCCCAGCCCAATAATAACTTATGGTAAAACCTCAAGTAGAATATTACACAGTAGTTTAAAAGAATGAGGCTGATAGGCTATAAATATAAGCAGTTACACAGAAACGATAAATGAATAACCAAGTCTGTCACTGTAGATGTCTCAAGTTGGGACCACAAGAGGCATTCAGCTTCAGGTATTGTGTAAAACTGCACAATGTAAGTTCCTTGTACCATGGATTACAAAGCTAGTTGTGTTCAGTAGTTTAGACCCCCAGTCACCGGGTGACCGGCAACAAGTTATCTAACCTCTCTGAACCTGAATGGCCTCATCTTTAAACCTCAGATAAAACAGCAAGTGTCTTGGGACAGTTAGGAGGATTATATGAGATACATAAACCTACCCGTTCAGGAACAATGTTTAACAAACACTAACCACTACACTGCGATCTTTCTGTATTATTTCAATAATCACGCCATTCTCACACATACATGTAAAGTGTACCTTTTAAAAATTGGTGATAATAGTGGGCAAGTTCCAAGTGTTGGTGAAGCCCTCTGTGGATCTCACTTCAAAGAAATACCATACAAGCATGGTCCATGGTCTCACACCCAAAAGGAAATAAACAGCTACCCCAAACTGGCTCATTGTCTCAGTACTCCAGGCCCTGCTCAAGTCAGCGAAGACTCCATACTTCCCACTTCAACACCTCAGCCATGGCGTGGCCAAAAAGCTTCCATCACCTACAAGCAAACTGCCCCATCCAAGCAGGCTCAAGGTCAGATAGGCCGTGAGAAGCATGGCAGAGAGCTGCAAGGCAGGTCCCCAGAACCTGTCGGGGACCAGCCGCTGGAGCTTAGAGGACTAAGGGGCACCCGCCCACTCACCCCCTCCTCATGCTGAAGGCCCAGCGCTTACCTGCACGGTCAGATAGAGCTTTCGGGGACTCCCAGGGTCCGCCCACTCCACGCTGAGGGCTCGGCACTGCGCTAGGCCAGGGCGAGCTGCAACGCGGGTACTGGAGTCCTCGTCCACGCCAACCAGCGTGTCTCTTCCTCGCCCTGTCCCAGGACAGAAAGATAGGTGAGACACTCAAACCGCTGGCCACAGACCACTGGCCAAGCTCAGCTTTCGCACCCTCTCAGTGGCCGAGAGCACCTCACATGCCCGCATACCTCTGCCCTGTGTGCAGGGAAGGCCGGGCAGGGGCAGCCACCGCACTTTTGTACCAAAAGCCACCCAGACTCCCTTCTGAAGGGCACATGAGACCCCACAGGGGTATCCCCTTGCCTCACAGTGACTCCTAGGATCCACACTTGGTCTGTCTTGAGACAGTACCATAAAGAATTACCATAAAGAGACAGTACCCTGGGAGGTGCACCCCAGGGCTGTGGCTTTATTACACAGGCTGCCTCTAGGTGGCAATTTCTCCCTGCCTTCATTAAAGCCCAAACCACAGTGGGTGGCCTGGCCCTGGCTGTTCCCCAAAGCATTCTTAGGACCAGCTAAAAAGCATCCCCTTGGGCTCTGACATAGTGTCCTGCTGACTGGGCAAGCCCCTTCCCCACCTACCTCCCCCACCCCACAGCCTGTGGAGCAGACAGAGTACCAAACTGTAGAGCCACGCCCTGGGACACAATCTCATCTGACTATCGCTGGTAGACAGGTGCTTTCCAGGCCTTCCCAAGCCTCAGTGTGCTTGTCAGTAAAATGGGAGAGATAACCAACTATGCTGTCCTATGGTGAGGATCAGAAGGGAGGGGACATAATAAGTACCCACAGGGTACTAAACACAGAGGAAGTGCCCCCAGATACAGGCCTAGAGGGTCACAGCCACCACCAGCTCTTCATAACTCAGGAAAAGAACCGGCAGGCCAGAAGGATTAAGGATGTGCCTGGGGTCACATAGAGTCAGTATTCAAACCCTCTGTGCTGATCAACCCACTGCCACCCATCACTCTCAGAGGGCCTGAAGGGCTGGTGGGAGCACTCAGAGAGGCTGGGCAGAGACCCTCCCCAGCGGCAGACCATGCCTGTATTTTAAAAAGTTCATCTGACCCATGTCTCAAAGTTTGAGAATATTATTGTCATAATATTCATTTTAAAGACCTACACATGTGTGCACGCACATATACACACAAGCACACACAAACTGTAAGGAGCTATACAAAATGCTTGCTTTTTTTTTGTATTTTTCTGTGGTTTTTCTGTTCTTTTCAATTTTTGTTTCGTTAGGTTTTCCAAAGGAAAATGCTTTTGTTTTCCTTTTCTCTTTTTTAACCAGAAAACCCACACTTGCTCACATTACATTTATAATCCTCTCAACAACCTGGCAGGGTGGATCCCATCCTCTGCCCCTTTCAGACATCTGGGTCTTCCGGACCCACAGCTTTTCCTGGGGGCTCCCAGGGTCATCCCCAGCTCTGGTGAGGCGCAGTGAGTGCCAGCAAGCCACAGAAGTGGGGAGACCTTGGAAGGCACTGCTCTGGCTGCCCTGACAGCACAAACGCAGCGGTGGTGGAAGCGGATGAACAGGAACTTCCTACATGCACTCTCTGGGCCTCAGTGTCCCCTCTGTACACTGAGAGGCTTAGACCTCATGGCCCAGAAGACAGGTTAGAAAGCTAAACCAGTCCCTGCAGGTCAGGGGTGAGTGACAGCAGATTCCCAAAGGAATCCGCTGGAACTCTGTCTCCCTACTCTACCCCTGAGATCTGCCCCTAGGGAGCTCAGCAAGGGGTCACAGGTGGCTCTCCAGCCCCAACGACCCAGCTTCCACTAGGAATCAGAGAAGCCACTCTCTCCTTGACTTCCCTGCACCAGGGGACATGACCCAGAAAGTCCAGTTGGCACTGACAGCTCCCCAGGGCACAGCAGAGGCCCAGACTCGGGGACCCTTCACCACACACCTGCTGTGGGGGGATCTCTACAGAGGCCACCCAGGGCAACTCCTAAATCTAAGCTCATAGCACCCAAAGCCGGCCAGGCCACGGTCCAAACAGCCTCAGTGCGCTCCTCACGCCCGTCCAGGGCGAGTCCGGGGCGGCATCGAGTGTCAGTGCCGCGCCAGGCACCGGCACTTCACTTACCTTGTTTACACCGTGGGCAGGGACCAGGGTGAGCCCCCAAGCGTGTTCCAGGCAGACCGCCGAACCCCAACCCAGTGGGATCAGCGACAGCGTGGTCGATTCCCCCTGCGCCTTGAACTGTTAAAGTTTAACCCACACTCAGCCTCCTCCGGCGAGACTGACTGAAGAACTGACGTTCCCTCCCTTCCTGGCGCTGAGCTGCCGGACTGCTACCCTGTAATTACCTGACAGCTCGACTGAGTTTAGGAACCTCGAGAAACCTTAGGCTCATCTCTAGTATCTGGAGGAAGGAAGGGAAATAAAGAGGCATTTTAAAAATGCGGACTCACCAGTTCTCAACCTCCCCGGGCCGGTGTGTGGGAAAGGGCGGGCAGCCGGGCTGGCTGGGGCCGGGGCGGGGCGAGCCATCCCCAGCTCACGCTCCCGGGCCCGGCCCACTCTCCAAAGGGCCCGCAGTGAGGGCGTGGCTCCCAGGTTCCAGGGCCGAGAGGGGACCATGGCCCGGGGCTCAGCAGCCTCCTTTGGGCATGGGGCAGCCTGTGGAGACAGCAAGGGGAGCAGAGTTTGATGCCGGCTGGTGGGCACCCAGCCATCTGGCAGGGTCCACGAAGGACCAGTCACCTGTTACCAGGGCAGGAGCCCCAGACTCAACCTCTTCAAGGATCCCTGGGCTCACAGGACAAAACAGAGCCTGTCTCTGTGTTGGGATGCTTATTACAGAATAGGGAGGCTCAGGAGTGGGTGAGGAGGCACCAGGTGTGCCTGCCACATCCAAGCCCTTCATCCCAGTACCTGGCAGCACAAAGACATGCCAGGTCACAGCACCCCAGGAGTCAGCACCAGGAGCTGGCAGCATCTGGTGAGTCCATCCTTTCTCTTATTTTCTAACCACACTGGGCCATGTACTTAGCCTCAGTCTTCAGACTCCTCTGTCCCAGTGGCCACGCTCTGAATCCTAGCATGTCACTAAGGGGCTCAGAGGGCCAGAGGCAAGTTATGGTTTTTCATTTTGTTTTATTTGTAGTGAGACTGAACCCAGGACCTTTGCATGAGCTACATCCCCAGTCCAACCACCCCTGTTTTATTAAGACAAGGTCTAAGTCACTAAGTGAGGTGGGCTGGTCTTGAACTCCTTCTGCCTCAGCCTCCCAGGGTGCCAGGTTTATAGGCATGCACAACCATGCCCAATGAAAATCAGTTTTATACATGGCAAATGATCCTACAGTGTAGCTCATTCATGTATTCAAGTGGCTTTCACTTTGTGCCTTGAGCATTGCAAGTACTGTGCTAGGTATTACAGGTTTGGTTTGATTTTTTGAGATAGGGTCTCATTATGTATTTCAGTGTAGTTCAAGCTGACCTTGAACTACTCCTGCCTCAGCCTCCCTGGGATTACTTAATAGACATGTGCACTGCACCCAGCCTGCAGGTGTTGGCATACAAAGGTTTATTCATATTTTTTTCATTTAATAAGTACTTATTGAGTGCTATCATGTGCCAGGCACCTACCAGGGATCCTTTGTGTGTTTTTTTTTGGGGGGGGTGGTTCAGGAGAGATGTGGCCTCAAAGCTCACAGTTAAGAGATAAACGCTGCAGTTAACTCTCAGGATATGAACAGGATATGGCGAGGTGTGCCAGGTACCAGGTGGTGTGGGGTGCAGAGGACCAATCGAGGACAGAAAGCTGCGTGAGTCCATTAGGAACTGAGTAAGTGAACAGAACAGAGTTTGAGCCTTCCTTGCACACCTTTACCCTGCATGTTTAGCCTGTGCAGAGCAGCCTCGAGGGCATTCGAGCTAAGTTGCAGTCCCAGGCTCAGACAGTGATGCCAATTATAGAAGCAAAGTCAGCCTGAAGAGATAACATGGAGTTTGGTTTTAGGAGTGAGTTGGGAGCACCCTAGGGAGTTCCTATGGAGCTTCTCGCAGCGACCACTTTCTGTCAGGCAGCAAAGACATCTATTTGCATAGGGTCCACCTTTTGTGACCCATTTTGGGTCCCAGAGGGCGGGACCCACACTACCAGTAGCACCAGCCTTCTGCGCCTACACCAAGTGTTCTGCAATGGCTTATTGGGTGACTGTCCTGAAACACACACACACACACACACACACACTCAAGCTCTGACTAAAGCTTGGGAGAGAGGTGACAGCTGGCCACTCAGACTCAGAGCTAAAGGCTATTGCTGCCAAAGGTCAGGATGCAATCCCCAAGGTTGAGCAAGAGGAGAGGTGACCAGGTAAAGACAGCCATGAAATGGGAGGTCAGAGAAGTGACCAACTAGTGAGAGGGAGGGAGGGGATGGTCAGATAGTCACCTCTGGAAGAAAGCCCAGACAGCAGAAAGACCCGGGGAGCCCATTAAGAGGTCAGCTGAGGACGGCAAAGGGCAGATCTGGGAAGCCACAAATGGGGGTGGGACAGAAGCAGGAGAAGGCAATTGAGAAGATGTGGTGTTTAGAAAAGGGGAGAGCTGACATGTTTGGTACGCAGAAGCAGGCATGAATACAGAAGCAACAAACCTACAAGTCCAGGGGCTGGCAGTCTGATCACCTGCTGCCTGATGTTAGTTGGCAGAGGCCTAGAAGGAGCTGTAGTCTCTTCCGTCCTTGATTAAGACAACAAGAGGAGGTGATCCTTGGGTACAATCTCACTGGGAAGGGAATAGGAATGTGGGCCAAAGCCCAGGGCAGAAGCTAATCTGAAAACGTTGCCCAACACCACCAAGAAACTGACGTGGAGCAGAGTAGAGTGGAAAAGCTAAGGGAATAGCCCCATGTCCCCTTCTCCAAGCTGTGTAAAGAGATGGGCAGAAATCAACCCTACAGACTGATGGTGAAGGAAGGAGAAAGGCAGGGCTGCCTGCAAACCCAGCTCCTGGCAAGGTGAGCTGGTGCCTGGCACAGACGGCCGCTTCATGGTTGAAAGAGAAGACTAGGGGGATCAGCTAGGGCAAGATATGGGCCACAGGAGGCCACATGCCTGCGTTATCAGGAAAGGAAGTTGGAAAGGCAGCCAGGAAGATGTCAGGAAGAAAGAGGAAGGGTGTGTGCTAAAGCCCCAAAAGGAAAAAGCAGCTGAATTTAGCAGCTGGAGGAGTGCTAAGGTCAGAAGCATTAAGGAATCTCAGTAAGTCCAGGGGTCCAGGCCAAGAAAGAATCAGTCTCTCTCTCTCTAGTTACATGAGTTTTGGATATCAGACCTGATATCCTGGAAACTCTACTGACCTAAGATTCACAGGGTTAAGTGGTGGCTCTGGTTCAGAATCTAGATCTGCTACTTAGTACAAGTATCCTTGGGACAATTATTTTGCTTCTCTATGCCTTGTTACCTCCATATATAAAATAGAAATCTACCTTTATAGCACTGGTATAAAGATTAGACAGTACACATGTAAAGTACTAGGAACACTACTGGCATATACAAGAAGCTCAAAAATTTAATTTTATTAACTTTGTTCCATCAGTGGACATCTGCCTCTCCAGGTTTAGGCCAAGACAGCAGAACTGCATCCTCCCCACTGCCCTACATGAGTGACATTGCAAAGTTTGGGTAACAGAGTTGGTAGAAGACCACACAGCAGAGGGATTGATCTCCCCAGGACTTGCCCCCCAACACAGTCACACTTCGTCGTTTTTCTAGAGCCAATTCGGATTTCAAAGCACCTGCTCCCTGGTGCTGTTGCAGACAGCAGAACCCAGCACTCTGGTCCCTGAAGTCCAATCTGCAAACACAGGGCCCCATTCTGAGGCTGTGATCCCAGCAAATCACTCTCCCTGGTCAAGGAAAGGGCTACTTTATCAAGGGCACAGGGACTAGGTCAGGCAAGGAAGGTGCTCACCCACTCTTGGGCAGAGGAAACCAGGGAAGGGGAAAGAACAGGGGTGCTCACAACTCCCAATCTTGAGACAGAACTATTGGGGGTGGAGGGGGGCAGCAAACTGTACTTCAGAATTTTGATACAGCAAGAGCAGGCCCTTCCCTAAGGCCAACCAGAGTTCTGCTCTAACTCACAGAAGGGCATGGAAAGGAGCAGCTTCTGGGCTCACCCTGTCTGCTGGGATTCCCCAGCTGCAGCTGTCAATGGCTCAATTCCTCACTGTCCCGGAGGGCACTGGCCAAGGCCCTCCTTCCAATCCTGGGCCAGACTAGCACACTCCACCCGGGCCGGCAGGGGGAGGCAACTGCTCAGAAGGAGCGGTGGGAGGGACTGAAATGACAAGGTCTCCCTAGAGTCCGGGGTGCCGGAGACCAGGCAGGGGAGGGGGCGGCGCTGATTGACACATAGCTCCCAAGTAGGGTCTGCGCTACAGCTAGCCAATGAAATCAGAAGGGGGTCCCATGGTACCAGCAACCCCTAACCCGGCTACAGGGCAATGTTCTGGTCTTGAGCTGTATGACACCAAGGGACGCGGTGGAGGAATGAGTCTAGGATTCCGGCCTTCCCAGGTCCCCAGTAGGTCCCGGCACAGGAATTCTGAGGGCTGGTCCGGTCCAAATGCTGCACCCCAAACCGGGCAGCAAGGCGGAGCCTGATTGCCCAACCCAGCTGGGCCCCGACTCACCGGCCTGGCGCAAGCAGGATCCCCACGTCGCGGCAGCGCCCTGGCTCGGCCCGGCCCGCTGGCTGGAGGCAGCTCCACGCCGCCGTCTCCTCCTCCTCCTCCTTACAGTCTTTGGCCCGCCCCGCTCCCGCCCCTCCCGCACACTTTCCACAGGAAATGATTAACTCGGGCCGCGGCGCGTTCCCATGGCAACCCGCTGTACCCGGCGGGGAGCGGGGCGGCGCGCGTCCTCATGCACACACACCAGGCGCTTGTCTCCATGCACATGCCTGCGCACACGTGTATGCTCATCCTGTGGTGCACACACGCCTGTCCTTTCCCAAACAGGCTTGCGCCCTTTGCTGCCGACACGGACTGCACACATGCCTTTACACAGCTCCCTCCCCAGGCTGAGAAGCACACTCCTAACTGCTCATACAGGCAGCAGAACCCACAGTCTCAACCCCAGTACAAAACTTTCACACTCTAGAGCTGGTACATATGGATGCTTTGCTCACAGGGTCTCGGATACAAGCGTATTTTCTTCCCCTTCTAGCATGCACAAGTGCTCTTGCACACGAGGTAGTACGCTTACACATTGTCATGCATTCCCATGTGCTCTGGCACTACTGCTGTGCAGCTCACATACACATGCTCACTCCATGTAACACCCACACTTTGGCCCAGCTGCTTCCTGCCCAGCAGCCCCTTGCCCCACCCACCCCACCCCACCCCTGCAAATGAACCTCTCTGCAGCGGGGAGCTGCTTGGGGTTAAGGAAAAACCTCTGTGAGCCCCAGGGAAAACAGGCCTAGAGGGCAGCGCCTCCCAGCTTAGCCCCAGCCCTGGAAGGCCCTCCTCAGGATGTGCCTAGGGAGAGTGGGGAACATGCCAGCCAGAAAGACAGCTGACCCAGAGGAGCCACTGTGCTCTTTGTCTCTGAACAGAGGCAGCATTTTGTTCTGGAGTCAGCACCATTTGCCCCCTCCAGAGTGTGTAAGGAGGAGACAGTGGCAGCTCACAACCCAGCCCTGCACGCTGATGGTCCTGCAGATAACAGCCAGCATGGTGGGCATTCTGCCCCTTCCTGCTTGGCAGGGGGTGGCCCAGGAGGGCACCCGAAGGGTTATGCAGCTTCAGGTGGGTCATCTCCTGCTGCTGTCCAGGGGCTGGGCTGGCAGTTGAGAATCTCACCCAGCCTCACAGTGTCCTGGATGCCAGACCAGAACAGCAACAATTCCCCCCTCTAGAAGTGGGCTGGTTTTATTTTCTGAGATTCTAGAGTGAAGGCCAAACAGAGGGTAAATGTCACTCTCCTGGAACCCTCTGGGGAGTTAGATATCCAGCCAAGTCCTCTGAGGGGAGTCATCCTCTCAGAAGCTCTCTGCCTGACCTGAAGATTTCTGACCAAGTATCTCCTTTTATTACAGCCCCTATTCAGTGCCCGGAACAGGTAGGCAGTGCCCACTTTCAAGTATCTTAAGAGTTGCCTCACTGACATTAACTACAGGTTTCTTCTGGCAAAGCCAAAGGCAGGTTTTTAGGTTAATAATAACATTTATTGTACTTTTTCTCTGATTACAGAACTAATAGATGCTCTTGTAACCATCATCCCACCCACTGGGGATAAATGCTGCCAACATTTCAGCACAAGTTTTTTCCGTGTGCACATAATAGAGACCATTTATTCAAAGCTAACTCCATGCCAGGCATTGTGCTGAGCTTTTTTGTAAAAAAGATGTAACCCTGATCGCCCTATGAAGTGGGCACTGTCATAGCCCCATTTTTTTAAGGAGGGAAAACCCGAGCCTCAGAAAGTTCATTCACAAACGCTGGATGAGTCAGAGCTGAGCTATGAGCCCAGTAGTGCTGTGAACACACAAAGCATCATCGTATGTACATAAGTACAAGAGTTTATTACGGTCAAAGCACTAGTGAAGGAAAACTGACAGATTAGAAGGAGACATATTTGAAATTCTAGGAAAACTCTGGCTTTAAATGGAAAAACTGAATTGTTAAGTAACTGTTGGAATTTGTTTTAAGAACCCATAATATCACCAGGAACTGCATACCAACTCCAAGGTCATTTTTATGCCAGAAACTTCACTGACGGTTTACAGAGGCTGCCAACTCTCCCCTGGCCACAGGGGTGGTGGAGGATTTGCCAGAAACCTGCCCATCCCAACATGAGCCTTTGCCCTTGACACTTCCTGCCCATCTGCTAGAGGCATAGATGTCCCCAGAAAGGCCAGACAGAAGCTGGCAGCCAGAAGATTGCAACCCCATACCCATATATATCCTGTCCCCCAGGTAGGTCAGCGCTGCCATCTTTGTGTTCAAAGGAGCTGAAATCCCTAACCTCGCATGCATCTGCATCTATAAAAGACAGCCAAGGCCTCAGATTCCTTTCCCTGGAAGGCAGCAAACAGGAGAAATGATGTTTGCCTTAATCCTTATAGTAACCCAGAGTCAAGTACACATAAGACGTTTCAGTTTGAATAGTTTAACTTGAGACCCAATCTCTTTTCTCCCTCTGCAAGTGCTGACATCCCCATCATACCCCGCCCTCCACCCAAAGGCCTCTTGCTGTCACCCTGCTGCCCCCTGCCTCATATCTGACCAGTTCTGTCCTCCTTTGAGTCCTGCTCACAGACACCAGCAGACACCCCCCCCCCATGCACACACACACACACACACACACACTCACACACACACATACACACATACACAAATATGATGGCCTTTCCTGTCGGGGCAACCCTTCCTGGGAGTCAGAGCCCTTTTCTGACATAATGACAAGAAAAGCCTCACCACATGGCCTGGTGTCACATGCATGTTCACTAAACACATGCAGGGCATGCAGAATTCAAAGAACACGATGCATGAAACATACCCAGACTTTCTTCCCACGTGAATTCATAAAACTTCCTACCAGAAGGAAAAGGATACTTTAAGCACTTGTTTCAGGGTGCTCAGTAATGAGCATCCGGCAGCTATGAAATGTGTGTATCCTTATCTTGGGTAACGATTTTTCTTTTTCTTTTCTGTTTTTTTTTTTTTTTTTTTTTTTTTTTTTTTTTTGAGATGAGGTCTCACTACATGGCCCAGGCTGACCTTGAGCTCCTAGGCTCAAATGATCTTCCTGCCTTAGCCTCCTCAGTAGCTAGGCCTACTGGCAAACACCATCATGCTCAGCTAACAGATTCTTGAAATAAGCAAACGTTCTGGTGTTGAGTTCCATGTTGAGCAATCTTGACTCCACAAGGTGCTAGCTGGAACCTGTGTCTTCCTGTGCCCCCGAAATCATCATGCACTGGGCAGAGACCCTCAGCTGGGCTACAACCTCTTCCAGCCTTGGTCTTGCCAAGCCCTGAGGGCTCAGCAGATACTTGAAGGACTAGCACTTCCCATCCCCTACCTGCTCCCCCAGTGTTCCCCCAAAAGCCCATTTGGAAGGGGAAAAAATTCTTCATTTTCAGAGATCCCTTCAAGGAGCCCAACTCCCCTCCAGCCACCAGGCAGTGGTCCCTGACCCGGGTGGGACCCACTGCCGGCTCCCAGGGTAAAAGGACTGAAACTTCTCTCTACCCTGCAAGGGATTTGGCAGATTCTCTCCCTCCTGCACACTGGGAGCAAAGTAAACAGAGGCCTTTTTTAATCATTTCCTAGAGTCTAAAAAAATGAGAGGAATGCAAACACTGGGGAGATAATACAGTAAGCACCCAGTAATAAAAAGCTTTCCCAAGAATGGATAGGAGCAGCACCGCCGGTAAGCCCAGCCGGCTCCTGGATTCGCCTTGATCCCTCGCTCCTCACAAACGCTCCCCTCCGCTTCACTTGCTGCGCCCAGCTCCTCTCCTACTACACCAACCAGCGCATTATTAATTAACTTGCTTTCTCATTGGCTTTGTCCCTTCCACTGCAAATTCTAGGTGCTTTATGGCTTTTTAAAAATTTACTTTCTTTTTGCATGCTTGCGGGTCTCTAACTTGTAAACTTGCGGATGTTCCTGCCTCAGCCTCCCCAGTAGTTGGGACTGCAATCTCAGACTACTGCGCCCTGCAAGGTGGTGGTGTTTTTTTATTTTTTTTTTCACTTGATGTTTTTCCAACACCAAGGTAATAAATAGAAGCCAAGAAAGGGAAAAGCCACCCTTAGCTTATTGTCGTTGGCCCAGATTTTCTTTCTGGTGTCTAACCTTGGGCTAACTTACTCATAGTAAAAAGAGACAGAAGAAAACGATCCTTAGAATCATAAGAGGAAAACAAGCCATGGGTTTTGGGCCAGGCAGATACTCGTGTGAACCCCGGTTTAGTCACTTCTTTGGTACCTGGGTTTCTTCCTGCGAACATGACACTAATAGTAGTAGTACTTGATCCACTGGATGGTGGTAAGATAAAAGGCAAAGCAAGCATGAGACACCCTTAGCCCAGCACCTGGCATATGACTGGCATTTTTGCAAATACAAACAGCAGTAGGTGGAATGCAGATTAGCTACAATGTAATCAAAATTGTCCATGTTACTTTTTCCCACCAAGATCTGCTCTTTTCTGCAGACCCCAGACTGAAGCTGAGGTTAGAAGATCTCATGAGGCGCTAGGGTCCCACTGAAAATAATCGTTTTTAGTGGCTGCATAATATTCTACAAAGAAGTGCTGTGTGGACCAAGCAGACCATGCCAGGAGGCCAATATCCAAGCAGTGCCCAAAATTTTACCCTTAAAGACAGCATTGCTATCAACATTGTCCCTCTCACAAGCCCATGCATTCTGGGGTGATGGGAGAAAAGGAGCTGTCTGTTTCATAAACTCTTTCTGAATAGAATCTCAGCATTTTGGTTTTGCTTCCGACATGTTACCAGATTGCCCTCAGAAGGGCTGCATCAAATTTATACAGGCATTGGCAGCATTTTTTGAAGAGAACTACTCGTCACTGTAATTTACAGATTTTCTCTTGGATCTCAAATTCTAGCCCTGGCCGGCTCTCCTGAGAGGCACAAGGCATGGGGCAACATCTGAGTGATGGCTGTCAGCCGTGGGGAGCTGTCAGCCAGGCAGGGCCTGACAGAACAGGGACACTGGCTCAGGCTCCCCTCCCACCTGCTCTCAAGTCCTGGCCACTTCCCAGGTGGCTCCAAGCCATCCCACTGCCCCGTGCCCAGCAGCACACAAATGGCTCTGCCAGGTGGTGCTCTCACCCGCCCTAGAGCTGCCTGTCAGCTTCATGCAGTGTCAGTCACTCCTGGAAAGAAAATCCCTCAGGGCTGGGGCTGGGGCAGGGACAGTGTCTGGAGGGAAAGCCCTTTTGTACAAAACCCAGTCCCAGTCCCAACCGCACTGTCCATCTCTTGGCACTGCCCCTATGGCTGTCCCTGAGCCGCAGCTTCACCTGCCAGACTGTGTAGCAGCCACAACAACCCCAGCCGCCACTGCCTCCTCTTCGGGCTGCCCTTGTTTGCAAACAGCTGCGGAAGTTTTGACGCTGCTGATTAACCAGCCTCCCACGGTTGGTCTGTTATTAGTCATCTCCATGAGGCCCAGCTTCCGCCTGCCCCACCAATGTCACTGGCACTCAGGTGACGGAACAAGCAAGACGCTGCGTCAAAATAAAAAAGAGTGGGAACGTAGCACAGTGCAAAGGTTCTGGGTTTAATCCCTAGTGGTGGAAAAAAGAAAAACAGCTGAAGCACTGCATTATGAGAATAACTACGGTAGGCCCACGAATGTGTGGCGTAGCTGAGGACAGGTGGCACGGAGCACTGGCAAAGGTGGGTGGTAGCCACACGCAGTGGTACCAACTGTCATCACAGCTATTCAGGACGCCGAGGCAGGAGGATCAGCTGTTCCAGGCCAGCCTAGGCAACTTAGCATGACTCTGTCTCCAAATAAAAGGACTGAGGATGTTGCTCCGTGAGAGAGTGCTTGGCCACCATGCTCAAGACCTTGGATTCCATCCCCAGCACCATTCCCCCCAAAAGTGAGTGTTACAAGGCAGGAGCTGTGTCCCTAAACTACTACGCGACCTGGGGCAGATTTCTTCCCCAATGGGTGTCTAGCAGGGTGGTGGTGACCTCCCCACTACGCCATGAAGTAGGTGGCACTGAGAAAGGGTGACTGCAGGTCTGAGGAGAGAAGGAGGCAGAGCCCCACGGGAGACAGTACGCATGGGTCCAGCCAACACTGCCTTTGGAATCTGACTTTTGGGAGTGGGGTCCCTGGTATCCCCCAACCACCACACCCTTACTCAGAGCCCAGGAGAGAAGCACATGGGTCACCCAGGGAGCAGGCACTGCTGCCAAGAGAGGAGTGGGCGTGACAGTACTCACCTTTGTCCCCTTCCTCCTCCACGTGGAGAAAGGCAGCATAATAGATGATCAGAGCCTGAGCAGGAAGGGAGCATAGCAGGACACGGTGCTGCTCACCTGGGGGCCTGGGGACACAGCTTGGTGCGAGTCTCGGGGACCAGGGACAGATACATCCCAAGGAGCAAAGTTGGAAGTTGCTGCTGCCCAAGGTCCCACAGCTGGCCCTGTGCTCTGGGCAACTCGGGGTCTGCATGCAGGTGTGGCCCTCACAGGGGCAGTGCCAGCACACACTAGACCCCCAATCAAGGGCACAGGTGCAAGGACGAAATTGGCCATGAGAAGTGGGGGCTCTTCCATTGATAGGGAAGAATCCTGAGGTGCTGCTTCTGGTGTAAATCTCTGCAGGCAGACAGCCTAAGACACATTCAGCCACAAGACACAGATGGCACTGTGCTCCGTGAACAGAGGAGACGCCCCTGCAGACCCCAGCCATCCAGAGGGCCGGACTCAAGCCTCTGCTGAGCAGCCTCAGGTGGTAACTCAGACTTCCCTCTGCTGCACAGCACAGATGCAGCCTGGCACCCCGCTCGCACCCTGCACCTCGTGCCTTGGGAAGGAAGAGACCTGGGCACCAAGAGACTCAGCTGCTGCAAAGCTCCAGCCCAAAGATGGAACTGAGTGCTTGCCAACCAGCAAAGCCACATGACTCAGGCAGGCGATGGACAGACGGGGAGGGAGTGCTGGCTGGTGCAGCGGGAGGGCTGTGCCATCAGGTGCGCACACGGTGAGCAGCCCCACCTTCTAGACAACCCCATGCAGGCAGCCTCCTGTCAGGCCCGGGCCCCTGCACCACTCGGCCTCCCCAGGTGGTCAGGGCATCCTTGTCCCATGATTCTCTTCAGCACACATCCAGGGCCCAGCTGCCTGCCGCCACCCTGCCCAGCTTCTCTCTGCCATCCCTAGCCCCGGCACCTCTTTCAGAAGGGACCTCGTGTTCACCACATGTTCCCATTGGGGCTTGCGGTTACCTGCACAGCAGTAGCCTGTGCACCTGTGAGGCCCCAGGAAGACACCAGGAAACCCTGTGTGTGACTTCCTGATTCTGACCAGTGAGGAGCCAGGACCATCTTCCCTTATCTTCACTCACCTAGCATGGGAGTGGTCACTCTAGGGGATTCATTGCTCTCCTCCATTACACCAGAGCTCCCTAATAAGGCTTCCCTGCTGTGTGATTTGAAGAACAGACTTAACCTGTCTGGGCCTCAGTGTCCTCATAAATAGTACTATTTATTGAGCACTTACTATATGCTACATGCTACGTATTTAATGTGCATGATCACATTTAATTTGTATAGTATCCTACAAGGTGGGTACTATTCACATTACAGATGGGGAAACGTTGATTGTTAAGAAGCCACAGTGAACAGGCTGCCTGGTGAGGGGTGACCTCAATCTGGGGTCCTGGAGGCACATTTGAAACCAGGACAGCTTCAGGGGTGGTGTTGCCAGCTCAAGGCCAGGAGAACAGAATGTTCTGAAATACTGCTCTGTAGGTGCCAAAGGCCCCCATGTTTCCTCAAGTCCCTCCAAACATCTCCCAGAAGCCCCAGGGGCTGACTCTCTGCCCCTCACCCCACTCTGCCAAGCTGGGGCCACCCAAGTGCCTAGGCTGCCTCTTCCACTAGGGAGCCTGAGGCTGCCCCAAGTAGATGCTGTACTGGGAGTAGGGGGATAAATGTGAGCCCCAAAAGGAAAATGGAATGGTGATGCCTGCAAAAACCTCCTCCCACAGCCTGGGAAGAAGAAAGGGAGACAAGGTCTGGCCGCTCCCTCAGCTCTGTCCAGCTGTAGGTCGTCCCACAGCAGAGCCTCCTGGGCTTGTGGCATCACAGATTCTTCTGTGTAACCCCAAACACCCCGACTCCCTTCCTGCCCCTCCTGCACAGTGGCTCTTGTACAGCACTGGGTGCCATGGCCAGGACTGCTGGGGCCCCAGTGGCTGTTCACACCTGGACCCAGCCAGGCCGCCCTGCTGCAAAAGGATTTTTACTTCCTTGAACTTCAGCTGTGTGAGGGGCTTCAGGGGTCCTGTTCCTTTGCTCTAAGGTCTAGGCCTACTCTGTCCTAGTGTAGATTCGCAGCCTTTAACCAGTACCCACAGAGGGGCTGCCAAGCCCCCTTCCCAATGGATCTAAGTCATCTGACTTGCTACGTATGGTTATTTAACAAAGGTGTCTGAGATGCTGGGGAGAAAGGAGAGGGTAACCACACTCCTAAGAGTCCCTTAAATTCTCTAAGCTTCCCCATTGCAGGTAAGAAAGCTGAGCCTCTAAAGGATGAATGGGAACACCAGGTGTGCACACCTGTAATCCCAGCACTTGGGAAACTGCAGCAGGAGGACTGGTGCAAATTCAAGGCCAGCCTGGATTACATACCATAGTGAGACTCTGTCTCAGAAAACAAAACCGAACAAGAAGTGGGGAGCCCACAGAAAGTACTATTTTCAGATACTGTGGGGCTTTCTCTCCACTGCCCAAGTGAACAGAACCTACTTAAAACACAAACCATGCCAGTGTAGGTGGCATTTACCTGTAATCCCAGCACTTGGGAGGCTGAGGCAGGAGGATGTTAAATTTGAGTCTGGCTTACATACTTTGAGGCTAGCCTAAGTGACACAGTGAGACTATCTCAGAAAACAACAAAAGCAAAACCATAGCACTCCTCGCCTCAAACTGAGAAGTGGTGACTGGCTCTGAGAAGTGGGAGACTTGGATCTTTCCTTGTCCAGCATTGTCTCCCTCCCTCCCCTTCCTTCCCCATCAAGGAACAGAAACCAGTGGGGAGGGGCAGGTAGGGGTTCTGACTAACACACAAAACCCTTCCCTGGGCTCAGAAGTGCCAAAGTGAGTCAGGGCTCACCTCTCTTGGGGAGCAGGGAAGCAGCTGACATTCCTGTCTGCGGTACAAAACCACAACAGGCTGTGGAGTGGCAGCTGGCGGTGGCTCCAAAGCACCCTCAGAATGTTGTTGCTGGACAGGTTTGTGAGGCACTGTTAGCCGGGCTCCAGAACCAGGCTGGGCTGCTGCCACCCCAGATGTCACCCAGGAGGCCCAGGCAGGGAGCAGCCACCACCCTCTCACAGCAGGGACATATGGAGGGCCCCTGGGACCTCAGCATCAGCCCCCTCCAGACTCATGGACATCAGCCAGCTCCCTTCGGGCAGCCAGCTGCATCTCCCAGGCAGGGGAAATAGGAGACCAGACTGTGATGCAAGGCTGCCCTTCCCACCCTATTGCTAGCAAGACTTGAGGTCAGGGGAGCTGAAGGGCTCCCCCAAACTGGCCTACAGCCATCATGACTTGCGTGCCCCATAAAAAATACTGAGGACGGTGCTTTGCCTGGACTGTCACATGTATTGATTTCCTGTGGTGGCTTTAACAAAATCACTAACAACTAGGCAGCTTAAAACATCAGAACTATACTCTGTCCTAGTGCTAGAGGCTGGAAGTGCATACTCAAGGCTCTCAGCAAAGGCGCTAGGGAAGATTCCCTCCTGGCCTCTCACAGTTCTTTTTTTTTTTTTTTTTTTTTTTCATTTTCTTTTTGTCTTTTTCGGTACCAGGGATTGAACTTACGACTGCCTGCTTGCAAGGCAGGCACTTATGCCGCTGAGCTAAATCCCCAGCCCCTCACAGTTCTTCTTACAAAGGAAGCTGCACAGTGAGAGCTCTCAATGAGAAAGGAAAGGGAGGCAAGGAGCTAGGCTCCCAGGGCCCAAGTTTGAGGAGGACTGCAAGTTTGAGTCTGGCCTGGGAAATTTAGTGAATTAAGTGAGACCCTATTTTCTTTTTTTTTAATTTAATTTTATTTATTTATTTTTTTGTCTTTTTCGTTTTTATCGGTACCAGGAATCGAACTCATGACTGCCTGCTTGCAAGGCAGGCACTTATGCCGCTGAGCTAAATCCCCAGCCCCTGAGACCCTATTTTCAAAATTTTAAAAATAAAACTAGAAGAGCTAGGGAGGTAGCTTAGTATAAAGGCTTTAGTTTCTTTCTTTTTTTTTTTTTTTTTTGTCTTTTTCCTTTTTATTGGTACCAGGGATTGAACTCACGACTGCCTGCTTGCAAGGCAGGCGCTTATGCCGCTGAGCTAAATCCCCAGTAAAGGCTTTAGTTTCAACACCCAGTACTGCAAAAAAATGAGGAGGAAACCAGTCATGTTGGGTTTAAGGCACACTGCATACATCTGCAGGGACCTTATTTCCCAATAAGCCCACATTCCCGGGATCTGAGTGGGTATCGTGGTCAACCCGGTACATCATATGGAATCCTCTCAATTCACAGGAAACTGCTTCTACCCCATTTTACAGATAAGAGTCAAGAGTTTAAGCAACTTGCCAGAGGGCACATTGCCAGGATGGGAACCGGCTTCTCTGATGCTGGAATCCAAGCAATGTTGCCCCCACGCATCACCACCACCGTCTCCTCCTGCGGGCAGGCGGCTCCTCTTCCGGAGGCCATCACTGTGCTTCCTTCCTCCAGCCGTGACTCCGAGGGGCTGGGCTCCCATCCACGTGGAACCAGGGCCTCTGTTAACTAATTTGGCTGCACTCGCACAGCTAATGCAAGGCGGGTCCACTGTGTAAGCCCACGAGAGGACCTAACGGGACCTTTAGGAACTTTCTGGCTAAACCAGCTGAGGCTACTTGTGCTGGGTGATCAGTGGCATTGCCATGTTTACTGATAACACACGCTCCAGCCACACCGGCCAGCTCATAAAAGGTGTTGTAAATCTGTGGCTTAGATTGGCCTCAACTATTAGCCCAGCTGTTTAAATGGTTACAATGTGGAAGCGATCCAGGTCAAGAACCCAAGCATATATACTCCCAGCACTAGAAGAGTCTACAAAGCACCTATAAACTCTCAGCACTCACTCTTTAGAGGCTAAGGCAGGAGGATCACAAATTCAGACTCAACAAGACTTTATCTCAAGATTAAAAAAGAAAAATAGGGCTGGGGATATAGTTCAGCGTGAAAGCCCTGCCTTCAATCTTTGTATCGCTCCCTCTCTCACACACACAGGCCTTGAAGTGAGCAGCTGAGCTGGGCAGCCAGGAGGCAGTGACAGATGTGGCAGGCCCTGTTCCTCCAGCTGTAGAAGTGGCAGCTCAGACACAGCCCCACCATCAGCCCTGTGTGAGGCTGCGGTGGTGTCCAACAGTCCAGTGTTCACAGGAGCCCCACACTGAAGGGTTGTTGTTAAGTCTGCTTCCCAGCAGAGGATCCGAAGCCAGATCCAGAAGAAGCAGGCCCAGAGGCACAGAGGCTGTGAGAGGCCACGGAGCTGGGAGCACCTCTGCAGACTGGAGGCTGGCACAACCAAGGGAGGTCAAGGCTGAGGGTCAGAAGATCAGAACGAGCCTGCATTTTCCAAGCAGTGCCCAGCAAGGGACCGGGGACACAGGTCCCAGCACAGGCAGGAGGAGGAACTTGGAGGAACCCATCTTGACTATAAAGGAAGCTGCATCTGTGTCTAGTTTTAAAAGCCTCAGTGGCTTCCTGTGGTCACCAAAGCTACCCAGGGCAGGCCCACTGCCTGTCCCTGCCTCAGCTCCAGCTACACAGACTTCTTTGGTCTCAAACTGCCACCGGGCTTTGCACTTGCTGCTCCCTCTGCCTGGAATGCTTCTCCGTGCACTCTGCACATTAAGTCCTTATCCTTACACTCAGCTCAGGTGTCCCTGCATCAGAGCAGCCGTAGAGTTGGTGGCTTTAATCTATGTTTTCTCCCTCTTTTAACCTGATTATGGTTTGTTCCTTAATCGTCTTTCTCCTATGAAAGCAAGAACGTGTGTGTGGCGCACGCATGTGTGTGTGTGTGTGTGTGTGTGTGTGTGTGTGTGTGTGTATCTTTTGTAGTACTAGGGACTGAACCCAGGGCCTCAATGCATATAGGCAAGTGCTCTACTACTGAGCTGCATTCACAGCCCTTTCTACTTTTTATTTTGAGATGGTATATTGCTGAATTGCCCATGCTCATCTGGAACTTGCAGTCCTCCTGGCTCAGTATCCCAAGTAGCTGACCTTTTAGGAGTGAGCCACATGGCCAGATAAGGACTTGGTCCTCCCCCCTGCTGACCTCAGCACCTACCACACTGTCGTGTGCACACAGGTCTGCAGTGGTATTCATTGAATGGACAATGAATGAAGTCAGGAGTGGACGCTGATTCACAGTGACCTATGAATGGACTGGACTGGCGGGTGGATGTGAAGAAAAAGGCCCAGAGAACAAGCCCCAAGTGCAACCTGCTGAGGAAATACTGGGCCTCGAGCCAGGAAGACTTCCTGTAGTGACCAGACTTCATGAGAAAGCTGGAAGGACTTCCTGGAGGAGTGGCCAGACTCTGTGAGAAAGCCCAGAGGACTTCCCGGAGGAGTGATGGCATGTCATGAGGTGGTGCTTTGCCTCTGGCTGAAGCTTTGGGCATGAAGTGGAGCTTGGTGATGCTGTGCTGTCTCAGTCACAGCCACCACCACAGACCAGACCAGGAAGGGTCCTTGGTCCTTGTCATACAGCCCAGCCCATAGCAGTGACTTGGGTTGGGAGGCAGAGATTTTAGCCTGGGAGTTGAACTTTCCCCAGGCTGGCCTGGCGTCTCTCCAAAGGGCCAAAGGCTAATTGCTGCCTTTGCCTGGTAGCCTGGGGAAAGCTGGAAGGTCAGTGGGTGGAGATCATTCTAGGTAGGGAGGATTGAGACCCCCAAGGAATAGGTGCTGATCTCAGAGACCAGAAATTAAAGACACATTGCCTAGAAGCAAAACACCAAAAAAATCCCCAGGGAACAGAGGCCTGTGACTAAGAACTTGTGCTCTGGGGTTAAAACTCAGGGCCACCTCTCTGCACCAAGCAGCCTCAAGCAAGGCTTAGCCTGAGCCCAAGCAATGGAGGACCTGTGTCCTTGACCATCAGAGTCCTTGAGGGATGAAGGAACCAGCAAGGTACAGTGGGTGCTCAAGCATGCCACATGCCAGCACTCACAGTGTAACAACCAGCCTGGACAACAATCGCATGCCTATGATCTTAGCACTGTGGGAGGCTGAGGCAGGAAGATCCTAGGTTCAAGCCCAGCATGGGCAACTTAGGTAGTGTCTCAAAATAAAAACCAAAAAGGGATAGGGATGTAGGATCATGAGAGAGTTCTGAGTTCAGTCTCCAAAACACTACACACACACACTCAATGACAGAAAACCTCAACCTCAATGGCTGTTTCTAGATTGAAACTAATGAGACAAGAAAACTGCATGTGGCAGCTGAAGCTGGATTTCCTTTTGCCTTAAAGGGCACTTTGGAGACAACTGTGAGAAGCCCCACATCGTCTGTAGATTAGATAGTAGCATTGTTTCAGTATTAATTTCCTCATTCTGAGTGTTGCACACTGGCCCAGGAAGACAACATCTCATCTGTAGGAAGCACACACTGACGTATCAGAAGGGAAACAAGTACTGTGTCTGCAAGCTACTCTCTCACACAGTGCAGAGGGAGGCAGAAATGAGGACAGCACCAATGTGGTACATTGCTAACGCCTGGAGCATCTGGTGAGGAAACCTGGTAAGCCTTTATATTACTCTTGCAGCTTGTCAGTAAAGTCTGTAATTTCAAAAAACAGAAAGGCATGTGTGGTCCCCACCCTTGAGTGAGTGCAGAGGCCCCTGCAGACACAGACACTGTTCAGCCCTTCGCCTGGAGCTAGCCTGGTGTTAGCACAGAATCCTGCTCTCTGTGCTCAGTCCTAGGATGGCTAAGCATTCCACTTCTAGGTGAAGCCTATATGGATTAAGTATCCTTGAATCCAAAATCTGAAACTTTTTTTAAATTTTTTGCCAGTGCTGGGAATCAAACCCAGGATTCATGCATACTGCCACTGGGCTACAACCCCAGCCCCTGAGACTTCTTAAACACAGATATCCTTGATATGACACAATTGGAAAATCCCACACCCGACCTCATGTGACAGGTCACAGATAAAATACAGACATACCGAAAACAGTATACAAAATTACCTTTGGCCATGTGTATAAGGTATACATGAAGCATAAATTATTTAGACTTGGTTCCCATGCCAAAAATATCATATGTATACAAATATTCCAGAATCCAAAAAACATCCGGTATCGTAAACACTTCAGGTCTCAAGTGTTTCAGATAGGGGACCCTCAGCCAGTAGCTGAATGTCCTGGGTGTACAATGAGCAAACTAGTCCATGAGGCTTCCTGCCACCACAGAGCCCCTGCGGCCACCCCTTTGGCCATAGGCAGGGTTATAGGAAGTAACAGAATGCAGACTGGACATCTCAGCCCACCCAAGAGCTGGGCCAGCAACCTGCTAGCCAAATAAAGGATTTCCTGCACACAATATTTCAAAGCAGGGAAGTAACCCTGGGCCTGGATAGCTGTGTCCCATGGGTAGCAGGAAGCATGAAGGAGCCAGGCCACCCTCCAGCTCAGCCTTAGGCCAAATGGTTTTTCTTTTTTTTTCTCTTTTTGTTTTACCCCTCTTTTGATTTTCTGAGACACAGTCTTACCTCGCATTTCAGGCTGGCTTTGAACTCACTATTTGGCCTAGGTTGGCCTCAAACTCACTGGGAACCTCCTGCCTCAGTCTCCCAAGTGCTGGGATCACAGGTGTGCACCACCTCATCCAGCACCCCGGGCAAATTGTTAACCTGCATCCCTGGGCCATCAGCTTGGCTGGAACACAATGTGAAGGGTGAACGAGCAAAAGGCAGCAGGGCACTTCATGGCCAAGGAATGTGGCCTTCAGCATGACTTACCCCAGCCCGGCCCACCTGGCAGGTAACTGTCCAGCCCCTGAGCAGTCCCAGGCTGTGCTGCCACACAGGTGACCTGCTAGGGGACTTCCCTCCAGTGACCTGGTAAGGGGCGAGTATCGTACCTGGGCGAGGCAAGCGAGACACTCTTGTCAGTCTCCAGAGTCACTGTCCACTTTTCTCTCTTCACCCTTCACCGCAAAATGCCAGGCGTCTTTGCAAGACTGACTTCCCCAGCCAGCCAGGGAGGGTCCCCAAAAAGGTCAGATGGCCCTTGGGTGAGCGCTTTGAGCTCAACCATGAAAGCTGAGATGCATGTGATTACGAGGAGGATACAAGCTTGCGTGCATGCTGTTAAACACCGTGCAGGGAGGACACCACTCCACTTACCTCCCCAGGCCGCCGTGGGGCCAGCTGTGACTCAGGCTTTGACCTCAGCCACCTGCTTAATTTAGCGCGGTAGCAGCTGCCCACCCAAATTAGCTGTCCCTGCCCAGCCTCGGTTCTGCCACTCACATGCCTCCATCTGCTTTGGGTCTTTGTTTTGGGGGTTTTTGTTTTGTTTCAGTTTTTAGACAGGGTCTAACTATGTAGCCCAGGTTGGCCTCAAACTTGTGACAATCCTCCTGCCTTAGTTCTATGAGTGCTGGGATTATAGGTGTGGGCCACCACACCTAGCTTGCTTCAGTTCTTGGAAGCCAAATTGGCACATTACTCTGAGAAGCTGGGTGATTGTTTTTAACTCATCTAAGCTCAAACAGTAATGGTTAGGCTGAAAATTAAGTCTCTCTTTAGCCTTCTGAGAAGTTAATGAAAAATATGGGTCCTCTGTCCAGTATAAAACTATGCAATTACTTTGCATTTAGTATCTGAATGGGGTTCATAGGCTCTCCCATTAAGCTTTGGAAGAGGGCCCAGCACATAGACTAGAGCAGGAGGGTCATGAGTTCAAAGCCCACCTGAACTACATGGAGAGACCTTGCCTAAAACAAAACAAAAAGGCTTGGGAAGAGAAAGACTAGAATAGGTGCAGAAAATTTATCCCTTCTGGGTGTGATGATGAACACCTATAGTCCCGGCACTGGGGAAGCTGAGGCAGAAGGATCACCACAAGTTTGAGGTCAGGCTGGGCTATAGAGTTCAAGGCCAGTCTGCTCTACAAAAGCAAGACCCCATTTCAAAAAGAAAAGAAAGAGGAAAGAAAAGAAAAATTGTATCTAACCATCACTTCTGTGTATGTGGGTGTTCGAAGCGGGCCATAATCCAGGAAGTCATCAGTTTGTCCTATTGTCACAGTAGGAGCCATTAGGTTCCAATTCCAGAAGTCAGGCTCTTTGTTGCTACTCCGTGGGGGTACGTACCTTTCATGGGCACTATGCTCTGTGACCTCAGGCTCCCAGGATGTGGCTGTCACACAGAGGTGCCACACTGCTCCTAAGCAGCGCCAAGATGTGGGGTCTTGGGTCCTGCAGTGGTCCATGCCGACAGCTGCTGCCTGGGGCAGTGAAACCAGACACCTCGGGGAAGGTTGGGCTCACACCCAGTCATGCATGAATATTTTACACCAGCAGCCGCTAATGCTCGGGTTCACAAAAGTCACTCCAGGAAAGCTGCGTCCAGAAAGCACAGACCCTGTGTCTCCCCTTCACGGTCTACTTCAAACTGCAGGGGCTCCACTTCAAACTACAGGGGCTCCATCAGAAAGAGGCTGCAGGGAGCCAGAGCTGTGCAAACAGAGGCTATGTCAGGGACACAGGCTTTGTCTTCCAAGGTCCTGGGAGCCATGAGCCTCCCAGGCCACAGTCAGGTCCTGGTGTCCTAGGAGCTCTGTCTCAGGATGCTGCCTTCCCCAAAGAGGTGACAACAGCCAAGTCCAGAGAGCCAAGGATACTGGCTGGCCATCTTCTGCTCTGTCAACTGCTGGAGCTTCACACATGGCAGTTTCCGGGAATCCGGA